TGTGCCCAAACTCTTTTGGATTTATCATTACTGGTGGAGGTTGTGCTTGCTCTGGTTTGGTTAAAGGATCACTATAGGGTCATGAACACAAACATGTATGCCTGACCCTATAGTGTTAAAACCACCATCTAGCCCCCTTGGGCCTCATATGCCTCCATAAGTATAACAAAATCTTACTGTATTCAAGCCTGAAGCTGTAACTCTGCATCCTGTTTGTCTCAGAAAAACAAGCAGTCTGCTGACATCAGGATTGGTAACCTGATCCAATCACAGTGCTTCTCCATAGGATTGGCTGAGACTGACAAGGAGGCAGATCAGGGGCAGAGCCAGCATGATGAATTGAATCAATGAATCTCTATTAGGAAAGTTCAATGTCTGCATGCAGAGGGAGGAGATACTAAATGTTTGGATGCATTTTAGGCAGCCATGATCCAGGAAGGATCTCTAACAGCTATCTGAGGAGTGGCCAGTGAAGTTATCACTAGGCTGTAATGTAAACACTGCATTTTCTCTGAAAAGACAGTGTTTACAGCAGAAAGCCTGAAGGTAATGATTCTACTCACCAGAACAAATTCAATAAGCTGTAGTTGTTCTGATGACTATAGTGTCCCTTTAAGAACCTGTAGCTACTATTTGGGAAGACTGTGATTCCGCTCTTTTTGATGTATTCTCTACTGCCGTGATAAGATTTTTATTTCTCGTTGCCTACCTACACAATTTTTATTTATTTTTTATCTGCTTCCATATATCCATTCACTTTTCCTCAGTGAGCTAGCCAATGTAGCCACGTTCACAAAACCAGCCAACGCATTTCAATCAATTTACTTTTCTCATTAGACATTTACATTAAAATTATCTTGTGTAAATATTGGGACATAGACTAGCCTATATGTTGACTCACTGCATCTCATACCAGAGTGTATTAAGTACTTTGCAGACAACATTCTCTCATTTGCATCTGGATTTAATCAGTGCTTCTGTCTTGCCTACACCAGTTATGCTTTATATTTCACTGTTATATAAATTTATGATCAGGGCTGTGTACCGTAGTCTGAGGGAGAATTTTGCAAGCTAAAATTCAAGAGTTAATATTTTTATTTTAATATACATTTATAGCATTACTCCTTCCCTCACTAAACTTGCTAATAATATTACAGCCTACCTTCGTAAACAAATTAATGAAATAAAACTAAATATTGCATGACTCTCTTCCTTCGTTACTCATTCTACCACATGCTCATCCTACCATTCTGTTCCCCTATCAACCCTTTGCATCTTCTCGTATTGTGTTTTGCCTTCTCTTCTCTTGTCATCGTATGTGAATATTCAACACCACATGAGGTTTAGGGGCTGTTGAGGACTTTTACATGAAAAGTTCACCCTCAATTTGTATATTATTCATTGACTAGGAAAAGAATGGCAATGTTGTGTCTCCATTAAAGGAAATAGAGTCTTTGTTAAATTAAGTATATATATATATATATATATATATATATAATGAGAAAAGGCCATCCCTTCCTCTAGTATATTACAGGATCCTTCAACCATACACATTGATCTTGGGTCAGACAGTGTTTGAATTTGACAGTTCATGTTCTGATGATATCACTGAACTGTTCTGAGATGTAAACGTTTCAGAAATTTTGAATACATGGAAAATGTAAAAAAAAATAAAAAATTTAAATATCTTTATAAAGATGGTCAGCGTATATACATATTAATTATTGATACCTATTTTTGCACAGTTTGGCGGAACGGCACTCTGAGGAATACATGCACCATTCCGGAAGGGAGGAAGAAACGGACTGGAAAGACCTGGAGTGGACTTTTTAAAGGGAAGACTTACAGTGGAATAAAATACACAAACTGAAGAAGCCCTCGGGTAAGTGTGAAACGCCTCTTGGTTTATTTTGGGACTAGCCATTATACAGTTTGGTCTTTTTATCTGCATCCAAATTACTTTTAACAATTGTTATTTTCATTTCAAATCAATAAAGAATGTACTATTACATCTATGGAACAAGATTCCTAGATACTTCAGTAATATCTCCATGTGCATACCATATACTAGGACCATGTGAGTGCATTTAAGTTTATACTTTCTTTGCTTATGTTATACATTGCTGTGCTAATTAACTTTTTCTATTGATAGTCATGCACCACAAGTTAGAAGAAGGATAAGGACCTCCTCTAGTTATCCTACTGCGCTATACATTTGACCAAGGTGCGTATATTGGCTCCAAGCTTGTGAGTGTAATACTTATACAACTTATATACATAATATATATATACAGGTGTTCCTATACTATATCATTTTTCTATGTTTTTCTTTGCGTTTTACAGATCTACGTACAAGTTACATTTTTATTGCTCCACCTAATGTATGCATTTTGTCTTCCCTGTTTTTTTCCCCAGAAAGTAGTTTTACAAATTTAATATAATTCTGTTCCAGTGGGAACATGAAATGCAGTGTATATAAAAGTATTACACTTTAAACAAAAGTACAACTTATTCAGTAAATTATAAACTAAATTTGCTTATTGTTTGTTACAAATGGAGCAAAGTCTGTATGTAATAAGACCTTTTTAGCTATACTTAAGAATACGGAACCCACCCCCGGTCCACCCTTTTCTCTCAAAAGCTACAAAAATAATGACGAAACCATCAACAAAAAAGAAGAAAACTCCTCAAATCCTTTTTCCAGGAATTTGACTGAGAGAGCAATCACAATCGCCCAATTGCCTTAGCACCAAGGAAAAAGATAAGTAGCTGGCATTATCTGTGTCAGTAGGATGTGCATACATGGCATTGAGAGTGTAAGGACCACCTAAGTATTTAAGCTCATAGCAAGGTTTAACATTGGAGTGGTATTTTAAAAATAATAAAGTGCGAAAAGGAAATAAAGACACAAAATATAAAAACAATTTAATCGGTCTAATTTTCCGAACTACTGCTATCATTTTCCGTTTCTTCTTCATCTTTATATTTGTCATTTTTCTCATGGACATCTGAAAACATAAGGTTTGCATGGATTGTAACAAGTGTTTCTACACTTTCACAGGTCAGTTTGTTTCTTTATTTTGTTATAATCATTACTAAACAGAAGTCATATTATTTCATGTGCAGCAGAAGATGCAGTAATCTGCAGTAAGTGAGATGCAAGAGGTGTCAGAGGTTGTGTTGTGCAGAGACCTTGCCACCATATTCAAGGACTGATATGTTTTGCAGAATCCCAGACTTTGTTCCTGGACCAAATCCCTGAAGTCGTCCTAAATTCTGCAACATTTTAAAGTACTTTTCCAACATAAAGTCCTTAATGTGCGCAGCTTGTTTTGTAATCCAGTGAAATGTAGCAGCTGTATTTTCGCATCACTGTCTTTGAATCTTGGATCCAGCATATTGGCAGGAGGATGTGTTGGATGGCAACAATATTTTCCCTGTTTTTAATAAAATCTTAAACTGTACTTTTTTCAGCTATTGTATTTGGAGATACATATATATTTTTAAAAACAGATGATTTTATTATAGCCAGTTCTTTAGTAACCACTGACAAAAGTACAGTGTGTTATTCAGATGCACAGATTGCTGAAACAATTGGCTTTAGAATCTGTAGGAAGTTCTGAAGCTGAATCCAAAATATAACCTCATCAAGCACAGTGTTCCTCATCAAGCACAGTAGCTTGCCCTTATATTGCTGGTTATTTTAAAATAATCTGTTATTTCTGTTGCTTAAATATCAACTTTCTAAGGAAATCACAACTCCCCCAACGCGTTTTACTGCAGAGCTTCAGTGTCACAATTTTATACTGTGAACTTTTTCTTCTTGCTTCCTATTGAAGACTGCTGCCAAAACATGAGTAACTTTAAAATATTTAATAACTTCTTTAGCTCTTTTATAGTTTATTTTAAGGATGTCCAGTTTCATGAAGTCACTAAGAAGCAAATTTAGTCCATGAGATGTGCATCCTATTGCAGTAAATTGCGAATACTTGTTCATTATGATTTCCCATGCAGCTTTCCTATTACTTGCAATTTAGCCAGCAAAACACCTACTTTTCTACTCTCAATTGTCTCTAAAACTGCATATATTTTACTGCGGATATATTCTACAGTAAGCCTTCTCTCACCCATTTCTTTATTTCTTTAAACCTGGCTGAGGTGTTATCACAAAATTGATGATTCCTTCTCCCCCGCACAATTGTCTATCGGTCTGTAAATGCTGCAAGACTGTAGCCCCATGTAACAAAAGCACAGCTTAGTGGAAAGGGGCCTTGACAGGGGTTAGCAGGCGGACATAGGAAGAAGCTAGTGGGATTGGTTAATGAAGGGTTAAGGGGCTGGGCTATATAAGTAGGCAGACATCTTGGAAAAATCACTTTTAACTTGCCTACCTGGCTGAGTTTATCCCACCCTCCCTCCCTGGGTCCCGTTTTGTCACAGCGGTGGGATAGGGAGCTCTAGTAGAGGAAATAGACTCCCCAGTAGGAAGGTTATGTTAATGGTTATTGTATGTTTGGTAGGTTTCGAGTCCTATCGGTGGTTCAGAACCTGGTGGGGTAGGGGTATCTGGGTATACCCCTACCATGGTTAAATTATAATAAATGGTTGGCACTTTAAGTGATGTTTTGTTGGTACAATCATATATATATATATATATATATATATATATATATATGTTTTAAGGCCATTTGGCCTGTATTTGTGGGAGGGGCTTAAATTAATTCACTCCCCTATATAAGGAACACCCCTTACCTGACTCATATCGCTTGAGGTCAGCATCAGAATGACCCTCCCACCCACTCCTCATTTCAACACTTTCTCTTTTCTTTCCATTTACTTTACTTACTTACTCCTTGGTGGGCCCTCTTTATTTACAGGCCTACCGTATCGTCGGTCTCGGCACACCACAACCGATTTGCTCCCTTTATACTATCCTACGCTTATGCTGGAACCTTACTCCATATACGGCTATTTGCCCCGAACACAAATATATATATATATATCCTTCCGTTAGGTATAAAAGGCAATGACCCCACTATAAATAACATTATATATATATATATATATATATATATATATATATATAATGTTATTTATAGTGGGGTCATTGCCTTTTATACCTAACGGAAGGATACGGAAGTAAGGGCGGGGCATAGGCCTATGACCCCAAAAAAGTTTCTATGTTAAGTTATTATTTATATATTTAATAAAGCTGTGGACAATTTTACCCATATACCCTAGTGTCCGTGTTTTATTGGGGTAGGTATGTGGGGGGATTGTCCAAGGTTCCGGATGCCCATATGGCGACGATACACCAGTCAAGTGTTTTACAGATTTTTCCTTGTACAGATTGCATCATGCACTCATGTTCTGATTTCAAAAGGGGCATGCACAAGGAATTTCTACTAGGCAAATGATCAAAGAAAAAAAAAGTTACCAGTTAGTCCTTAATCCCTATGTATATTTAGACAAATGGAGGTCATTTAGTTACTCCACTGGCCATTGGAGGGAATGCCCGTCTGCCAACATCAAGGCAGACCTCCCTAAGCGGGTCCTACACTGACCCTTCACCATCCTTCCTTGAGCTTCTGGCAAAGATATCTCTAATGATACAGAGAGGGGTATTTTTTAAATACACCCCTATATACTTGTTAACCCTTAATGGGTAACACATGGGATGGGCGGCTGCATTGTAACAAAGCTGTGTGATACAAAAGTGAATACAAAAACAAAAAGATAAGTCCTGCACTGAGTGATGGGAGTCAGCGCAGGACTTATGTTATTGTATTTATATTAACTTTTGGTATCACACAGCTTTGTTACAATGCAGCCGCCCATCCCATGTGTTCCCTATTTAGGGTTAATAAGTATATAGGGGTGTATATAAAAAATACCCCTCTCTCTCTCAGTGGAGATATCTTTGCCAGAAGCTCAAGGAAGCAAGGTGAAGGGTCAGTGTAGGACCCGCTTAGGGGGTCTGCCTTGACGTTGGCAGGCGGGCATTCCCTCCAATGGCCATTTGAGTAACTAAATGACCTCCATTTGTCTAAATATACATAGAGATTAAGGAGAGAGCGCAGGTAACTTTTTTCCTCTGGTTTTGAACTATATATTGGGGGTGATGTGTACTGTGGTCGTTGCTGCCGCCCAGGAGTGATGGGAGTGAGCGCAGGACTTATCTTTTTGTAAATGGTATGATCGTCTCAATAATTTTAAAATCTTACTGCCAATATGCATTTTCAAGTATTGACAATGCCAATCCAGAAGAATATATTGCTCTTGAAAAAGCTTGTTCAATGTTCTCCTGATTTTCAGGTGTCATTCAATCTATAAATTAGGGTACTGTGTATTTTTGAGAGGCAGTAGTTTGCAACACTTCCTTACTTAAGGATGCTGCTGGTGAAGAAACACTTTGTGATGATACAGCTGTTACAGAAGGAGCAGAAAGAGTGTTTCTGGAATGGGAACTTTGGAAGGAAAATGTACTTGCACTTTTATTGCTATGGCCCTCATCATATATTTCCATAAAGTATTTTTTAATGTCTTTATGACATTTCTGGCATACAACGATGTGTTTTGTCATCCTTTCAGCATTCGGAAAACTATATTTCTTGTCACAGTATTTACAAATTGAAGCTTTGTTCTCAGCACAAATTGCACTGTGGAAATGTTTCCAAAATGCTTGATGTTGGTCTCAATACTTTACAGAGAGGAAGTAAAGAAAAACCAATTACTTGGACAGACTCTGACTATAGTAACATAACACTGTGATGGGGGAGAACATTAATAGGAATTGTAACGGCACCCCCAGGCATAAAAGGGGTTAAAAGCCGTTTAGGAGATAATCCCCTTCCAGATATACAGGCAGCTACCAAAGACACCAATCCACTGAACAGGAAACCATGTGAATGCCGTAAACAGCCGAATAGGAAAAACCATACGAATAGGTTTACACTCCTAGCAGTCAGACTGGAACAACATACAATAAATCCACCCCAAGAACGAGACAAAGCTCCGTTTGACGGTCAAGCAGGAACAGACAGAGCTGTGGGTTTATTGTTCTTATATACACATTCTTACACATTATTACCACCCACAGGGTTTTGGAAAACAACCAATAAACACGTACAATACACTCAGACACTCACACACAAAATCCTCCCCTCTGCCTGTGATACAATTACCTTACACAATGGGTAATGTAATTATCACAGGCAGGGAAATACAGTTTTTCCACATTATTCATAATTTTAAAAGTATGCATCACATTTACATAAATCAGAATCAGCATACTCCAAATACAAACATACGTCAAAATCATACAAATTGGTCCAGTGGTTCAAAAGATAGATCATAGTCCTTTGTGACCAAATGAAGCATGGCTTTTCTGCCCACAACAAGTTCCACAGAGTCTTCTATCCTGGAGATAATTGGGAAGTAATCAATTATCTCCAAGGACAGAGGCAAAACTCCATTAGCCACATGGTAGCAAAATACAGTAAAATACAATAAAATACACAAGATTACATTTATTACATAAAATACAGACATGCAACATATCCCCAGATAGCTTAGGTCTAAGCACACATTATTACCGAATGGTGCTCAGACCACACACATACAGTTCAATTGCCATGGAGCCAAAGTAATTTATTACACAAATAGGCTCCATGGCATAGGTATCTGGGTTAAATGAGTTAATTCAGTAAATCCGAGAATCTACCGAACGCCAGGGCAGAAATACATGAATAGACCTTTCTGCATAGGAAAATAAAGTATTTAAATGGTGGTCCATAGTCCAAAGGCAGCAGGCAGGCAACCAGGCTCCTCCAATGCACAGTGGCGAGATTGGTCTCGTCACAGGAATCATTTAAATAAGTTTTAACCTAATTTTTCCCACAGATTTAACCTCCATTAATGCCTAGCCGGGAAGACAGAAACAATCAACTACTTTGTACCAACAATCAACTTTTGTATGCCAACAAGATGGAGCCCAGCCACAATGAATCTAAATGAAATATTTTTTCCCTGGAGCGCCCCTAGAGACATAAATGAATTATACTCTTATGTGCCCTCCTCAACAGGATCACTACATTATCAGTATTGTATTCCAGGATTTGCTTGTCTTCAGGTAAGAGAACATGAAATGATTTACATGTTAGATAAAGTCTCAGAAGATATACATGAAGGTCTCCATGTTATATAGTTCGAATACCATGTCATAAACGTTTTATTTATTATTGTAAAAGAACATATTCCCCACTCCAGATATATTTCAATTTTTCCTCACAAAATTACTTTGGAAGTAAAAGTAAAATAAAACAATTTTCCCTCCCAGTTTTTCCAGTTTTCTTTAAGGCTTTCCCGTTTTGATCTAAGAGTGAAATAGGGAAGACCCAAGGTGTATGTATCTGGCTTGCAGATGCTGGATCCTGTCATAAACTAAAGGTAGTTATGAGTTTTTCTCATTTTGGTTATTTATACTTCATTTAACACAATCCATTTCCTTTCAAAATTTGATGAAAGGATCATTATATTTAAAAAAAATGAGGTGACGGTGGTCCTTTAAGTTTAAGGCACAATTAATTTCATTAACTAAAGTCACCATCAAGGATATTTAAAATTTGTGGGAAGTGTTGTTTGGAAAGATATATATTTAATGTCAAATAATCTGTTGGGAACTTTGTATGAAAACCCATCAATGATTATATATTAATTTCTGAATGGAACGCACATCTCTCAGTTTGTTTGTCCAATTTGATGCCAATTATGTTACATTATGTCAAATTGAAATGACATTGATATGATGAGGAAATTAAACATATGAAAATGTCCTTGGAAGAATTTAAAGATTTACCATCATTTGAGTTAGAGCATGATCTTCAAGTTAAATGTAACAAATTTGAAGAAAATATTTCTGAACAGAAGAGTAAAACATTCTAATACAAACAAGACTAAGGGGATGATAAAGTGTACACATGGTGTATAGGTAAAATATGTGTGAAGACACATAAAGGAATGAGATTCTTTTATGCTTTCAGTGTTTCTTTCTCTGGCTCTGCTTCTTCTCCCCAACTCCTCTCTGTTGGTGTACCCCAAGGTTCAGTCCTTGGTCCCTTAGTGTTCCCTTGGTAAACTCATTAGCTCCTTTGGCTTCCAATATCATTTCTATGCAGATGATACGCAAATCTACCTGTCCTCTCCTGATCTCTCCCCGTCCCTCTTGACTAGTGTATCTGACTGCCTCTCTGCTATTTCTAACTAGATGGCTGCCCACTTCCTTAAACTAAACTTGACCAAAACTGAATTCTGGTCTTTCCTCCCTCAAGTGTTGTTACTTCTGTGCCTGTCTCCCTTCAAGTCAACGGTGCTACCATCAGCTCCACCACGCAGGCTCGCTGCCTAGGTGTTCTTTGACTCTGACCTCTCCTTCAAGCCTCATGTTCAATCTATCGACAAATCCTATCATTTCCATCTCAAAAACATTGCACGCATCCGCCCCTACTTAACGCCAGAAGCGACTATGGTGTTGGTCCATTCCACTTTCCTTTCTCGCCTTAACTACTGTAATCCGCTTCTCAGTGGTCTTACGTGCTCCCAACTTGCGCCGTTACAGTCCATAATGAATGCAACCGAGGCTCAGCTTCCTGTCCGTCCGCACCTCCCATGCCTCACCCTTCTGTCAGTCCCTACATTAGCTTCCTATAAAATATAGAGCTCAATTTAAAATTCTGGTTCTTGCTTTCAAATCTCTACATAATGCTGCTCCCACCTATCTAGCCTCCCTTATACACAAGTATGTCCCGTCTAGGCCCTTACAATCTGCTGAAGACTTACGTTTATATTCTGTCCGTACTCCCACCTCCCCCTGATGCTTGCCTTCAAGATTTCTCGGTGGCTGCACCGTTCCTGTGGAACTCGCTTCCCTTCTCCGTTAGATGCTCACCCAGCCTCCACTCCTTCAAAAAATCGTTAAAAACCCACTTCTTTATAAAAGCGTGTCAATTAAACTGGTAATAGCTCCTGACTGATTCCTCTTCTGCAACTGTCACTAGTCTAATACTATCCTTACCTTTTTGTGTAATTTTACCCCACTCCCTCTAGCATGTAAGCTCATTGAGCAGGGCCCTCAACCCCTCTGTTCCCGTGTGTCCAACTTGTCTGGTTACAACTACATGTCTGTTCATCCACCCATTGTTAAGCACTGCGGAATTTGATGGCGCTATATAAATATCATAATAATAATAATAGTAATGCTTCTCAACACGTTTCCTATTCTGAAACCTGTCTGTAATGTATACTAATCAAAGGGAAATCTCACGAATGACAAAATCCCCTTAGTAAGTGAATAACACCCTCCTCTATTGATAAATAAAAGTTACATATTATATATTGGAAAAGCAGCGACTCAGAGGGGATATGATAGCATTATACAAATATATCCATGGCCAATATAAACCGAGGGGATATGATAGCATTATACAAATATATCCGGGGCCAATATAAACCAAGGGGATATGATAGCATTATACAAATATATCCGGGGTCAATATAAACCATTGTCTTGAAATCTATTCATAAACAGGACTATACATAGAACACAAGGTAACGCATTTAGCCTGGAAGAAAATAGATTTAGTCTAGGGTTTTTACAGTAAGATCAAGAAGGATGTGGAATTCTCTGTCGGGAGAAGTGGTTGTATCAAAGTCTGTACAGATGTTTAAACAGCAACTCTATGAATACTTGCAAAAAAAAACATAATATTAAGAGATATCATTTTAAATTTGTGGGTTAACAGCTTCTTGATCCAAGGATCATTTTGGGGACATAAGAATTTTTTTTTCTTGGTTTGTTTCAAAATTGGAAGTGCTTAAAACTGTTTTTCCCTTCTTTTGGATCAACAGCAAAAAGAGAGAGGCTGCCCTTGATGGACTCCTGTCTCTTTTCAGCCTAGGTAACTATGTAACTAGTTGCTCTACTTTCATACAGTGATTGTTAACTGACGGGGATAAAATAAACATAGTGACCTAATATTCTGCCTTGTTTTAGGCACAGCTGCATATATGTTAAGAAACAATGGAATTAAAGGAAAACTTTAAAAAAACAAATTAAGTTAGGGAATGAGACTTGCTCTGAAACTGGTGCACATGGATGCCATACAAAGCCCTCTATTAAAACAACAATATAAACAATATCTCAATAAACCTGACATAAAACCAGGAGCAAGTATATAGTGGTACTTTACAATATCTCAGTTGTGAGAGACAATGGGGAATAAAAACTGTACCAACGGTATGTAATGAGAAAAGAGTCCAAATAAATAAAACTCCATTAAACTAAGTGGGTGTGATTAATGTTACAGTCTAAACAAAAGTTCAAATTGTAACTAATGAGTCCATTAAGCAATTTATCTGAAAATGTCCACATGTAACAGTTTGTATATCAGAATGTTGCAATGTGTAAGAGAGAGGCTGATAAATACAAAAACACATCAGCCTAGTGATAACTGTATCTAGGGGCTTTGCTCCCCGATATGCAGTCTCTAGAGAAAAGAATCAGTTAGTATTTTAATTATATATATATATATATATATAGAGAGAGAGAGAGAGAGAGAGAGAGAGAGAGAGAGAGAGAGAGAGAGAGAGAGAGAGAGAGAGAGAGAGAGAGATATGTGGATACTAAGGTTTACATATTCTGGAGACTATTTGTGGTTGCCATCATAAGTGTTTCTTTTTTACTATTGGAAGTGCTATATAATTTAGCAATCTTTGTGAACACGTTTAGGTTGATGTGTTTTCATATTCATCAGCCTCTCTCACAAATTGCTTCATTCTGATTTGCAAACTATTGCATTTGATTATTTTCAGATACATGGCTATATGGACTGATTACTATTTGCACTTTTTACATTTTTTTTGCTGTTAAGTTAATCAAGCCCACTTACCTTAATTAAGTTGTATTTTTTTCTTTTTTAATTCTCTATTTTTCTGTGCAAGAGATGTACAAGTATGCATGAATTGCCACAGCAGACTCTTCCTATTATATACATCCCAAGGGCTGGAGGAGAAGAAACTGGGGGAAGGAGGGTAATAAAACACACAGAGTGGCTAAGAGGGGCGAAAGAGACACACAATGGGGGGAGAGGCACACAGAGGGCTGGGAGAGAAGTGGTGCACAGAGGGGTTGGGGGGACAAAGAGACAGAGGTTAGGGGAACCAAGGGACACACAGATGACATTGGGAACGACATAGAGACGCATATAGGGGGGGGGGAGGGAAGACATACAAAGGGGCTTTTTTTTATTTCCCATTGTCTCTCGCAACTGTATCTTTAGTTTTTAATATTTATTATAAAGTACCACTATTTACGTGTCTTAGTTTGGTTTATGTTTGGATGTATCCTCTCTGATTATAGTCCCAGAGATAGTAGATAGCTATATACCCCAATCTTACCTTGTCCTTAATCATCGTACAATGGGTAATGTGTGCTACATGTGCATAGGTCATTTAACAGCTGTTTTTTACCTCATAATAAAAGCATTTCCACTGGAACTGAGTCAATAATAAAGCCGGTTTGAAAACACTGAGTTACACTACATAACTACATACAGCTGTGCCTAAGACAAGGCAGCATATAAGGCCACTTTGTTTATTTTTTAGTTTGAAATTACTTTGTATGAATGTGGAGTAGCTAATATATGCCACATTTCTTAAAGGAACACTATAGAGTTGGGAGCACATAATTGTATTCTTAATAATATAGTTCTCATTTACCCCTGCGCCCCTCCCTGTTAAAAATATTTTCAGTCACTTACCTGATTCCAACACCGAGGTCATTTGGCACTGTCTGGATTTTCCTCCTACTGATGTACATGCGCAAAGCTTGAAGACATCCAGCCTTGATTCACTGTCTTTAACTCTGTAAAAACAGCACCTTTAGTGGCAGTCCGGTATACCAGAGGCAGTCTTAAACATGCAATGTAAACTTTGTTGTTTCTCTGAAACTGCAATGTTTTCAGCTGCATGGCTAGGAGGAACAGGAACACTGCACACTGACCACTTCAATGAGATGAAGTGGCCTGGGTACCACTAGTGTCGCTTTAATCTGTAGAAGAGTGTGTGATTTACTAGCTAATGGAATTTTCTCATTCTTAAAGGTTTTCTTTTGATAGTGTGGAAAGGGTCAATGCCAGGATACTCAATGTTCAAATCAAATGGAAAGGTCACCATCAGTACAGAAACAGAAAATATAAAAAGTGTCAAATATTGACAAGAATCACCCCCCAAAAAACCGCAAAGAAAGCCTCTGATAATTTATAAAGAGATGAAGGAGGCAGGAGATGTTTGAGGAAGACAGATAAGAAGAAATGCAGAAGAAGGGGCACAAGGCAACACTCCTCATGTCAGACGATGCAAAGTGTGCATTATAAAATGTGGAAAAGCCAACAATTGGAAATGTGCTTTGCCTGTCCATTGGGACTAAAGGTTAATAAGTATCCAAGGGTTTAAAAAAATATAGGTTTTATTTTGCTCAAGCTGAAGGAAGCATGGTGAATAGTTAGTGTTGGACCCACCTAAGAGATTTGCCTTGACGTGGCAGGTGGGCTTACATCTAATGGCCACCGGAGTGAAGCAAAAACCCATCATTTATTTAAATATGCATAGGGATTTGAGAGAGTGCGCTGGTAACTATTTTCTTTAGTTTATTGTATGTTTTGGGGCTGATGTGTACTATGGTCGTTGCTGTTGCCCAGGAATAGTGGGAATCTGAACTGTTTCCAGTCTCCCTATTTATTATAGGGGTTCCACTTCATATATATATATATATATATATATATATATATATATATATATATATATATATATATATATATATATATATTCACTTTATTGTGTATATATATGTGTGTATATATATATGTGTGTGTGTGTATATATATATATATATATATATTCACATTTATCTATATACACATGCAAATGTTGTGATACAGTCTGCACTAGTTTTTGTATTTCTTTTTTGCATTTTCAACTTCCTACATGAGAATGACAAAGTACGGATATTAAAGATAAGTATTATGTAGGTTTGAGTGCACCCCCACTGTTTCTGGTGTTCTTTCCTGTGTGAAGGCAAAAGAATATTTAGGAATTACCAGATTTTTTTTACAAGACATCAAGTTAATCCTTCAGGTTTATATGATTTTAAATTTCTTATTTCAATTTCTCTGTCCTGCCCATGGGAAATTGTTGAATCTTGGAAGGCCAAGTATGATGGAAGTTAGAGGTGTTGCTACTTTGAATGGCACAAAGTTCTACAGATGTAGAGCTTGTCGTAATAAGCTCTCATATATGTGAGTAGGACCATTACCACTTTATGTAAAGCTATCTTGTTAAATAACTCTATTACACTTTATATAATATTATATTATATTTTTCTTACATGTAAATTCTATCAAGCATTGGGTGCAGGCCGTGAGCAAGAGAAGCACGGGAAGCTGGGTAAGAATTAGCACAACAGCAAACCCCTGTCATCCATTTGAGGAGCAGTCCAGTAGGACCCAGTCCTCCCCTTTTATAATTTTTTTTTTCTTTATAATTGTTGTTTTGGTATAATGCATTGGGGAAAAATTCATACTCAAGGTCAAGTTCTGAGGAAGGATATGATGAAGAATGGTTGTAGATAAAAGGCGGTCAAGATTTTAAGCAGCATACAATTATACAACTATATATCTACCTGCGTAGAGTATATTTTACTTTCTTTTCATTATTATTTAAAAGCACTCCACTTTTTTTCAATTGTTTTAAAATATAAGTGTTTTGAAGTGGTAATAATCACTTGGATATCTTGTAAAGCATGAGGTTAATCCTTGAGATCTTTTGTGGTTTTGAAGCTATATGACTGATTCTAATCTTGTGATCTTCTGTTTAATTTAAAGGATGTATTATTGTACCTCTGATATGACACACAATTTAGGTGGATATATTTATATAAGGTTATGCCCCTCTGTAAATTTGTGTGCATTTGTTGCTTTAAAAATGTATGTGTTTTTAATTTCTTTTTGCTCAGTTTTCCTTTGAGTAACTGATTATATGAAGCATTTCCAACTTTTTGTATTTTATTTTTTTATTAGTAATTTGGCTTTAGAAACAAGTCTTTACTAAAATTCACACTTGGCGTCTAGCAAGGTCTATATGGTTTTTATTCTCTAAAGTCTCGTTTGATATAACACCTAGAGTTTAGTAAGGCTTATACGGCTTTTATTATTTCTCAATATACCCTTAAAGCGATTATTTGCCGTTCTTTCTAGCCTTTGAACTGAATATTTATTATTTTTAATATTATTTAACCTTGCATCCTTATACTCCTTTCTGGATGAATGTTGTTACTGTGCTAATCTGCTTTGATGTTTTGTTACTTTTTTGTTAAAAACATACTTACTTTAGCTTTGAGCCTTAATTGCAACATGTATCTACTCTTTATTTAGTTTTTTTTTTGTTTGTTTTTGTTTTTTTTGTTTTTTGTTTTGCCATTAGTGTATACTGAGGGAATAGGGTGACCACTCCCACCTCCTCCGATTGGTTCAATATGCAGGAGAGGTCACCTGTCACTCTTTCACAACCTGTGGTCTTTTGATTGGAGGGCTTTAATTGAAGGCAGTGTCTATATCCCCTTTATAACTGCTTCCCGTGTCACTTACCAGGTAGCTCTTGACAAAGGCGTATCTAAAACGCCGAAACGCACGTCGAGATATTTTCTAGCCGATGCTATTATACTCAATTGATTTTCTTTACTCTCATCTTTCATTTACCTGGGTTTCCACAGCGCATGTGTTTGCGCCTATATTTTCTCCTGATACAGACTTAGGGATTTGGATAGGCTGCCACGAAGCAGCAGTTAGTTTTGCCGTTTCTTTTAGGATAGTTAGTTTTTTAGGGTGACTCAGAGGGGGGGGGGGGGTTTCTATCTTTCCTCTCTTTGTGGGGTATTAGCTCCTTTTCTGTTTAATATAAGCTACTTGATATTAGTTTGGGCGCACCCCATTAGTTGCTATTAACCCTGCCCTTTCCAGATTCTCTCAGACACTGCTCTAAGACTATCCTTTTTCTATCCAATTACCCAGCTGGGTCCTTTCCTAGAATGGATTTAGACTAACCTGCTTTGTTACCCATTTATTATTTTAGGTGTATTTTTACACCTTTATTAAGTCAAACATACCTTGCAGGATTAGCCTCTCCCAGGCTTTTATAAGTTTGGTGGTTAACTTAGCCAATGCTATTATCCTCAATTGATTTTCTTTACTCTCATCTTTCATTTACCTGGGTTTCAACAGCGCATGAGTTTGTGCCTATATTTTCTCCTGATACAGACTTAGGGATTTGGATAGGCTGCCACGAAGCAGCAGTTAGTTTTGCTTTTTCTCTTGGGATAGTTTTTTTTTAGGGTGACTCAAGGGGGGGGGTTTCTATCTTTCCTCTCTTTGTGGGGTATTAGCTCCTTTTCTGTTTAGTATAAGTTACTCGATATTAGTTTGGGCGCGCCCCATTAGTTGCTATTAACCCTGCCCTTTCCAGATTCTCTCAGACACTGCTCTAAGACTATCCTTTTCCTATCCAATTACCCAGTTGGGTCCTTTCCTAGAATGGAATTAGACTAACCTGCTTTGTTACCCATTTATTATTTTAGGTGTATTTTTACACCTTTATTAAGTCAAACATACCTTGCAGGATAAGCCTCTTCCAGGCTTTTACAAATTTGGTGGTTAACTTATAATCAATGCACTATTTTAGTGTATGGTAATAGTATTTGGACTATATACCATTTTAGCATTTTTTTTCTAATAAAGGTTGTTTATCCTCTTCTATGTGACTATTTACATTATGAGGTACTTTGAATGAGGCTAGGCATTCCACCCACTTTTTTGTGAGTGGACTGTCTGCCCCATTTTTCGTCTCTTTTTTTTACTAAAATTCTTTCTATCTGTTTTGCTACTGTGTCAATATTTTAACATTGTTATTTTTTTTTTTCGATGTGCTTAGCGTATCAAACGTGTACCTATCACTTAGCATATCATCTAGTTTTGTATAAGAGGCATTAAACATTTGGTGTTATTGTGGTTGTGCACATTTTTATATTTTACCATGAGTATATCCCCATTAAGCGGTTGGTTAACTTGGTGTATAGGTATGTGCGTATTTTCCTTAATCTAGTAGTAAGGTGGACAGCAGTCTCGTCACATAGTGTGGCAATTCCTCCCCATGGACGGTAGAAGGTATGCCCCTTATCTTAATGTGGTTGCGGTGGTACCTGTCTTCTTGCGCCGATAATTGCAGTGAGAGGGCCTGTTGGGCTGTTTGTAATTGTAGTATGGAGGCCTTCATTGCGGATGTATCATCAAGGATTTCTTTAACTTCAACTTCAGCTGCTGTCATCCGCCGTGTCACCTGCTGAATGGCCATTTTCAGGACTGAAAGTCAGCAGTGAGAAGTTTCTGGATGTCTTGGAGCATGGTGTGTAGGGTTTGGAAGTCCTGCTTCATTGCAAGCTCTGGGCAGCCAGCTGTTGCTATGGATTGGTGTTATGTGCACTACGGCAGGCTCTGTGCCTGCAGGCGAGCCTGTGATGCAGCATGGGAGACTCCAGTTGGAGGTAAGGTTTCCGCGGCTGCCATTTTGGCTGGAGTGTGCTGCTGGAGCATAGCTCTGATGTCCCACTGTTCATTTGCGGTTCTGAGTTGAGGCTTCTGTGATCTGCGCCCCATGGAAAGAGTAGAGGGTCCAGTGTGAGGTGGCCACAGTTATGCCGTTTCCCAGTCGAGGTCCCCGCTCAGGAGATACTTGAGGTCACGACATGCCAGCGTGTAGCAGGCCCCATGCCTGCGTTTCGGCTTAGTTTGCTTCGGGGTGTATAATGATTCCTTTTTGTTCCAGAAGTTTGGTCCTTAAGGGGATAAAAAGGGCATCGGGTGGTGCAGCAAGACATCCCCAGTTTGTATCTGCTGTGTGTGGGGTTGGATGGTAGCAGGGTGCCGAGATACAGCGTGGATTATGTGTTGGGGTGTGGGAGCCAGTAACATTGTTCTTTTAAGTATCAATTGAAGCCTTTGTTGCACTGATATATCTAAAGAGAGATTACTACAAGCTGAAAGAAAGCAATTTAAGGGTTAAAAGTGGATTGGTAATTGTTAATTATATATAAGCATGTGCTGTGCTTCCCTCCTTATGTTGTTGAGCTGTTTGAATCCAGGCTTTTGTGGTTTCAGGTGAAGCGCTAAATACACAAAATGCAAAAAAAAATGGTCCTGGTTTCCTGGTGTGGTGGTTCCCCCTTCACCTCCATCATACATACTTTTAAAATGAAAATTTATTTTTAGTTATCTTGGAGAGTCATGATGTGTTCACTTGGTGTTCCTCATGTGGAGTCTGAACGATATCTACATTTGGATCCTAAGCATCTTCTCTCCAATTACTAGAGAGGTAACTTTCTCTTGGTCACTCAATTGCAACCCCTCATACCTCTTTAAGCCCTTTCTTCTTTCATACTTAACAAACATCTGCAATGTGTATCTCTCTTTTGGTGTTTCACCAACAAACTTTATACATGCTATTAACATTCTATCCTAAAATATGAAAATCAGTTCTGAAATTCTGCCGATATGAACTACCATTTGGCTCAAAATTGTGCAACTACTCTAACTTCTCAGCGATTGTTCATTTGGTTTTGATATTCCCTCCACCCAGCTAATTCCATCACATTGAGTACCACAAGTCAAGCATTTTTTGTCCCTTTCTGTTTTCACTCTACATGTCATCTCTTTTAAAACAAATACATTTGTGTTCCATTAGCTCTTAAATGCTAACAAAACACAGACATGACACACATTTTCGCCCACAACCTCTCTCAAGTGTTCTTGTATTGTGTCACTAATTGCATATTTTTTGCCTATAACTTGATGTTTGCCTGCTCCTTAAAATTAAGACTCTCTAAAATGTTTTAGTCTTCTGAGCGCTAGCTCATTTTCAATCTCCTTTAAAGTTAATACAACCTATAACCCCACTCCACCAGTTTGCTGCCTTACCATAATTTTTTACTCTACAATCTCTTATTTTCACATCCAGTCAATCTACTAATTTTGCCACTTTCAGTTTATATAATGTGGCTAGCATACCGAATACTGGATGCTTTTGCCTTCTTTCAATTGTTACTCACTTTTTTAAATCACAGCTCAAACCTTTGCCTATTCCTAGACCAGGGGTAGGCAACTTTCAGCACTCCAGATGGCGTAGACTACATCTCCCCTAATACTTTGCCAACATTATATCTGTAAGAACATTATTGGAGATAGTCAATATTCTGTTAATTAAATGCATGATTGAAATCTCCCAGCTACACCTCTGATAGGTAATCTTAATATCTCAGTATGTGTAGTCTTCCATAAGAAATTCCAAGCACAGAAAAAGACTCCAAGCACCATGAGCACTTCAAATCACTGTAGTGGTCATGTTACATGGAGTAATAAATTAAAGTGAAAGTCATATCTGAACCTCATAATCAGTGGTACAACTAAAGTAGAGAGGGTCATGTTGCAAGATTGTTTTTGATCCCCCATACCCCCAATGGCAGGGATGGAAAAAGATAGATGGCTCTCTGTCCTACAACTCCCACAATGCTTTGCCAGCTGGGGATCTACCATTTGCCTTGCAGAGTTGCATTTATCACTGAGCAGTAGCATGGTTTTGTATGGATTATGTGTGTATGTAGCAGTGTATTTGTGTGTAGTATTGTCTAATGTGTTTTTATGTACTGTTGCCATTTGAAAGTTTACATGTGTGTAGTGTTTGCCTTTGAATGTAGATGTGTGTCTGTATGTTGTGTTGATGTGTGAATGCAGGTGTGTATTTATGTATGCACATATAGATATACACTGCCACACACACACAGATACACATACACACAGACACACATCTGGATGCACAGATACACACACAGGCACACATGCAGATACACACATATACACATACTAATAAACATGCAGATACATAGACATATTCAATGACACACATGCAGATACAAACACAGATACACACACATGCAGATACACAGACATACTCAATGATACACACACAGATACACACACATGCAGACACACAGGCACACAGATAAATACATTGACACACATACAGACACACATGCAAAATTATTACAATTTAAGCCACCCTCTTGTGTTCTACCTTTTTGGTAGAGGGGGATGGCTTCCCTGGAGTCCAGTCAGCTGCATGAGGCTGTTGGAAGTTAGAGGCTCTCACACTCCGCACCCCTGCTCTCTGCTATTTTCACCAGACACGGTTGGACCTATGAATCATTCTATTTAGCATGTACAACTCATCTATTTGGTTCCATACCATTAGTGAAAAATAGTATAGTTAAACATATACCACGGGGGGCGCCACGATCACAAACATGTGAATATATTTACCACATCATAGTCATGAATATTCATGTAAAGAGATAAAAAGCAGAAAATATATAGTGAAGTATTTAATAACAATTAAAACAAAATAATAAAAAGCAAGTACACTCACAAGTATAGTTGCACAACAGGGACATATGTCTTAGTTGTGCTGAAAAGCTTTACAGCCCTTTCCTGGGCTAGAGTCCCTTCTTGTAGCAGGATCCCAGTATCCAAAGTTCTAAAGACTTCCAATGGTATTTCACTCGGAACTAGATATGATCCAAAAGCTGTAGGGGCACTCACGATCTTCCAATTGCTTGACGCGTTTCGTCTAATTGACTTTCTCAGGAGCTGTATGTTTCTTCTTCTTCCGGCTTTTTAAATAATTGAGTTCGCGCGGCTTTCATTATTGCGCGCATGCGCATTACGGTAAAAGCTTTACCGCGCATGCGCGCACATCCAGCCTGGAACGCAAACAACTTTATTGATGTTCTTTTAAAAAATAGGAAGACCCATAAGAAAAATAAGAAAGATTATAGCATCTCCTTTCTAACTAGATATAACAATAAAGCACATCTGGTAGAGAAAACTATCAAGAAATTCTGGCCCATTTTAAAACAAGACCAATTTTTAAAGAACATTTTACCAAAAAAAACCCAGATCATTTATAAAAAGACCCAGAATTTTAAATCTATTTTAGCTCCAAGCGCTTTACCTCGCATCAAAACCATGAAAGAAGAAATTACTTCTGGTAATAAAGTTAATAATTTTCTTAAAGAAAAACCAAAAGGTTTTTTTAAATGTGGACAGTGCAGCACATGCAGATTCCAGAAACAGAAGACAACAGAATTTACATGTAGTGCCACTAAAGAAGTTTTTAAAATAAAGAATTTTATAAGTTGCCAAACGAAAAATGTAATTTATCTTCTTGAATGTAAATGTGGTATACAATACGTAGGTCGTACAATAAGAAAACTACACATTAGAATCCTGGAGCATTTTAATGGTATAAAAAGAGGGAACATAAAACATAGTGTTCCCAAACATTGTATAAATTGTAATCATTTTAGCTTCCAAGATTTTAGATGTATAGGTATTGATACGATAATCCCCCATTGGAGAGGGGGTGATACGGAAAAAGCGCTAGCTATGAAAGAAACAGAATGGATTCACAAACTTAAAACCACTTCTCCAAGAGGTCTAAATGTTGATCTGGATTTATTAGTGTTTATGGATTGAATTTTATAGTATTTTAGGACCTTTGGAAAGCTCCTTTCCATTTATTTTTTAATATTATAATATTATAATTTTTTGTTGTTTCCATAGAAGTTTTATTGAATTTTATATATTTTTTAGTAATTATTATCATTATTTTTTATGGTAATTTTAAAAGATTTTGACGTTTTCGCCATGTCCCTCAGTTAAACTAAAACAAAAATAAAAATGTTCATTATTGCACATTGTTTTTATTAAGCTTGAAATGACCATCTCTATAGCTTGCTATATATAGATAAAGAAAAAGAAAAACACTTTTGTATACATAATATTGTATAAAATGTAACATTATGTCTCTTTTATCCCTCCATAGTATGTCTAATCATTATTTTTAATCTCTTGTAAATCTTCTATTCTCAGTTGTAGATTTTTAGCAATTCTAAAGATGAAATATGTAATTTATTTCTAATGTTTTTAATTCAGTATAAAGTGTATGCATAACATGTTTTTTAGCATTAGATGAATTGTATATTACTGATATAAATGAGGTTTAAGTGCCCACATTCCATTCCGTAAGACCAGGTGGTCAAGTACGGAAATGTGTTCATTGGCACAAAACATCAATAAAGTTGTTTGCGTTCCAGGCTGGATGTGCGCGCATGCGCGGTAACGTTTTTACCGTAATGCGCATGCGCGCAATAATGAAAGCCGCGCGGACTCAATCATTTAAAAAGCCGGAAGAAGAAGAAACATACAGCTCCTGAGAAAGTCAATTAGACGAAACGCGTTGAGCAATTGGAAGATCGTGAGTGTCCCTACAGCTTTTGGATCATATCTAGTTCCGAGTGAAATACCATTGGAAGTCCTTAGAACTTTGGATACTGGGATCCTGCTACAAGAAGGGACTCTAGCCCAGGAAAGGGCTGTAAAGCTTTTCAGCACAACTAAGACATATGTCCCTGTTGTGCAACTATACTTGTGAGTGTACTTGCTTTTTATTATTTTGTTTTAATTGTTATTAAATACTTCACTATATATTTTCTGCTTTTTATCTCTTTACATGAATATTCATGACTATGATGTGGTAAATATATTCACGTTTGTGATCGTGGCGCCCCCGGTGGTATATGTTTAACTATACTATTTTTTTGGTATTGTAACTGGGACTGGGAGTGATCCCTATTTTGGGGTGATTAGCCTGCACTGGAATTTGCACTTTTTCCCACTTACTGCCCCTCTTTTAGACATACCATTAGTGATCCTTGCTTGCAGAAACTCAAATTCCCTGTTAACTCAATAAAGTTACATTTTTACAGCAACTGTATTCTAAAATTATGAACAACTTATCTTTTTGATTCCTTTTTGTCAATGAGACGCTTCTCCATTTAAGTTGGTGGCAGGAAAAATGGGCAAGTGAAAAGATCAGAGTGACTTTCACAAGGGCCAAATAGTAATAGCTAGAAGATTGTTCAGAGCATCTTTAAAACAGCTTTAAAACAAGACTTGTAGAGTGTTACTGGTATACAGTGGTTTGTACCAACCAAACGTGGTACAAGGAAGGACAATTGGTGAACCAGCGTTGGGGTCCTGGGTGCCCAAGGCTCACTGATGCATGTAGGAATGAAGGCCTGCTCGTTTGGTGCAATCACACAGAAGAGTCACTATAACTCAAATTGTTGAAAAATGTAAAGCTGGGCTGCCATGGGTGGATAGCTATGTGCTTGTGCATCATTTACCTGGAGAAGAGATGGTGATAAGAAGACACAGGCCAGTGGAGGCAGTGTTTTGCTCTGAGCAATGTTTTGCTGGGAAATCTTGGGTCCTGGCATTCATGTTGGTGTTACTTTGACATATACCACCTACTTAGAGATTGTTGCAGTACACCCCTTCATGGCAATGGTGTTTCTTGATGGTAGTGGCCTCTTTCAGAAAGATAATGCACCCTGGTATACTGCAAAAGTTGTTCATGAATGATTTGAGGAACAGGGCCTTCAAATTCCCCAGATCTTAATCCTTTTGACCATCTGGGGGAGGTGCTGGAACAACAAACCTGATCGCAACTTGCAGGACTTAAAGCATCTGCCACTAATGTCTTTGTGCCAAATATCACAGGACATGTTCAGAGGTCATGTGGTCTTCTCTACACATAAGAGCTGTTTTGGGAACATGAGGGGGAACTACACAATATTAGGCAGGTCGTTTTAATGTTGTGTCTGTGTATACCCCGATCAAGGAGTATTACAAAAACACAAATAAAACTTGCATATTAAGATTTTTTTTTTTTCAACAAAGAGTTCCATAAAACCCATACAGTGTTGTGATAATAAAATATAAATGAATATAATGGGAGAAGCGGTTTTTGTTGTAGTTGAATGTAGTACACATAATTTTATCTAACCCTGGTAATGCCTACAGAACCAATCTGTATGCATAACAACTTTCACATGCCACATGTGAAAAATGGGATTATGTTGCCACATTCAGGTATATCAAACTCTACCATCAGGTGGTCAACTTCTCATCCTCAGTGCCCTGTTCAGCTCCAATGTTGCCATTGCAATTTGTTCTCAATAAGAACTTTCTCAGGGCAATGACTGGCCACACTTATAAAGTTTTATTCGTAGTCAAAACATTATTCAACAACCTATTCATATTAAAATCCTTCGTGCAAATTACATTTTCTAATGTACAATATTGGGCTTATTTTTAGCAACATCTAAGGGGGAAGGGAAAAAACAAGTGTAGCAAAAACGGAAGTGTAGTAAAAATAAATAATCCACTTCCATTGCTCCTACAAGAGAAATGTTGACATTTTTTGAACATTGGTAGAGGCACTGGCTTTGGTCACCATGGAGCCTCAGTTTTTGCCAAACCACTAAAAAATTATCTGATAGAAAAGTGAGGAGAGATGACGCCCAAATACTAATTGGACCATAATCACTAGAGTAAACTGTAGTGGGTACGGTGCCTGTAGTGCCTCTTCAAGTTGAATATTCCTTTTACGCAAATCTAAGATGATAAATAGAAATAAAACCTCTATTAAATGGCACACAGGATATCACTATGATTTCCTTAATAAAGATTGTTAATGATTTACTATAATGATAATTACTTTATTTGGACTTTCTCAAATACATTATCTAAGGTTTTTCAGCTACTGTTTCTCAAGTAAACAAACTGCTACAATAAATCAACAGATACAAGGTATTTGTTTATTGTTTGATTTTTCGGATATCCTGCCTTGTGCTGCAGCTGCAATCATTTGTTGCCTTTATGATTGTGGCAGTTGTGTAACCGCAGATGTATCCCAGGCTCATGTCAAAAACATACTCACTTTAACACACATCATAACATTAAAGGAACGCTCCAAGAGCCAAAACCTCTAAAGATCGCTGTAGTGGTTGTGGTGGCAGGAGTATCTGGCACCCTCTCAGATTAAAATGTCTACCTGTTTAGATTGACTTGATAACTTACCTCGGTCTTTGTCCTCCGGGAGGCATAACCACCTATCAAAGCTAGTGAGTATGTGGCAGTCCCAGTTTTACGTAAAAAGAATAAAGAGAGGTGGCTGGTCTCTTCTGCCAGTTCCTCGTCTGAGGAAAACTTTTCTGCTCCTTCTTCCCCTCATACTCGTTTTAGTATGCGAAAAAATTAAAGGGACAGGATCCCAAAAGCGGAATAGTGTTTTCCTCGTTTGAGTCCCAGAAACACCTTCCAGAGAAAAAGGACAAATCTCATTGGAGGTTAGATAGTCCTTCTCCTTCCTTTTCTGGAATGTCTGATCTAGCCCCTAAATCACATTAGTTACCAAATTTGGAGGATTCTTACCTTTTCAGTCCCTCATTCATTTAAAAGGATAAAGGCCGTTATAAGGCAAAGACATCCTTTTCAGCACTCAAAAAATCCATTCCTGGCTAGAAGAAGCCCTTTCGGAATGAGGGTCACCCCTATCGGACTGCAGGATCATCCCGAGAAGCATCTCACCAGGCCCAGTACCGCCACTACAGTGGAAAACACAAGCTCCCAGGTGGTGGCAGAGGAGCTCATTCCAGAGGTGGTCCAGCTTCCAAGAGAAAACCCATGCATTCAAGTAAGTGTGCCTCCTCACACGCCACAAAATTGGAAGAAAATTTCTTCAGACAAATGGGCTGTAAAGACTTTTCAAAGGGGTTTACAACTCCCCCTTTTAAGGTTCCCAGTTCAGAGGTTTGTACCCAGCAGAGAGGTGAACCCAGTGCTAGATGCCTCTCTTTCCCTAGCTTTAAATGAAGGGATAGAGTTGGCAGACATGTCTATTACAGGATGAGTCAGTTCTTTGTTCCCAATTCCAAAATCCCAAAAGATGGTCCCTGGAGACTGGTTCTAAAAGTGAGGTCTCTGAACGCTTTCATTAAAATAAAAAGGTTCCGGATGGAGGGTTTCAGATCTTCAAGGCTTAGTACAGAAAACATTTTTCTGCGTAAAGTTAGACCTAAAAGATGCCTTCCATTCAGTCCCTATAGCCAAGAAACACAGGCGTTTCCTCAGGTTTCGGTGGAAAGGAAAGGTGTGGCAGTGGACTGATATGGTGTTTGGCCTATCCAATGCACCATACACATTCTCTAGAATAATGAAATCAATGATAGCCCATGTCAGACTAAAAGGTTACATGTGTCTGTACTATCTAGACGACATCCTGCTCATGCATTCAGATACCTAGGATTTGTAGTGAATTTACAGAAATCAGTACTAATTCCCACTCTAAGCATTCTCTTTCTGGGTTTTGTACTGACCACCAGGACTATGTCACTAGGTATCCCTCAAGACAAAATGGGACAAATTATTGGTACATCTGACCTCATCTCTAGAGTTGGTCATTGAGAGATCTGGCAAAGATTATTGGGAAATTAATAGCTTTAACACCAGCCTACGATGATCCCCTTTACTTTGCAGAATAAGTCAGCTGTTTTTAGGGAATCGATTAAGACAGGGTGGCCATTGGGAACCAAAATTATTTCTCCCCAAGAGGGTCAGAGAAGAGTTGAAGTCTATTCTGGGGATAGGAATTAAATCAGACTAAGACTCCTTCATATAAACATCTTTGAGTTAAGAGTTAAAACCAGTTACCGACGTAAAAGTCCAATCGGACAACAGAACAGCGGTGGCTTTTATAAACTGCAGAGGGGGCACAAGATCAAGTGGTCTTTGTTTGGAGGCTCTAGAACTTTGGTCTTGGGCTTTAGCAAACAAAGTTCGGGTTTACACAGAATACGTTCCGGGAGAGGCGAACGAGCTTGCAGATTCTCTCTCTCGCCAGTTTTTGTCTCTGGCAACAATTCAATTAAAGATTGCTCAATTCCAACAAATAGAAAGTAATTTTGGCCAGAGAAGTAGATCTGTTTGCATCCCAAATGTCTGCACAAACTCCCAGGTTTGTCTGCAGGATTTGGGCAAAGGAAGCTTGGAAAATGGATGCACTGTCCCCCTCCATATTTACTGATGAAAGTGTTGGAGAAGATTGTACCCTCCCAGTACAGGTGAGAGGGGCCTGTGGACAAGGAGAAATGGTTCCCACTACCAACTGGAGCTGCAATGATGCCGCACGACACGGCACCATGGATGGTACGAATCCTTTCAAGTACAGAGTGGAACCCAGCCTGACCGCTACATGCCTAGGGTGATGAGATGACACTCACAGAGTCACTTGCTCAGTGAGCTTACACAAGGTGTTGCCTTGGCCAAAAGCCACTGACTCGGCTTACACTCCACCACAACCTGCCACTTGTCTATCCTGTGCCCACTCCATGGCACATAACAAACAGGGTGCATACTCTGTGCCCAGAATATCTACTGCTTGGTGTCCCTTTACGTCTGAATATTACCTTGTGATGTCAGCATGCCTACATGTTTATCTTTACTACTTTTGCTTGTTTCTGACCTGCCTCACACGTATATCCATTCTCTATTATATCTCCTGAGCATGTATCCTCTCAAGTCTTATGTTTAAACCTATAGTTCATCCTATTACATTTTTTTTTAAAAGTGCCGTTTTCTCATATGCTCTGACTCTGAATCCACCAGTATGTTTACAATTTGCAATTTTCTGTACAAGCTTGCATGTTAGTCCTTGCACTATGAAAATAAAGAATTAAAAAATATATAAATAAATGCACAATTTTTGCAACTAAAATTCCCTGTTAATTACCTTTCGCCAGCAAAAACATTTTTCAGCTTCCAGGTTTCAAAAATTGAGCTGCGCATTAGATTTGAGTAAATATGGTATATATAATATCCAACCCCATTGATCCTGTACAAAAGTGGAAATTTGACATTATTTGAACAGTGGCAGAGGGACTTGTTGTGAGCACCAGGGAGCCTCAGTATTTGTCCACTAAAAAAATATCTGATAAAAATATGGGGGGATGGCACCCAAAGACTCCTTGGAACATAATCAATACAGTAAACTGTAGTAGTTATGGTGCTTAGAGTTGCTCTTTAAATAAAACGGTCCTTTTACCTTAATTTAAGGTGGTAAATCTGTGCTATTTAATACAGTTTAACCACTAATACAGGTTATTAATGGTTTGATATAATGATAATTAATTGCTTTATTTTGACTTTCTCAAAGTCATTATCTAATTTTTTTTAGCTACTGCTTCTCATGTAAACAAACTGCTAGAAAAATTAACAGATACAAGGTATTTGTTTATTGTTTGGATTTTTCGGATATCCTGCCTTGTGCTGCAGCTGCAGTCATTTGTTGCCTTTACGACAGCAGCAGTTGCATAACCACCGATACAGGAGTGACTGAGCACCCTCCCAGAGTAATCTGTCAACGGTTGTAAAGGACCTGGTTTAACTCATTGAAGACATCCGACATCTAATATTCACCATACATTTGTTTTAATGCAGAAGAGTCATGGGATTGGCAGGAATAATTCACATCAACTCAATACATCAACCTCCTGCAAGGTTAAAAAGCCCAAGCAATAACATGCATTAGGCTGGCTGTATCTTGTCACCTTAATTCTACCCATGGTGCAATTACTTACACACAGATTTATTAGATGCCAAATTGCCCCATGGAAGACTGTTATTGATTTTGTTTTGCATGGTAAAGTAACACTCTTACCAAGAGTGCTTAGAGTGTAGTAAATTAGTAAAGTCAACCATGTTCCTAGCCCAAATGTCCAATCCCAATCCCCAAAGAAGCCATCATCCTGTTTGATATCCTGTACTAAGTCATGAAAATCTTTTATGTTTATGGATCATAGTGCCATGGTCAGATAGGTTAAAACAGCCCATACCTTCAATAGCTTCACAGCCATGTTTCATTAGTAAGTAGTCAATGGCTGCTCTATTCTCAAGGATTGCCTTCTTATTTGCCTGGGTGTCCATAATTAGCTCTTCTGGGGCCTGGGAAGTGGCATTTAAACCCTTTACAAGGGAACAGGCTACATCATTAATTACTCGGGTATCATAAAGTGCTAAGCTTGGGACTCCTACCTAGAGTAAGCAAGGGCAGAATATTCAGATTTAGATAAGAGAGTGATTTCAGGGTTACAATCTGAAGTCTGGGTCTTCTTAACGTCTCTCCTGTCTCTCTGCGGTTTGTGTAGCTGGGTGGTTTCAGGGATCAGGTCCGATTTGGAAAACATGGTCATGGTTAGGCGTGAGATTGCACAGGGCCCTCCTGTAATGTTACCTGTGACATAAGCATAAGTAATATTTCCACAGGAGAAAGTCCATCCTTTAGGGAGATAGACATGGTAGTGGTAACTCATAACTTGGTGAGTTTTGGTACAATTCACAGTGGTGCTCAGGGCTCTACAATTCGTGATATTTTTCCTCCACGTGAGGCATAACAGAGATTTAGTATTAGGGTTTATTGAACAATTACATGAAAAAGACCAAGATAGGTAAGCGGCTGTCACATTAATTGTCTTTAGGGCTAGGGTGGGTTTGCCTACCAGTGGGTTGAAAGCATAGGAATATAGTTGTAGAGATTTATGGGGTCTATGGGTATGTAGGTACTTCCTCAAGAGTGAGATGGGGTAGGGACAGCTATAAGACAAGATTGTATGGCGTTTTCAGTATTGAGGAGACAGTTGAGGCAAAAGGAGGTTAAATTAAAAGCCTTTGCAATCTGCAACCATATATTTCCCTGCCATACATTATTATCTTCTGGTCTGAAGTCAGAGTAGCATATCTAAACAGAGCATACAATGGTAAAGGATAAGAACAGCTTCATGTCTGTGGATCAGTCGGAGTGACTTGTTTACAATGACTGGCATGTATCCTTGTGGCTTTTCCTTCTAGTTCCACTGAGGCAGCCGTAGTCAGGAGCACTTGGAATGGACCGTCAAAGCGTAGTTCAAGTCCTTTCCTCACATGCTTCTTTATCACCACCCAATCCTCAGGCTGCAGTTTGTGAGTTGCAGAATCAGAGTCTGGATCTGGAATGGAATCAAAGACATGTTTATGCACCCTGCCTAATCTTTGGTGTAGGGGCTGCACCTGAAGGATCTGGGGAAAATAGAGGCCTGTCCTTGGGGCACATCCAAATAGGACTTCAAAAGGGGATAGGCCATGTCTGGAATTGGGTGTGAATCTCATAGAAAAGAGTGCTAGGGGAAGGCATTCAGTCCAGGGCTTCCCTGTGCCTTGCATGGCATTTGCAATCTTGTTCTTTAAGGTGCCATTTGCCCTTTCTACTTTCCCACTACTCTGGGGGTGAAGGCCTGGCTGATCCCTAAGGCTTTCATAATTTATTGCATTATTTCCCCAGTGAAATGGCTACCTCTGTCACTTTCAATCACTTCAAGTACCCCATATCTACATACCAGATCCTTCAGAAGCTAACTTGCTGTGACCTTCGTTGTGGCTTTTGACACTGGGTAGGCCTCAGGCCAACCTGAAAAAGCTATATAACAAAAAGGTACAAATAGCTAGTAATAAATTATATAATACAAGTATTAAACAAAAGAGCAACTACATACACGGATCAGCGACTTAATGAGTAATAAACTCAGATTAGATAAATAGGTATGTGCACTTTAAATATAAAACCTCAACAAATATAAAATGAATATAAATCTTTTAGTAGTAACCACATATACAAAAGCTTTAATTAGTAAACAAAACAAGCTGTTTCACACCCTCAGTGGCAAAATTAACCAGACAGGGATACTCAGATATAAATAAAACAATGGATACAAAAAAACAACAAAATGTAACAATTTGTATCAATAATGATCTCCTCCAAGTATCTCCACAAAGCAATTGTCATTCGATACACTAAAAGACAAATATATCAAAGACAATTCCAAAGAATATCAATAGTGGAGATAGTTTGGAGAAAAAAACATAAAAACATAAACATAAAAATGAGAAACACAAATATAAATAAAGAGATAAATATAAAGAGTACCTGACCTCAGTGTGGGCCCTCACCAGAGGTATAGACTGTGAAACAATAAAAAATATATACGAGTGTCCAAAAAAATCCCCTAGAAGCCACTTGTATGGGTGAATGATGGAGGGCAGCCAACAGATACCGAGCAGACAAATGTATCTAATAAAGGAAAACCCCCCCTTGTTGCTCAGGCCAACCTGAAAAGAGATCAATGCACACCGACACATATTCATACACTCCTACCTTAGGCAGTTAAATATAGTCTATCTGCAGTCTTTGAAATGGGTAAAGTGTCCTTGGCGTGTGCTTACTTGGTGTTTTGACAGCATGTTCTGGATTGCTTCTAACACAAATCATGCAAGCTTGCGTGTGTTTAGCTGCTACAACAGTAAATCCGGGTGCTACCCAATGGGTGTTTATTATGCTGTTCATGTGCATCTTGGATAGATGTGTAGGTCCATGGGCCATCATGGGGTACAACACTCGTGGTAGATGCAGTCTTTTACCTTTCCTCCACATTCTGTCATCATCAGGTTTTGCATCTTGTTTCCTCCAGAAGTCATGTTTTTACTTGCTTGCCTGTCTTTGTAAGCTCAGCAGTATATTGTAGTCAGCTGCGTCATCTGTAAGAACAACTTGCAGGAAGGTATTACCTGTAGAAGGATGTACTGGGATTGCTGCTTGTTTGGCAGCTTCGTCTTCTTTGTGGTTTCCTCTTCCTAATTTCATCTATGATCTTCACGTGAGCTGCCACCTTGATGATGCCTACTTGAGTGGGTAGCAGGATAAGTGCACTCATGGCTTCAGAGTTCTTGATTGTAGTACCTGCTGAGGTGAGAAATTCACGAGCCCGCCATATAGGGCCAAAGTCATGGGCTATACCGAAGGCATAGCGAGAGTCTGTGTAAATATTAGCTGTCTTACCAGAGGCCAGTTTGCACGCTTCAGTGAGTGCCTTCAGCTCAGCCTCCTGTGCAGAGCAGTGAGGAGCGAGTGGTTCAGCTTTTATTAACTCATGTGTAGATACTACAGCATATCCAGTGTGGAAATTACCCTTCTCATCACCATATCTGGAACCATCTACAAAAAATTAGATAATAGAGAATCAATTACATGCGAAAAACCAGCTGTCTCTTGTGCCATTAGTGCTGCACATTCATGGGGTACCTGGGCGTCAGCTAACTCATCTGGTAAAAGTAAATTTACTTTCACTACCAAACACTCTGGAACTCTGTGCTGGATTGGTGACTATCCGTGTCCCGCTAAACTTTGGACTTCCATCTAATTTGGGCTAGCCATATCCAATCGGTTTTTGGGCAGAATGGGTGCTCCAGAGAGACCTTTCCAGATATGACAGTGTTGTGGGAATCTGGGCATGGAAGCTTTGTTTTATCATTTTTTCTTAACCCGGTGCCAACGTGTCCTGTAGATAATTAAATTACCAGCTCACATACAAAGGTGCCAGGTATGTCGCAATCTATTCTTCCCGGGGACCTTCTGTTGAAACAATTTGCCTTAATAAGACTTCTTATTCGCCTTTCACTAAGTCTCGACTAGTGTTTGGGTGAGACTAATGTACACTTGCAAGAGAACCTAACCTATCTACCTATCCCTACGAGGTACATAATATGAGTACCATTAAATTGGGTAATAGTAGGTAACATCCCAGGATATACTTGAAAGCCAGAGTAATCTGAATGCACCTCTCTTGCTTAAATACTTTATTATTTTTCTACACAATGGAATAATGGCAACAATGAACCAACTTGTGGGTATACTGCTACAATATGTGACTACATATATACATATACTAAGTCTCGACTAGTGTTTGGGTGAGACTGATATACACCCATAATTATAGATAGTGTTTTAAATTGTGTGCAATCACATGCACACATTTTTAGTAACATTCAAATGTTTCTGTGTGTGAAAGGGCATGTATGAAAGTGACAGCTAATTAAACGCGTGACTGAGAATACATATGTGACTGAGTCTAACTGTAAACAACACTGCAAAAGTTAGGAAAAAACATCAGAGTTGGAGAATTATACAAATCCAGTGCTTTTGGCCCACATTTTGCAATGTCATACCTCATGCAAAGGATGGGTGTGCCAAAATTGATAGGGCATGCTAATTAGTATTCCTTCTTCCTGGCCCAAGGGAGGGGGATAAACTAACCATAACAGAAACACAACTGTTCATTTCACCCCAAACACACACTACAGTCCTTAATCCCAGGCACATGTAGCCAACTACATATCAATGTGTGCTGATACAAAGCACAACAGGAGAAGAGGGGTATAGGGAGAAAAATGTCTGTTCTTGATCACAATCAGGGACTTTGGGATTTGGAGGCACTAGTCTATAATACACTGATCATCCACAGTGGCGGAACTACCACAGTCGCAGGGGTCGCAGCTGCAACCGGGCCCGCCACTCCAGGGAGCCCAGCCGCCCTGTGAACCACTGTAATCGGTTTCCCACCGCCATGTGTTGCGGCCCTGGCGCGCGCAGTAGAACCGCACGTTCAGGGGCCCATCGGGTGGTCCAAGATGTTAAGGCCACCGGATGGCAAAATTTTACCAGGGAAGTCATCCTCCAGCATCTAAAAGGCAGGAAACAGGAGGGTGACTAATGTATGTGTGTCTCTCTATGTATGTCTCTGTATGTATGTGTTTGTGTTTGTGTGTTTGTGTATCTATTTGTCTGCATGTGTATCTGTATGTCTGCGTATCTGCATGTCAGTGTGTGCCCTGTGTATCTGTATGAGTTTTATTATGTGTATTTCAATGTTTTTCCTTAAGTTTTTGTGTATATGCATGTTTGCGTGTATATATGTATCTTTGTGTGTCTGTGTATCAGCATGTGTGTCTGTGTATCAATCTGTATGTGTTTTATGGTGTGTATCTGCATGTGTGTCAATGTGTGTTTGTATATCTGCATGTGTGTCAGTGTATGCACGGGTGTGTCTGTGTAACTGTCACCTCAACACACACACTGTCACCCCCTTCACCCTGCCACACTCACAATAACTCCACCAATCCTGTCACTCACCCATGCCATACTAACCTCCCATTGCACTGCCAAATTCACCCTATTACCCTCACATTCTCTCGCACTGTCATACTTACCCCCTAATCCTGTCACACTCTTTCTCCATCACTTTGTCAAACTCGCCCCCTTTCACCCTGCCACACTCACCCCCTTTCACCCTGCCACACTCTCCCTGTCTCATTAACCGCTCCAATTCTGTCATACTCAACCTCCCAACCCTGCCACACTAACCCTGTGGGGCGTGAATGAGACTCATGGAGGAGCTAAGGGGTGGGGGGTGAGATGTATGGGGGAGGGCCCAGGGCAATCTTTTGCACTGGGGCCCCTTGGTTTCTAGTTACACTTCTGATAATCCACAACATTAAAATCTCTTACAGGTGAAGTGAATAACATTGATTATATTGTTACAATGATACCTGTCAAGGGGTGGGGTGGGAACATTCAGTTCTTGAAATTCATGTGATGGAAGCAGGTAAAATGGACAAGCGAAAGGATATGAGTGACTTGAACAAAGGCCAAATAGTGATAAATAAATAACTTGATCAGAGTATCTTCAAGTTGGCAAGTCATCTGAGGAGTTCTGGGTATACAGTGGCTAGTTCCTCTCAAAAGTGCTGCAATGACGGACAACCGGTGAACCGGCATCAGGGTCATCAACACCCAAGGCTCATTGATGCACGTGGGGAGCAAAGGCTAGCCTGTCTGGTCCAATCCCACAGAAGAGCTTATTTACCTCAAATTGCTGAAAAACTACAGCTGGCCATGATAGAAAGGTGTCAGAACACACAGTGCATCACAGTTTGCTGCATATGAGGCTGCGCATGTCAGATTGCCCATGATGAGCTATGTCCACCACTGAAAGTGCATTCAATGGGGACGTTAGCATTGGAAGAATCAATGGAGTAATGGAAGAAGCTTTCCTGGTCTGGTGACTCATTTGGATAGACCTGTGCTCATGCATCATTTAATAGGGGAAGAGATGGAAGCAGAATGCACTATGGGAAGAAGGAAAGCCTTTGAAGGTGGTATTATGGTCTGAGCAATGCTCTGCTGGGAAAGCTTGGGTACTGGCATTCATGTAGATGTTACTTTGACACATAACACCAACCTGGTGGTGTTGCAGACCATACACACCTTCATGGCAATGGCGTTCAGAGCATCTTCAAAACAGCAAATCTTGTCTGGTGTTCCAAGTATGCAGTGGTTAGTACCTACCAAAAGTGGTTCAAGGAAGGACAATTGGTGAACATTGTTACATGCCTTTATTTTTTCCTTACACTCTGACATTTTCAACATCCTTTTTATCTTGTATGCACACAATCCTTCTCTTGCATACTCTATCATGCCCTTGAAATCTATTCAGATATTAGTGTAAATATTTACATTTTTACAGTTTTATTGCTGACCATTTATAGACCACCCAGGTAATGCATCAGCCTCAGTACTTCATATACATTAATATCCAAATAACTAATGAGCACATTCCATTAATATCCCTGGAGAATAGTCACTGTATCTTTCAGTAGCTCTGTTTTCAACAAAATTATACGATAGACAACATCAAACTATTTGCAGGGGTTATATTACAAGGTCCGCTGTGCACTAAATTTCCCATGATTATCAGCAAGATAAATGATTGACATAAGATCATGCGGAGAACAATCAGTGGTGGCTGGTGAAGTTTAAAGTTGGTTAGTCACTAAATTCCACCCTCAAAATCTGTCTCCATTTGACTTGTTGGACCGATGTAAGCCCATGATTTCAACCCCAAACAAAATGAGAGGTCATGCTCTATACATTGCATAGATGAATGTATTTAAGAAACAACCACTTGCAAAATCAGTGAGTAACATCAGAAATCCCATTAGACTATGCATATCTGAGGGGTCTGTACCCAGAAAATGGGGAAATTCTTTCTGAAATACCCCCCAAATTGTGATATGTTTATTTGACCAGTTTTTCGGCAACATCTTCAGCCATCAAGAAATGGGGAGGAGACAGGCACATTTTGTTTTTCTAGTATACATGTGTCATTAGTCCTTACCATGCCGTTATTTTTTTTTCTTTTGTTGCAACAAAGATTGGGATGCATTGCCCCACCTGCCCCTATGAACCAGCCTGCACTTAGTACAGGACAAAATGGATATAGAAGTAAAACAAATGACCTATTTAGCTATCACTGCTCATCTCTGCAACACAAAAGGAAAGCATAAGCAAATCATACATTGAAAAACAATGTACATTGTCAACATATTTCTTCAGTGTATCCTGTTTAGATTGCCATTAGAATTTTCACTCAGACCATAGGCGTGCGCACGGGGTGTACTGGGTGTGCCTAGGCACACCCTAATCCCTGCGGCACGTGCTATGTGCCTCCCTCCGTGGATCTCCCTCACCGACCCACAGGATGTGAGGGAAGCAGGAGAGGACCCAGGAAGCTCTTGCCAGCAGCTCCGCCGGGTTCCTCTTGCGCGGTTACCGTGGCAACGCTCAGATCTCGCGAGAGTGAACTCTAGCCCCACAGGGGGCTAGAGTTTACTCTCTACTGGACCACCAGGGAAGGCAGCAGCACAGTCCCCCCTCCCTACATAAGGTAAGAAGGGAGGGGGGATATTAACTAAACGGCCCCCACAGCCCACACATTACACACAAACAGCACACACACACATACATTACCCTTACACATACAGCATACACAGCACCCTCACACTAACAACACCCTTACACACACAGCACCCTCACACATACACACACACAGCACACACTAACAGCACCCTTACACACACAGCACCCTTACACATACACACTAACAGCACCCTTACACACAGCACCCTTACACACACACACAGCACACCTAACACACACACACACACACACTAACAGCACCCTCACACTAACAACACCCTTACACACACAGCACCCTCACACATACACACACATCCCACACTAACAGCACCCTTACACATACACATGCTAACAGCACCCTCACACACAGCACCCTTACACACACACAGCACACATTAACAGCACCCTTACACACAGCACCCTCACACACACAGCACACACAACAGCACACACACACACAACACCCCCACACAGCAACACACACAGCACACCCAACAGCACACACACACACAGCACACACACACACACCAACATACACACAGCACACACACATACACACACACACCCTTACACACACAGCACCCTCACACACACACACACACACACACACTAACAGCACCCTTACACATACACACACACACACAGCACACACTAACAGCACCCTTACACACAGCATCTTCACACACACACAGCGCCTTCACACACAGCGCCTCCACACACACACACAGCGCCTCCACACACACAGGTGTGTGTGTATGTATGTGTATGCATATATATATATATATTTACGCGGTGTGTGTGTTTCTGCTTTTGGGTGCACACCCTTATACAATAGGCTGTGCACGCCTATGACTCAGACAATACGGTGAACCCAGCTCACCACATATGTAGGTATTTATTAAGAGACAAGATAGCCCAATGCGTATACGTCTTGTTTTAATTAAACAATGAAAGCTGATAATTCCTCATTTGTAGCTACGAAATGATGGTAAGACATTTTTTTCTGCAGAGTTACAATGAAATTAATGACCTGTCAATCAAGGGATGCATGTGACAAGGCAAATTCCAGGCATTATTCATATCTTTGAGGTAGAATGCTAGCTATCTTACTTCCTGACTCTCATACCCTTCCCTGACATCACTTGTGCACTGTTACAGTTGCCATAGAGAATCATTGACTGTGGAATTGTACGCCACTTGCGGTGAGCGGCGCACATGCACTTACGTTCACCAATGCTTCCCTATAAGGAGCAATGGATTGGCCTGTCTGTAACATATTCATCCCCACCTTGCGGTATCTGCGGCACGTTGGTAGACGCCAGCCGCTGTGGCCCACGTCCGTCCACGGTGATTATGACGTCGGCGTGCATGTGACGTCATGCAGGAGACGCGCTTACGTTCTGGGTTCAAAGGCCAATTTTGGCCAATCGGAAGTGTTTAAGGCTTATTAAAATGCATTCTTCCTTTCCCTCTTTGCCCTGTCGTTGTTTCCCTATTGGTTGTCCAAGAGTGTGTTCCTGACCGTTTATTTCTGGTTATTGACTTTGGCTTTGTTTGACTTCCCTGTATTCTGGTATCCCTGACTTTTGGCTTTCCCTCATCGTTGTGTTTCATTCTGTGTCCCCGACCTCGGCAAGTATCCTGAATATTCTCTGGTACGTTAAGTTTGGCCATTCTAAGGCCCAGTAAGACATTACCTGTTAGTCCTAGGTGTGATACAGTTCTACGTGCTGGATCAACTTGTAATCCTGACACTGTCATCCTGGAGGCAATGTATTCCAGGTTTTGTTTTTGAACAGTTGGGGCTGGACCTAATTGACCAAGGGCAACAGAGCAGTATTGTTCAGAATAATGTACCTTTCAAATTAAATATTATAAAATGTCATATACAAATTATGCTTGCCGAGTTTCTAGCAAATATATTACATATCTCACCTATCAATGTTCCTGGGCACACATGTCTAAAAATTGACTGATAGGCGAGAGCAGGAGAACACTCCAGTCAGCTCTTTCATTCTTCTTTACAGCAACTACACATATGATGTACATTAAAAACTTAGTTTAACAAAACATACTTAATACAGTGCCGGTCCAACTGTAACACACTACACTAAAATCAACAATGTCTGGGTGCCAGAGGTACCTGCATACATTTGGAAATGTAAAGGGGAAATCTAAGCACCATAACCATTACAGTCCATGGCTGAGATTATGGTGCCAGTACATCTCTGTTCATATGTGCCATATGGTTTTGAATGACATTCATTATCTGAGCTTGCCTGGCAATTGGCTAAAGAATAGCATCAAGGTTTGGGCAAAATCCCTGATTCACAGGCACCTTGTCATCATTCTAATGGTGCTTCTAGTGCCCCTTAAAACACAAATTCAACAATTTTGTATAAATGAATGCAGTTAAATATATTTCTAATAATGCACCCTGTTTGAATTCTATGGATCTACATATCAGGACATAATAATCATCTGTTTCTTAGCAGGTATTAAAAGTAGGTAAACACAACCTCAGATGAACAACAACACATGACATATTGCACTGTCATGATTTGTTTAACAAAAATAAAGCCAAAAATGTCATGTGTGAAAAACTACACACTTTTAAACAGAGTGGTGCTGCTAATCAAATGACCTTGATTTATTGGTCATCAGCAAGTGTGACCACCTCTGTAAAAGCTGAAGTTTTGGCAGTTTGCTTGGCTAGAGCATTCAGATGTATGTTAACACAATGCCAAGGAGGAGATACATCAGCTATGATTTTTGTGATATCCTAATGAGCATGTGTGTTTTTTTTTTTTATTTGTTTCTTGCAGGGTTTTTAATATTATGCAACACTTTCCATTTTTACTTGTCTGATTCTTTAATAGAATGCTCATGGAGGGTTCATGTCCACTATTACACTGAACTGAATGTGACAAGTTTACAAATGTTTAAATGTTTTCCCACGACAAAGTTCATGATAAAACTTCACAGGAAGGCGTTGGCTTTGAACATAATCAAAACATTTTTACAGGGTCATTTGTGTCCTAAAACACTTGGACTTGGAATCAATGCGTGCACCACTGGTTCTATATATGGAGATTTAAAACACTTTAAAATACTTATCTCGTTTAATATTATAATGTAGTGATCTGAGTCACACTCTCCAGCTGACAGATGTAACAGTGAAATAAATCATAGCCAACAGAAACATTGAACATTACAACACTGCAGTGATGTAATAATCCAAATATTTAAGATAGTTTTGTAGTTATAATTAAAATGTACATATATACAAAGCTCAGGATCACCACTAGTAAGAGAACAGCCATTTATAATGTAAGGCTACTTCACTTAAATTTTCCCATGACCAAAGTAAGAATCATATCTGATGTAAGATTAGACCAAGCACTCTGTGAAGTGGAAATCGTTGGGAATTCAAAATGTATTTCAATTTAAAGGGACATTATAAGCACTATAGCAACGGTAGGTAAATGGAGTGGTTTTGGTGCATAGATCAAGGTTTCTTGCAGTCTAGTTGATCAATTTCTGTCCATTTAGGATATAAATGACTTTGTATATGTATATATAGCCCTAGTCACACCTCCCTGCATATGACATATACAGTCTCCCTACACGTTTCTTAAGAGATAATGGTAAACTTCCTTTACTGCAAAGTCTGTTTAATTTAAAATTTGTTTATCGCCTGCTCTATTAATAGAATGCCTGTAAAAGCCTCCTGTGTGTTATTAAAGTCCAATTAACAGAGCAGGAGATAAAAAGAACTTTCTAAGTAAACACACTGTGTTGTCACATCTGATTGAACTTTAAACCATTTTTTTTTTGTAAGCTGTGTAAGTCAAGCCAGGAGAAGTGTGGACAGTGCTGCATAAACAAAATCAACGGTGATTTAACTATTAAATGACAGAGAATTAAGCAGTGAGGCTGCAGGGGCATGACCTATATACTAAAACCACTTAATTAAAGGATACTTTCTGAAGTGCTTTGTGTGTAAAGAGTGTGTCATCTTTTTTTTTTTTTTACAAAAAGTGTAGATTTCAATAGAAATCAATACTTTCAGAAATAAACATTGTTACACCCCACTGGTTGTCAGTCAGACAACCAGCTATGTTACTTCCTGGTTATTTAGCGCAATGATTATAAACTCTAGATTATCATTGAGAAGTTTGTGATTGGGCTGGATATGAAGAGGATGGTTTGCAAAGGCTTCAGACAAGAGATGTGTGGCTTTTAAAATATATTTTTATACTCCCAATGAGAAATATCTGCTAATCTTTGATTTTTATTTCTTTTGCATTTGGGGTAGTGGAGGGTCCCTTTCAGCTAAAGTTGTTTTGGTGCTTAGAGCCCCTCTTTAAGGCTGAAATAGCTGGAAGAGTAGCTGTATTTGAGAATGTCCCAGCTTGGCTATTTCATATTGACTTTTTTTAAAAATAATTCAAAATTCAATTTAAATTCACTTTGAATTATCAGCAATCCTCGTTTTACTAAATAACCCTTACAGAGTAATTAACTAAACACTGGATTTTGTCCATCTGCTAAATGTGGCCCAAATCCTACTGGAATGGCAATTCTCATATTTACTAAAGCCAAATCCGGTAGGAGTTCTGTAGCAATCAGCTAGTTGCATTTTGTGACTAAATTGATCAATTAGGATACACGTACGCAAATAATTTTTCACTTTTTGCAAGCGAACAATGATATTAAGTGCTAGCATCTAGTGGATAAATAGTTAAAAATCCTTGGCACTGCAAGAGTTAACCATGTGGCAGCTGACCAGCACTTGCTCGCTAGCCGCCACATAAAAGTATAAAATAAAATAAAAAACAAGCTTATTTTACGATATATTACTATAAGGGAGGTTTTTAGCATCCCTGTATCCCTTCCTGCCAATAGATGGTGGTATATCTACTAAACATTAAAAAAAACTAGCAACTGAGAAGATATTACTGCTCAGTCACAAGAAAGGCCACATCCCATGCAGATAAGACCTGTAAAATAATGGGGAGTATATACCCTCCTCCACACCCCCACACATGGACATCAGTAGGTGAGGGCTATTATATTAAATAGGAAGGCATACTAATAGCCCCCAGTTCTCCCCAGGGGGTCTGGGCTACTAACTTTATACAGGGGGAGGAGAGCTAGCGTCCCCTCAACTCCAACTCATAGGTAAGAAGGTAGGGGCTCTAATTATAATATGAGAGAACATTTGGTGACTTAGCTTAGTAGCAGCACCCCTGTCTAGGGTTCCAGATTTAAGCTTTGGGTTCAAATATAAGTTTGGGGAATAGCTGACCAGCACCAGACTGAAGACTTTGTTAACCTCAATCTTAAGTCCAGGTCTGATCAGAGTAAAGGTAAGCTGATCAGAGTAAATGTAAGTAAGTGCAAGGAACCTCGTGGCATCATAACAACTTAATTCTGATTAATTTGTCATGCTTCTCATAGGGTCATTTTTAACACACATTCTGTCTGTCCTCATTTATTTTTCTACAAGCATTTCACTAACTGTACATTAGTTTATCAGGGAAAAGAGAGATATTACAGGGTTACATGTAGTTGCATTACCCATAAGGAATAACTCTGTCAAACACTGGAATGTGTTGGAATTTTTTAGAAATTCCATTGCAAAATATAAGCAGTTGATCATAAGAAGCAGATATTTTAAGTCTATAGAAGCAGGTTCCATAAATCTTGTCAATATACATTTGAACTTTGCTAATTGAGTTTTTTTCTTAATGTAAACCTCTTTAGTATATCACAGCCAAACAACCCAGGTTGAGAAAAATACACTAAAATTATTCAAACAAAATATATATTAAAAATCTACTCTGATGTAAATTAAATTCTCACAGCTTTGGACTCATGAAGGAGCGGCTCTAGACTTTGCAAGGTCTTAGGCGAAACTCAAACATAAGGCCCATTAGCATGTTTATAAGAACCTGTAGATATATTAAATGGCAGGCTTACAGTTTTGGATACAGAGAGGTAGTCTCTGTATTCATCTTTAGAGGCTTGCATTGTCGTGGCTCCCTATGCCGCTGTGTTGTGAAAGGCATGGAGGCTCATATTATGCATTTCTCTTTCTTTACTTAAAACATCAGCAAAGAAAAAAAAACAATAGAAAAAAGAATGCTTAAAATGTAATCTCCCAAACTCCATCCCTATATAATTCAGGATCACACCCCTAACTTCCTCTATCTTTGATGAGCCAACAATACAACAGCAATAGAGCAAAAATTGACAAGTCATGACCAGGAACCAGAACTGCAGCAAACAGACACCTTCAACATTGAGGTTGTAACCAAGAACGTGACAGGAAGAGCAGGATCCAACAACAGCTCAAACAGCTGAAACTCATGGAACATCAGCTAAAAATTACAAAGGACGAGGTGTAACCCAGGGTTAGACATCACGGAACAACCAATGGCATCACATCAGTTCAGACAGGGATTATAAACCACAAGACCATAGAATGAAGCATGCAAATGCTTACATAAGACCCATAAACAAAACAAATAATGTAAATGTCAAAAATCATACAACACAAACCTGACCGAAGAAATATCAGAAATAACAGAGAATAGCACGGAAGAAAATATGACCGCAGTGAAGCATAATAAAACGAGAAAGAAGGAAGGCAGAATCAAAGCCAAAAAGTGAAAAGGGACAATACCTGCCTCTGTGTCTTTCATAAAATTATGACTTTTTGTCATGAAATGGCAAAATTATGTAATTTAATCTCAAGACACGGAGGATCATATTGTGCAAGTTCAAAGCTGCGCAATCACATTATAGAAAACATGATAAATATGCTTAAAGTCAAACTCGTTTAAGGTAGACTCCTGTGACCAATCAGCATAACGCATCAAGTCCTTCAAGTGGCCCCCAGGGATACAGGTGCCATGGACCAAGTGGGCCCCAAATCGAGAGATATCCACACCAGGGGAGGACAATAACCACTTGTAAAATTGGAAACTGTATTTTGCTTGTGTGTGCCCTGATCGCTAATCTGTGTTTTGTATATATTTTGGTCTTTACGGCAGCAGCACTACTTAGAAATGCAAGTTCCGGGTTTGCCCCTTAATTCCCCTTTTTTCTGTTCAAAGCTTACTTGATCTCAGATAGAGATTGAAAATGGAATACAGATGTTTGTTTCATTTGGCTGACACACTTTGTTTAGTTTCAACATTCAAGAAAGCCAAACACTCAGTAACCTAGTAATGAAAAGAGCAAACATTGGGAGATAACAGCTCAACCTTTTAACAAAGATTGCTTTTTTAAAGGGAACCTATAGTCCTGAAAATAACAATTTTGTTGGGGGGGGGGGGGACAAGTATAAGTACTTTATGTTGTTGGGAATTTCACCAATTGATGTCACCCTAGTTTAATGTTTTTTAAGGTTTAGTTTAATAAAGATTACTTACCTCATTTTCAGGAACGAGACACCTCCCCTGCAGATGCCAACTCCCTGTCTGTCTTCATCAGCATACTGTCAACCAATCTGTGATGTCGTCCAATCCAATGCTTCGCATAGAGAAGCGCTGGGGGTGAAAAACACTTAAGAAGCAAAACTCCACACTCCTCCGATCAAATGCTGCTATGAGCAGCATTTGATTGAAGGACTGAGTTTGACTATTTTCTGGAAGACAGTCACTGAAGGTAACACCTTCATGTTAACAACGCCCGTTGTAAAAACAGTTACATTGAAAGGTTAAAGAGAAAGGACCTTAAGGGGGTCTTGAATTGCAACATTTATTGCATTTTATATTTTAGAAGCACATGTTTAGTATTGTAAACATAATTAAAAAAAAAATGTTAAGTGCTAAGCAAGTGCAGTAGAAATTGTTTGGTACACTGTCATTGGTAATTTTGGTAACCCTACTAATGCTTTACAAAGCTGTATTCCTGGCTCTATAGCTCCCTGTGCTTCCCCCCTCCCTCGCGCCTTTCCTTCGTGTTAAAAAGAGGGTTAAGAACCCTTCATTTACTTACTTGATCTTGACGCTGGGTCGCGGATCCGCCTCCTCTGACATCCCTCAACTAAATAGCTGCAGAGCGTGAAGACGTCCACCATCAATTACCGGACCAAAAGAACATTAACATCCAGAAAGTGCCTCTAGTGGCTGTATGGTAAACAGCCACTGGAGGCAGACTTAGTTCTTCAAGGTAAACATTGCATTTTCTCCAGAACTGTTTTACATTGCAGTACTAAGTGCAATAGGGACAGTGCACCCATACCACTTCAATGAGCTGAAGTGGCCTGGATGCTTATAGTGTTCCTTTAAGTGTTCTGTTAATATTTATACATTACTCAAAACAGTGCTGAGCTGCTAACCAATGTAGCTGTGTAATTTCAGCAATGCTTATAAAGTCAAGGTTATCCATGCATGTAGAATGGGAATACAGGGTTGTATTTGTGTGGAGTGTGTGTATGTGACTGCACTTTTCATGTCCCCTTTCCATTCACCCCTACCTCTGCCTATCCAATCCCTCTCTCCCTGCGCCCTTACTCTAATCATCCTTGCCCTTCTCATCCTTGTCATATGACCCTTCTTCTACCCATCCATGACTCCTCTCCTTAGTTTAAATTTATTGAGGTCCTATCTTGTTATCATACTGGAGGGGAGAGTCATCATCCCTGACATTCTTAGTTTGAGGCAGCTAAGGTGAGCTGGGTGGTAGCAAACTCTAAACACTGCTGCCTCCTCACTTCTTCTATAATCTACACTGATGTCATGAATCACTTCAGTACAAGGCACCAGGATCTATGTTTAGAACTTTGCACTATCCATAATCCTTGAGATTCCAGAGCTCCTGCCAGCTTCCTTATTTCCATAGTGGAAATTCTAAGTCCTTGTATTACATCCTTTTATGATTTGCCTGAATGAATTTCTATGTTCAAGTGAGATTATTTATACTAAAAATATATATTTGTTTAATCAGTGGCAATAGATAGAGTCCAGGGTTAGTTCACAGTTGGCTAAATAATTAGTCATTCATAAGTCTCGCGTTCCTTTTTAAGGCTCTCCCCCTAAATAAAAAAATTATACAAAAAACAACAAAGCATGCTGCTCAGCATTGCTCATGAACACAGAGGTGGCTCGTGGTCAGCAAATTTGCTAAGTCTCCAGTTTTTGTAGAATATTTGAGAATTTTTCCACAATAAATGGCCATTGAAAACCCAACCCTTTTGCTCAATCGATCAAAGAAACACTGAAGGCTAGAGTGTATCTCCATTTCAAATGCATCATACAACCATTAAAATTATGAAAAATGAAAAAAATACTTTAATTTGAAGTTCCTTTCCTTTGCTGTAACCCTTCAGCTTCTAAACTGAGCTCTCATTAAATCACATAAGTGACCGTTCTACTGTCTCTCGCAAACACTTCCCGGAACCTAAGTAAATAACATCTTTCATTTTAGGCGTTTGTTTAGATTGCATGCATTGTTCCAGTTATGCAAACTGTGTAGCTTTCTAGGTATTTTCCGGCCATACACATCATATTTACTCTATGTACCAGGAGTGCTCAGATATTTCTAATTTCCTTTACTAAACCTGCTCTAACCGAAGCATCTGTTTTTTTTACATCTTAGTAAGAATCTACTGTACACATCACCATTCAATTTCAGCAAGGAATTCTACAGAAATGTTTGGATCCAAAAAGAAAATTCTAATTTATTTTAAATAGTTATAAAACAAAAATAAAAAAATAAAGCAAGGGTAAATGATTCAAGAGACTATGTTAAAGGGGAACTATCACCAGAATTTTAATGCTATGTTTATTTATCTTCTATATTTAGAAAAATATATTATTACACATTATTTTGTTTATAAGCTCTGCCACTTTTGGTAATTTAAAAAGGACATTGCACCTGTGAGTCAGTATAGAGATCTCACCAGACCTTTGGTGAAATGGAACAGTTAAAAGCATAGACTTGTAGCACAGATATGTCAATGTCTTATTTTTCAGAACCTGCAAGGCAGGAAAAGGAGTTCAGGATTTCAGGAAACAAGTACAACGAGGAATCAGACAGTACTCAAGAGTTCAAGAATTTAAAGGATCACTCCAAGTTCATAGTGCACTTTGGTGGTCATGGTGCCGGATGTGTCCAGGCAAACCTTCCCCCAATGCAAGTATTTTATCCATTTTCTGTGAGGTGCACTCCCGCCTTCTATGAGAGCTAGAAGTTCTCTGCATGAGCTAGGCACAGTGGTGCAGGGCCTAACTCATTGTGTCAGGGAGTGTGTGTGTAGGCATGTAGGAGGCTGAATGTTTACTTGTATTTGTGAGTGACTGAGTTAATTGTGCCTTTTAATTTAAATTAAAATAAATAAATAAACCAAACTGTCTTAATGCTATGAAGCTCTTCTGTGGATACTTTTTGTTCATCAAGGTCATTTAAAAAAAGCTGGCAGCCAAACTCAGGGAACACCTAATGAATTTTCCTTGCTGCTGTGCAGCTCCAGTAAGGTATTTAACAGGCTGGAAATTTTTTTTACACTTCCTGAAGACAATGAGAGAAAAATTTCTTTGAAAACAAAAAGAAGTAGTACAAAGTAGCCAACTAACAGGCACAAAAGGGCCATGGGGAAACAAAAGAGACAAAGGGAGACGCATAGGTGCAGTGGTGGAACTAATGTAAAGTAGGTCCTGGAGTAAGACATTTTTGGGTTCACCTCTAGCACAACGGTGGCCAATAGGCACATCGCCATATCCCAGAATGCTTTTCCAGCTGGGGATATACCACTTGTCCATCATTTTGCAGGGTTTTATTTGTGAGCAGGCATGTTTTGTATAGAGGCATGTTTTGTTTTGTTTGATAACATGGGCATGTTGTATAGGTGCATGACATTCAAATCCCTATCTTCCAATACCGCCATCTGTTCAGGGGAGACAGTGGCAGGATTATTTTGTGTCAATTGGACACAAAATGTTTGCTAACAGGAGAGTGGCTGCAAATATAGAAATTGTGACAAATATGTGTGTATGTGTCTATGTATGTAAGATTGTTTTTGGTTGTCCTCAAAGAGCTTGTCAGCTTGTAACTTTTGCCCTCCAGCTCTGCCACCTGATGCCGATCCTGAGGGGGTGGAACCTATGAGAGGGGTAGGACTTAACATGAGGGGGCAGAGCCTAGCACTGCACACCCTGCTGGCTATGAATGTTTTCATGTTTATGTTATGTTTATGTGAGTGCCAACTTCCTGTTTTCCAGCGTAAAAGATGGTGTTGTAGCGTTACTTACCTTATCCAGGGGCCGGCCGCGGTCCTCTCTTCGAGCCGCATGCGGTCCTGCTGCTGCACGAGCCTCGCGCGGCTCATACGACGGCTTCAATAGGAAGGCGGGCAGTGGCCGCGAGAAGCGGTCACGTGTCCCGCCTGAATCTAAGAGCGCGCCGCGAGTCTCGGGCGCGCTCTTAAAGAGACAGTGGTAGCCTAAATTGTGGATATGACAGGAGCCAATCACATTAGTTTAGAAGCTATTTAAACTTACCTCTCCCTTTACTCCCTGCCCTATCGTGGTTTCTGTTTCAGTTCCCTTTAGCGCTTGTTGTGTTCAGTTGTGTTTTCTTCGTATTGACTTTGGCTTTGTTTCTGACTACGTTTTCTCTTTATCCTTATCTGTTCTGGTTGCCGGCTTGCTGTTTACTGTGTACCAGACCCCGGCTAGTCCTAGTTTACGCTGTCTTTCTGTGCCCTTGACTTCGGATCGTTCCTGACTCTGTCTCCTCTCATATACGTCGAGTCCGGCCATTCTAAGGTCCGGTAGACGTATCTCTCCTCTGTGTTGTATTCTGTTTAGCTGAATCCTGTGTGTTGGGGTATATTCTCGTTACAGGTTTTTAATGAGTCAGTGTGCTGGATTCTCTATGTAATATATGTGTGTTAAATTTGTTTCTAAATTTTTCTTTATCGGCATTTTACTTATTTACCTTTTTACAATGAGAATCTCCAGAAGCCCACCCCTTTTCTTACTGTTATCATTATGTCTCTTAATTGGCCTATATCTCCATTTGAGTGTCTGTAGGCTGATTGGTTATAACAGATTGCTGTTACACTTATGTACACTTATGTTGAAAGCGGCATTACTATGCAGCCTCAGTGTTTTGTGGGAATGATTTACTAAGCCATGTAAATGATTCAGTAAACAATTTACTCAATAACAGCAAATTGTATTCTATTAAATTGTAAGGCACACGATATATGTATACCGAAGGAACATTTGTTAATTTGCGGGAACTAAATCATTTTCTAAATTTCATAAATCGTGTGCACTCTTTGTGAAAACTTTTCTGTCTTCTTACTGCAGGACTCCTTACAAAACACAGAAGAAGATACTATGAAGAATTAAATCCCTTCTTTTAAAAAAAAATTTATACTTAACGTTTTATTGATATTTTTGGTGAAATACGGGTATTGGGATACAAAAATAAGAAAAGGGGAGGGAAAGGGTAAGGGGATATCTGAAATAGTTTAAATTAATTGTGCATGAAACTTATACATTTGTTTATTGAGCGTATACTACTTTGTCAGGGTTATTAGTACAAAAAATGTGCTTAATTCACTAATACCGGCTTTGTCAACCTGGATCCTTTGTGGTGACAAAACCACAAATTTCAGTCAGAGAGGACTGCAGTCCATTGGCAGAGGGAAATTTGGGCGAGCATAAGGTCTACGATCTGAGTATCCAACAATCGTTCAACCTGTGTCAGGGTGTACTAACATCAGCCTGTATGGTATGGGCGTGCGTATTAGGCTCTTGCATGTGGTGGGAGGGAGGGGTGAGGGGAGGAGTTGGAAGGCAAAGAAAGGGGGTATTACATGTACTAATCTTTATAGGTAGAACTTTGTTTACACCTTGCTTGGATTATTCGGGTGTTTTACTATATATTTCTAAGTAGTACGTGGCACTATAGCTCCCCATCCTGTAAGTAGCACCCCAGCCTTATATGTACAGGGGTAAGAAAAGGCTCCAGTGGTCTGCGGTTAGGGTGGTTGTGTCGAGTGTAGTATGACCCAGGGTTCCCACGTTTCGTGGAATTTTTTTTATCTGTTTGTAGGAGGTGAAGGACATACGCTCAAATATGAAATATTGATGGATTTTGTCCAGCAGTTGCTGTTTGGTGGGGCAGGATGTTTGTTTCCAGTTGGCTGCTATTAAATTTCTTGCTGCAGGGATAGTGATTAATGTCACCTGTTTTAGGGCCTTGGTCAGCTTTGGGTGGGAAAAGAAGTAGGCAGGCAGTCGGGTTAAGGGGTATATCTTTGATGCCCAGAGTCCTAAGAGTGACCCGCACGTTGTCCCATAAGGGTGCAAGGATGGAACAATCCCACCATATGTGGGTCATCGTCCCCTTCGTATGGCCACATCTCCAAAAAAACTCCAGGCACCTCGGGATAAATTTTGTGTAACCTGCTAGGTGTTAGGTACCACCTGTATACTAACTTCGTATGGGCTTCTATATAGAAACATAGAAAAAACTCCAGGCACCTCGGGATAAATTTTGTGTAACCTGCTAGGTGTTAGGTACCACCTGTATACTAACTTCGTATGGGCTTCTATATGAGAGTAACAGTTGGTGATGCCCCGAAGAGCATTGATCGAGAGTAGCCAGGTTTGCCCGGAGGGGGAGGAACTGTATTCCAATTGCCATTGGTGTTCAAAAGGGAAAGTTTTTTCAGGTTTGTTGCTTAGTAAGGAGCAATAACATAGAGATAGTGATTTGGGTTTTGTGGGTGTTTGCCAGTATTTATCATGGATAGGGTATATCTGTCATGAATCATAATGAGCAAGTTCTGTTTGCGTTAGTACTCTTGTATTTATGATGCTTTTTAATTGGAGATATTGGAAAACAGAGGAGTTAAGTAGGCCATATTTGGTCTGGAGGTCTGGAAAGGGTAGACTTTGGTGTTGGTGAAATACATCTGCAATACGGGAGATGCCACATTTTGTCCAGGTGTTTAAAGTCAACCATGGGGAAAGTGTGGTCAGCGTTCGAGGGTAAAATTTGTTGTCTGTTCTGGTTTCGGTGTAGTGCATACCAATGGTGGATTGTTAGGGTAGTAGAGTGAAAAGGATTGGACATGTCTGAACTGAGTGGTTTGGGTGTCCATAAGGCAAGCAGCAAAGAGCCCCCTTGGGCTTTTACATGCTCCATGTCCACCCATTGGAAAGTTCCACTACGTGCATGGAATTTTATTGCTGCTTCAAGTAGAGAGGCTTTATAAAAATTCAGTATGTTAGGCAATCCTACCCCGCCTTGGTCAGTGTGCCTCTGGAGAAGTGCAAGGGAGAGTCGTGGTCTATGGGATTCCAATATAAAGGATGTGAGGGTAGACTGAAGCATCCCTGCCTGGTACTGTTTGTGATGTGGAATGGTTTTGAGAGGAATCCGAAATTGGATACTCTCGCATGTGGGTCATTGTAGAGGGCCATGATTCCCGAGATGAGGTGGTTGGGGAAGACAAATTTGTGGAGTACTTGTGTCATGTATCGACCGGTTGAGTTTGTCAAAGGCCTTCTCTGCATCTAAGGCAAGAAGAAGGCCCTGGGTTTGTGTCGTGTGCATATGTGTCAATACGTTCAAGATTTTCCAGGTATTGTCCGAGCCTTGTCTCCCCTTGATGAACCCAGATTGGTTGTTATAGATCAGTCTTGGTAATAACGTGGAGAGTTTGTTAACTAGGAGTTTGGCATACATTTTGACATCAACGTTTAAAAGGGAAATTGGTAGAAAGTTTTGACACTGTGTTGGGGGTTTGCCTGGTTTAGGTAAAGTCGATATGTGTGCTAGGAGCATGTCGCTTGGCATCTGTCCCGTAATATAGCATGAGTTGTATAGGTATGTCAGGTAGGGTGAGAGGGTACTCGCATAGGTCTGGTAATATAGGCTAGGGAAGCCATCTGGGCCTGGTGCTTTTTGTTTGGGCAGGTCCTGAATGGCTTTTTCTATCTCAGGGATAGAAAATGGTGAAGTGACTGCTTCAATTTCGGTGACTTGCAAGGTGGGTAGATCTATTGTCTGTAGAAACGTTTAAATAGAGTGAAGACAGGGAGGGGTGAAATTTAAGTCATCTTTAATGTTGTAAAGAGAATTGTAATAGGATGCAAACTCGTCTAGGATGACTTGTGGGTTGAGTAGTTTACCTTTTTGGGCAGATTGTATGTACGCTCTTCTTGTTTTTTGTGAGCGTGCCTTGAGCTGAGTTGCTAAAAGGGCACCTGCTTTATTCCCTTGGGCGAAATCTGTGACGGTATATATGTAGGAGATAGGTAGTTTTTTCTAGTTCTAGGGTTTTAAGTTCCTCTTGGAGGGAGGTCAGCTTAGGTTGCGTGTCTCTGGACAGGTTTAGTTTGTTTTTGTGTGTTAATTCAGTAATGTCGTGTACCAGCGTTGTGTAGTGATGCTTGCGAATCTTGTTTTGGTAGCTGGAGAGCTTAATAAACGCACCCTGTATCACTGATTGTGGGCTTGCCACACTGTTTCAATATTTGTATCCGAGGGGTTTTAACTGCAAAGTAGGACATAAGGTCCTCTTTTATTGTGGAAACCAGTTCTTGATTTTTAAGTAGTGCATTGTTAAACTTACATGTACCCTTACCAATGGAAGGGAATTGCTCCCAGAAGGTCGGTGTAATGGACGCATGGTCAGACCACGATATGAGGCCTATAGTGGCTGCTTGAGTTTTGCCAATCAAGTGTGTGGGTATCAAGAACTTATCTATTCACGTATAAGTGTTGTTTACTGCAAAAAAAAAAGTGGAAAGTGTAGTCGATTTCTTTAGGGTGGAGTATTCTCCAGGGGTCAATAAAGTCATGACGTAGAATAGTATTAGACATTTTGGATGCTATGGTTAGTTGTTTCTTTGCTGTGTGTGCGTGGACTAAGTGGGTAGATGTTGTATCAGTAGAGGTATTCATGTGGAAGTATGTGTCGCCTCCTGGTATGACTTCACTAAATTGGTAAAGTGAGATTAAGCTAAACAGTTTGACAAAAACTCCTATTGGTTTTCGTTTGGACCATAAATATTGACTAGCGTGTAGTGGGCATTGTCTGTCTTGTTTATCGCTTATCTTTTTAACTAGTGTTAAGGAGACATTCTTACTGATCAGTGTGGATACTCTGCGTTTTTTTGTTTTGAAGCAGGAATGGAAGTCGTGGGGAAAGAGGGCAGAGCAGAATGTAGGCTTGCCTCCCCATTTAAAATGGGTTTCCTGGAAAAAGGCCACTTGTGCTTTATGATTTTTCATTTCTGCTAAGGCTAAGCTCCCCTTGTTGGGCCAATGTAAGCCCTTAGTGTTTAAAGATAATATTGTGATGGTCATTGGTATTGAGTGTGGTTTCTTGCATTGACACACAGGAAGTCCCTTCCCCACTGCACTCTTCTTGTTCTAGCCTGGACCTCTGTCAAAATAATCAGAGTCTAGTCTGGGAAATGAAAAATGCCATACTGGCAGTTTGGATTTGATCGGTGTATCGAGGGGCAAGGGTATGGACTGTTGGTCCGGACAATGATAATCCCGGGTCATATGGAATAGGTGTACATAGTGTGTACATAGCCCATCAATAGAGCAATTTCGTACATGTGTAGGTTGCAGACATAAGTAAAAATTAAACATTATAAACAACAGAACTACATACAAAGAGCCGTTGAAGATGGTACAGTGTAGTACAGACGGCATATGTAAGGCTATACATAGCATGCTGGGGGGTAGGTTTGTCTCCCTACAGGAGATCATTGCTGTGTCGTGGGAAGTCTAGAGGTGTATAATCTCTAGTGTGGTGCAGATTTCCTTAATAAAGCCTTGAACTGAATAATATAGAATTTTAAATAATAAGCATGTGATATGTTAGGCCTCAGTCCGTATGTGAGGTCAGGTTTCTGTCGTGTGAAACCTAGTCACTTAGCTGTGGATGTGGTATTCCAGACTCTGGAAATTCTTGTTGGAGAACGGTGGGTCGGTGGTAAGCTTCCATACTCCATACAGTTTGTGTCCATCTTCAAGTGTGAAGATATGTTTTTCTGTTCCGTTGCGTCGAATCATGCGCCGAGCTGGGAATCCCCATCGGTAGATGACTCCGGCTTCTCTCAAGACTGATGTTATGGGTGTCAAGGCTTTCCTCTTGAGGAGCATGGCAGCAAAGAGGTCAGCATATATCTCTGAGAATTTGTCTGGCAAGGTCTGTAGGAGTTTAGAGGCTTTCATATTTTTTTCCTTTGAGGTACATCACGTGGGAGAGATGTAGGTAGATTTCTTGGCCTTGGGAGTCGGTGGAGTCTATTGAGCAGGAGGTCTTGCGTGGACAATTCTGGTACCAGCGCTGCGAAGAGGACTGTGGCGTATGTGTTTAGGTCCTGGGAGGCTATGTCTTTAGGTACCCCCCTCAGACGGACATTGCTTCTCCCGCCACTTTGTCTGTGAGAGAGTCCGGTCTGGCTGTGATATCTGTGAAGGCGTCAGCCAAGGTATTGTGGGGACGGATAATTTTGTCTGTCTTGTCTTCAAGATGTGCAGTAATCTTACCTAAGGTTTGTATGTCTGATTTGATGTCACGGCAAGTTTTTCCAACGCCAATTGCATAGAGCTTTTGAGCTCTGACAGCATTTTGTTTATCGATGGGTCTGTCGCCGGAGTAAACGCAGGCACCGAAATGGACGTGCTATCACTATTATCAGAGTATGATGCTGGAGAGCTCGGGCTATCAGTGCCATCTTGGTTTCTCACACACGGCGAGGCCAGCACTGATATAAGCAGATCCGCCGGTTTTTGCTTGTTTTTATTTTACGGAGCGATGTGCCATGGAAGTCGGGCACTTAAGTTACCATAATAGAGCTTATTGTGGGAAACTGAATGCTTGTTTAGTCGCTGTGCTTGGTCTCGATGTATCGGAGCTCATGGCTTACACGGTAATCTTGGTCAGATGTGAGACCACGCCCATAGTTAAATACTTTTGAGTTATTATACATGTAGAATATTTAAATTATTTTAAATTAAAAAATTACACTGTAATCTTCCATCTGCCGGTTTTCCCCTTCCCAATTGCTTAATGATAATATTGACATGGACATACCGTTTGAACCTAAGTAACAGAGTTTTTAGGTGGGGGGCAGTGTTGGCCATCTGCCATGGCCTAGCAAGTTGGGACAGTGAAAGTGCGGTCACTAGGAGCTTTGGCGTTATATTGGAGTGTCCTTCTCCTAGATGAATGGCTTGACAGGTCTATGAGCTTCATCTGCCTGAGTTTGGGCCATTTATGGCCAGCATGCAGGAGTCAGCATGCATGACTAAGGTGTTGGACACTAGTTTGTCTGACTTCTCAGTTAAGACAACTTGGAGGCACCCTCGGTCCAAAGATTGACACCTTATAGATTAAATCATGGTGTGCCAAAGAGACATTTGAGACGTCCTATTTACTCAAGTAATGCCCAGTGCAGAGTGTCATATGGACCATCATCTTGTAAGATGTAAGCTATGTCTCCACTTACAACGCAAGGAGCTCCAAACAAAAGGTATCAGATTGGTAATTTCTAGTCAGTTGAGGTGAATGCTGAATTTCAAGCAGTTCAGTTGAGGCTCAACGTTTGCAGCTGCTTTGTGAACCCCTTCTCAAAAGAGCTTTGGGAAGTTCTAAAATTGGCCACCCAGAAGATTTCGAAGAGGTTTAAGGGTTCACAACAAAGAAGAACAAAGATTGGTTTGATGAGAACAATCAGGAGATCCTGATGCTGATGAAAAAGAGATCTGCTCACCAAAAGCACCTTGCTTAACCATCTTGCCATCATGAGATAGAAGCCTTCCACCTTGTATGCAGAAACCTCCAGTGCAAGCTCCAAGAGATTAGGAATAAGTGGTAGACAAACCTTGCAGAGAGAACTCTGCTTTGTGCAGATGTTGGTGACTGCAGAGGGTTTTTGAAACCCTGAAGGCAGTGTACGGTCCTTCACACAAACAGTGCAGATGGTCAAACACTCCTCACAGAAAAGGCGCCATCCTGAAACTAGTTCCAGTCGCTCTTCAGCATCAACTGCATGGTACATGTATCTACACACCATCGCATCCCACAACAGCCCAAAAAAAGTTGGACAAGATTTTTACTCTTGAAGAGACTGTTAAGGCTATTAAGTTTGGAAGTATGTAAAGTACACACTAACTTCATGATTTCTTTGTCTGCTGCTGGGAACAAGGCAAACTACCTCCAGGACCTCCTTGATAAAACATTCATCACCATGTATAAGAACAAGGGACAAAAGTCTGACTGCTTAAACTATCGGGATAACACCTGTCGCAGGAAAAATCTTTGCAAGGGTACTTTTGAACAGATTGGCACCCACCATTATAGAAGAACTCTTTGCAGAGAACCAATGCAGCCTCAGAGCTAGAAGGAGCAAGATCGACTGGCATTTGTTCTCAGTCAGCTCCATGAAAAATGTTGGGAACAGAACAAGGCATTGTACATGACGTTCATAGACCTCACCAAAGTGGTCAACACTGTGAGCAGAAAAGGTATGTGGCAAATCTTGGAATGCCAAGGATGACCTCCTAAATTCCTCAATATGATAATTCAGCTACATGAAGGTCAACATGGCCAAGTCAGCCACAGCAATGACGTCTCGAAACCCTTCCTTATAGGCAATGGTGTAAAACAAGGCTGTGTTCTTGCACCAACTCTCTTCACAATCTTTTTTTAGTTTGATGCTTCAAAAGGCCACTGAAGAGCTTGATAAAGAGGATGGTGTCTATATCCATTACCCCACTAATGGCTGCGTATTTAACCTGAGGCAACTACAGGCCCACACCAAGATGGTGGACCAACTCAGAGAGCTGCTTTTCACTGACAATGCTGCCCTTGTTTCCCACATTGTGACAGCCTTGCAGCAAATAACATCCTGCCTCATGAAGTTTACCATTTCCCTCATATCACCATTTGTGCATCGTAGCTGAAGACAGTCCATCAGTTCAGCTACGTTGGTTGCATCATCTCTTAGGACGCCAATATTGACAAAGAGAGAGATAGCAGACTGGAAAAGTCAAACAGAATATGCAGCAGACTGTATGAGAGTCTGCATAACAAACATCTAAAGAGTGGCACAAAGTCTTTGGTTACCTATCGTCATCACCTGTGACTCCTTGAGTACTTTCATCAATGCTGCCTTGGCACAATACTTAAAATCCATTGTAATGACTTCATAACCAGCGTTGAAGTTCTTGAACAGGCAGAGACAACCAGTCTCTGAAGATCATTGCCTACCTAAGGTTGTGCTGTATGGTGAACCCACCACTGGGCACAACAACAGTGGAGCACCAAAGAAGAGGTACTAGGACTCTCTGAAGAAATCACTTTGTGCCTGTCATATTGACCATTATCACTGGCCTGCTCTAACCTTTGATCACGAGAATTGAAGACATACCATTCATCAGGCTATCTCCTCTTTCGAGAATGCTTGCAGGGCAGATATTGAGTATAAAAAGAAACAGAGGAACCTTGACATTGTGGCAGAGTCAGACCAGATTTTCCCTTCCAGCTGCTGAAGCTAGATCTGCCTTTGGCTCCATCAGCCATGGGCTTGTCTGCAGCAGTAATGGACAAACTGCTTCCTAAATCTTCAAGCCAAGAATTACATTCAAACAAAACAAAAACAAAAATTCCAGCTTTTACTAATCACTGTCAGCATTGACACATTGGTAAACTTGTCAGTGTTGTATCCTTCTGTAGGATTTTAGATGTGTTAGTGAAGAAGCAGACAAATTCACATTTTTTAATTGGGTGAATTGTGGCCCATGTTGTAACTGGCATGCAAACCAGCCTCTCTGAATATGCCAATCAATCTAATTTTTCTTTGCTTCACTCCTGCTGTATGCAAGGTGGATGGAGGTAAACAGAGGAACAAGGTTGATACTTTAATTATGCTAATGCAGCTTCTATTACAAGTTGCAGCTTTGAAACCTTCTAAAAGGTAAACTTTAACCTCACAGAAGCCTGCAATTCAGAAGGTAACAGCTTCTCACTTCCTGAAAGATGCTTCATGTGATATTTCCAATGCATGCTCTCCAGAAGTATTCAGAAGTTGTTGCAAATGCCTTGGGCAGTGATCTCTACAATTAGACCAACTTAAGTACTATTGGAATTTATGGAAGAAAATGTTAAAAAAAGAAAAAGCATACTCCCTTTAAAATAGACCTACTATAGACATACATTGTTTTAATTTAGATTAAAAACCATGTAATTAACTAAATGTTGCAACACCTTATTATAGGTCTAAATACACTGCCTGGCCAAAAAAAAAAGGTCAAACACTCTAATATTTCGTTTGACCACCTTTTATTTTGATTATGGCATGCATTCATTGTGGCATTGTTTCGATAAGCTTCTGCAATGTCACAAGATTTATTTCCATTCAGTGTTGCATTAAATTTTCACCAGGATCTTGTATTTATGATGGAGAGTTGGACCACTGCACAAAGCCTTCTCTAGGCCATCGCAAAGATTCTCAATGGGGTTAAGCCCTGGACTCTGTGGTGGCCAATCCATGTGTGAAAATTATGTCTCATGCTCCCTGAACCACTCTTTCACAATTCGAGCCTGATGAAACCTGGCATTGCCGTGCCAATATGGAAGAAAAAATCCATTGATGGAATAACCTGGTCATTCAGTATATTCAGGTAGTCAACTGACCTCGTTCTTTGGGCACCTAATGTTGCTGAACCTAGACCTGACCAACTGCAGCAACCCCAGATCATAGCACTGCCCCCACAGGCTTGTACAGTAGGGACTAGACATAATGGGTGCATCACTTCATCGGCCTCTCTACTTACCCTGATTCGCCCATCACTGGTGGTTTCCCACTATCCTTCCTGTTTTTAACCCAAATTTAGTAGTTTCTGCTATCTCCTTAGATATTTTCTCTGCTTGATGCATGCCAATGATTTGACCCTTCCCAAACCGACTAACATCTTTTCCACAACCACAGGATATGTCTTTCGACATGGTTGTTTAAGAAATGAGAAGCTACTCATTGCACCAGCTGGGGTTAAATAACTTGTTGCCAGCTGAAAGATAATCGCCCATGCAGTAACTATCCAATAAGAGACTCTTACCTATTTGCTAAGTTAAATCCAGGTGGAAATACATACTGTGGCAGTATACCCTTGAGAAGATGGGTTACTACTGCCTAGGTCAGGGATAGGCAACCTTCGGCACTCCAGATATTTTGGACTACACCTCTCATAATGCTTTGCTAGCATTATGGGTGTAAGAGCACTATGGGGGATGTAGTCCACAACATCTGGAGTGTCGAAGATTGCCTATCCCTGGCCTAGGTTGTCCCTATCCAGTTGTGAATAACTCCAGAGTGATTATACCATCCTGAACAGAATACTGCTGTGTCACCTAAACACCAGCCAAGACTTAGTGAAGGGTGAAGAAGAACTGGTTTATTAGCTATGGCTAGCCCGAATTAGGGAGAAGTATAAAGTTTCAGTGGAACATGGATAGCCGCCGATGCGACACAGGGCTCCAGAGTGCTTGGTAGAGTTTCCTGGTCACCTTAAACCACTGCGCTTTTCGTGAGTACATGAAGCTCTCCCAAATCATCCTTGGTGTGGTTCAATGCCTCTCCACCTCCTCTGTTTATTCTCCAAAGAGCACCCTGATTGAGTGTTCTGTGAATAAAAAGCACTCTGATGAAAGTTTTAGCAGACTGCGGTGACTCTGATATCCATTTCAGAGTTCCAGTGTAATTTAGAGTCAGGGTAATTTAGAGTCAGGGGCACCATGTCTCAGCACTCCAGTTGGTGAAAGATGTGCCATTCTGGATAGCCATGAAAGAGTCTGGGCAGGGAGACATGGGCTGGAGGGTTAGTCCATAGTGAATATAGTCTCTTTGGAGAAGGTAGGGTGTCAGGGAGACATGGACCCAACCTAGTTGACCAGAGGATTTGTCACACATGCCTGTGCAACAAAGTTACAAAAAAATAAAATAAAAGATGCCTTCTAATTTCTTGCTTCAACTCCAAGACGTTTTGAATGCTTGTTTGGTTTTCATAAAAGCTGGATCACAATTAATCTCTAACCCCTATTGTGTGTGAACATCACACTAGGATTTCAGTAATCAAAATGTAATTCATTTTATTAACAGCATCTAGATATAAATAAATAAATTAAACACTTTACGGGGTCTTACTAGATACAGCTTTATATGGGTTAATTGTCCAGGAGAGTAGGAAGAGGTAGTGTTATACAGTTGGATTAATTTTTAACATGAAAGTAATCAAGTACATTATCAGGGTTAGTCACTAAACTCTTAATTTTTCAAAAATTATAAGTTTATTGAATAACCAAGCCTGTGTAACGTGTGTCAGAAAATTGGTGAATTGAATACTAGAGATAGACTACCATTTTTAAGAGTTGTTTCATGTAATTATTAAATGTAAGCCTCTTATCGTTAAGTGATCTCATTCCCATGGCAATCCTTTGTTCTTATTAAAGTGTATTCATTTACTACAGCTATTGTCTTGAGAAATTGAAAGGCACTAGGATGACAGAATAGTGAAAGCAACTTCCAACAAACATCCCACCACTAATGACTTAATATCATGCCTCATATGTTGGATAACTTAAAAACAAAAGAGAGAGCCTTTAAAAACAAACCTGTATCATACTTTCTAGACAAGGAAATGTAGTCCGAGGCCTGCCCTTCCTGATGATTTGTATTATTACATTAATAGCTCTTTGGTTTGCTATACTTGGTTGGTGGTTTTGAAACAATAAGACATGCATAATGCTGGTAAAAATATGAAAAGTGTAAAAAAAACAAAAAAAACTGTTTTTAAGACAAACCATAAAGACTTATCCCTTCTGTGATCATTATTCCTGGATCAAGAAGATCCAGAAAATAAATACCACTAATTTATAGAATTGAATTACCTACCTTTACCAAAATTTTGTGTAGAGGAGAACTACATGACTTACATGAATTCTTTAAATTACGCTCTTTGAGTTCAGTTTGCAGAATGTGTCAGACCTCATTTAGCCTATAAAAAGATGAAAAAATCAGGGCTATAGTGAGCTACATATATTGTGGCATTACATAAAATGTTGTGTGAGTCGGTAATGTAATAAATTCTAGTTTATTCAAACATCCATATGAATACATTCCAAACTAATAAATTCAATCAACCACCTGTTTGACGGACAAACGCAATACTCAATAATGACGTCACTTGGAGAAGTTCATAAACGCAAGGTCAAAACCTAAACTGGAGGCTAAGGTAACAGATAATTGTTTGAAGAATTCCCATATCAGAGTACACTACGTAAAGCTATAGTCAACAACAGTCAGTCTTCGATCAGGAAATTCCAGAAATGATAGTCATGTTATATAACCTATTGTGAAAGCCGAAAGGAATGTTAAATGTCTAGCTCTGTATCTGTGAGGCACTATTCTGAACCAAATATCTCTACAGCACCTCAGGTTTTTTTTTTTTTGCTTGTTCCAACCTATTTTGCTTTGGGATATATGGCTGCTCAGTAGCTGACGGTCTAGTCCCATTTCAAGCCCCCACACACTGGAATTTTGCGGCAGTATATAATACAGTATATTAACAATGAGATAAGACTGGTCCTGCTAGGGCCTCACCCATTGCCATCTCTTCTTAACTCCCATGGAGCTTCTTTAGGAAAGGATGAGCGGGAGTAATATAATATACATTGATATAATTTCTTCTTATTGCCGCCACACAAGTTGCCCTCTCCTCTGCAGTTCCATAATACAGTCTGGTTAAGGGAGATATATATATTTTATAATTCTTTATTTTTGCAGTGCAAGGCATGTCATACATGCTTTCAAATCATTACAACAAAGCTTTTGTGAGTAATGTAAACAGAATGTGTTGTCAATGGAAATGCACTTTTTTCATGTAAAGAAGATATCAGAAGCATTATTCTATGAGGCAAAAACAAAGAGAAACGTAAGAGTATAATAAGAACAGAGCTAAGGAAGTTTCTGGATAAGTAGATTAGACTATCAAAGTCAGGTAGTAAGACAAGCTAGAACAACATAGTCTCAGAAACAACTAGACAACATAAAAGGCCTGAGGCTTGTTCAGCCAATGCCAAGAAATGGTGAATCCCTGCTGCTACTGTCTGCCATGTTATGAAGGCTCCTCCATCTGATCCAGGCCGCCAAACAGTCTGGTAATATTTCCCTCGGGGTGGTAATCAGAGCTTGTTATAGCAGCCCCTGGGTCATATAGGCCAGATTGCATGGGTTAAAGACCTCTGGGTTCGGCAGGCATTCCACTCACTGTACATCTCTCCAGGTGGGTCGAGGTGTGTACAATATGAAGGTCTAGGCACTGTGGGATCACTGGCCTCCGACGCATCTTTGCATGCCTTCTTCTCTGCAGAGTCCCTCTGGGGAACCGCTGGAGATAGGTAAGCAAGCAATGTCGATGGACAGGGTGACTTTGTGGGGCTTTGACTTGGCCAATTCTTCGCCCAGAATTGGTTGCAGATGTAGTCAAAAGCCAGGGGGAACTGTATCTCATGCAGGTCAGTCATTTTAATTTCTAGGCTTCAACCCTTTGAGTCACCAGTTGGCTCGTTAATGTCGTCAGGCTCACAACTAAGATTAATAGAAAAAGTGCAGTTAGTGGAGCGCTGATTGAGAATAGAAATAGATGAAAATAGGGTGCAAAAATAGGGAACCTAACAACCTATACTTAACTAAATAATTAAACTAAACTAAATAATTAAACTAAACTATTATACTGAACTAAAAAAAAAAAAAAACATTCTCTTCTAATAGATAATAAGCCAATGACTCAAATACAAAACCACACTCAAGTAAGATTACAAAACGTCAATATATCAAAAATGTAGAAAGATTTAATAAAAGTTAACACAGCTAAGATTCACCCGTGGGGATCGGGATATCCCCCACTGGTTAAGTGGGGGGGAGGGGGGCAGGCTCTTTGTTAGCTAGCTCCAAATCAGGGACGAGGACGAGGATCGGCCACCTCTCCGCCCCTGACTGGAACTGCAGGCCACAGTAAAATGGCTGTAGCCACCGGCCGTAGGCAAAAAGAACTCGATTGAACAGCTGTGTGCTCCCCGGTATTATAAACAGGAATGCCGCCAGAAAAGAGAGCAATATAGCCCAATTTAAGTATTTATAAAATATTTACTGGAGCAGTAAACCGCAGTGACCTCAAGCAGCCAACTGTCACGGTGCTGCGGGTTTCTGTCGGCATGGCCGCACTGAAAAACAGCGGTCTGTCACATGTTCATCCTCGCCTTGCGACATTGATGGTGGTTTCCTTGCCAATAAAAGTGGTGGTGCCGTTCAGCGGCCATGCGTCAAAGTGTCTGACCCCTGCAGCATGTTGATGGCTGAGGCGGATCCACACTAATTTATAACCTTACGTCCGTCCACAGCATGGAAGACCTTGACGTGCGTGTGACGTCAGGTAAAGGAGACACACGCACGTTCTGGGGTCAAAGGCCGGTTTCGGCCGATCGGATCTACAAGAGGGGTATTTAAGTTACCTATTCCTTCTGCTCATTGCCCTGTTGTGGCTTCCCTAGTGGTTGTTCGAGAGTGTTTTCCTGAGCATTTATTTCTGGTATTTGACTTTGGCTTTGTTTGACTTCCCTAAATTCTGGTATCCCTGACCTTTGGCTTTCCCTCATCATTGTGTCTCTTTTTGTATCCTTGACCTCAGCAAGTATTCTACTGTTCTCTGGTATGTTAAGTCCGGCCATTCTAAGGCCCAGTAAGATGTTACCTTTTAAGTTCTGCGTGCGGGATCAATTAGTAATCCTGACACGGTCATGCCAACAGAAATAACAAACACTTATCTTACCTGCGGCAGATCAAAACCCGACCTCCTTCCATCCCAGTCCCCAGCGTGACGCTAGCCACTGCAGTTCTGTTTTTAATAAAGAAATAGCCTTTGCCAAATTCAAAGATGGTGCCTACTTGCGTGTGACGTCACGTCATAGACGTGCACGCACGTTTTGGGGTCAGAGCTCACATACAGCCAATTACAGCTTTAAGAGGGTTGTTTAAACCCAAATTGCCTTTTGATCAGTGCCCTGTCGTGGTTTCCCTTAGCTGGTTATCCAAGAGAGTGTTCTTGATCGTAGTATTTCTGGTATTTGACTTTGGCTTTGTTTGACTTCCCTGATTTTTGGTATCCTTGACTTTTGGCTTTCCCTCATCGTTGTGTCTCATTCTGTATCCCAGTAAGACGTTAAGTATTAAGTCCGGCCATTCTAAAGTCCGGTTATACGTTATCCTTAGTCCTAGGGGTGATACTATTTCTGCATGCTGGATCAATAGTAAACCTGACACCAACAAAAAGTTAGATAGGGACCCTAGAAACATGATTTGGACAAGGAGTTAGATAAGGACCCTAGAAACATGAATTTGGTTGACCACATTAATCATCCCCATGTAAAGAGAGAAAGAGGGGAGGCAAACTGGTAAACTGCCTAGTAACCATTGGATCCTAATCCTTCTTTGACTAAGATGAGAGTTCTGCCTTTGCCCTATTGTGAGCAATTCAGCAGCAAAACCTTTACAAAAAGGAATCTGTGCAACAACCACACATTACAGAACACCTCTGAGTGTTGCTGGAATCTCTGTGATGTGCTTTGTACTTCCTTCACAAACAAAACATAAAAAATTAAACAGCTTGAACATGGAATATGAGAGGATATAAAGGTTGGCACTATTGCAGATAGGGATTACGAGCTATGCATATTCGACATGACAGGATTTTTTATTTAGAGGGATCTTTACAGTCAGATGTTTCTTAAATTCTTTCCATCAGTTTGTAGATCATCCATGTTTACAATAATACAGTGCCTTCTTTTGCATTTATTTTTTTTTAAGCAGGAAGGATAGGAAGTAGACTATGATTGCAATGACATAATCGCCACTTCCTTCCCTTAATTATTTTCTTCCTCAAAATGTGTAACAAACACTTTCAGAAAATGTTAACATTCATTGAATGTGATTAAAAAATAAACAATGAACAAGATGTGTCCTACAGACATCACATGGACTTCTTGTAGGTAAAGAGGACATGAAATGTTTTCTGTTGAGTTTGAAGGTGTAGGGCATACCACATGGGTATTGTTAATGACAATAACTCTAGGAATTTTACAAACACATGAAGCACTTCAACTGAAGTACTTTATGTGTGAACAGTGAACCATTTCTATTTTAAGAAAGTTCTGATTGCAATAGAAAGTGCCTTTCTATAACTGTACCCAAGTACACCTTCCCAGCTATCAATCAGATAGCTAGGGCGATTTTCTTTCTTCCTCCCTGGAGCTAGGTGCAAGTTGTAGGTGCCTGTCAATAACACATCTGCCTTAAGGTCCCCGGAAACACTCTGATGCTGTTGTAGGCAGGTGCACTGCTCCTCAACCCTCTGCTTGAGGCACACCTAACAGTCCAGAATTTAGAGATTACCAGTGTGTGTCTAAGGTGTTTAGAAAAAGAAGAAGAAAAACACTTTAGAGTCTGAGTTGTTTTTGTTTTTAACACTTTAGACATTCCCAGGTAATCTCTAGATCCTGGACTGTTAGGTGTGCCTTGAAGAGAGGGTTGAGGAGTACTGGGCAGGTGGGCAGTCACAATAGGAGAACTGTACACAATAAAATGCAACTCTCTGAACATGCACACACACATGCAGTGGCCCTTGCCCTGCAAAGACTTCTCAATGAGCTGAAGTAGTCTGTGGTTGGACAGCCATGTGCAAGCCCAGCTGGTTCACACGATTTCTCAATGAAAAGCTTCTGATTGGTCATTCCACTCCACACACAAGAAAGTCTGTTCCCAGTGATTGGGAGGGCTTGCAGGTGCTGCATATATTAGATCTACAGCTATTGCAAGCTACAATTGCATTATACCCAAAGAAAATAAGCAAAAAGAATTACATATGTGGTTTTCTTTGGGAGTAGGTCTATGAAATTGCCAAAAAAAAACAACTTTTGTATGAATGTGAAGCTACTGATTGGCTTAGACCACCAGCTGACCACTCAAAGCCAATCATTGGCACCTCAACCTGCAGGCATTCCGTGCTTCCTCATACTGAATTGAAGAAACTGGATCCTGCTGAGGTCAAGGAGATCTGGTGCTGGAGTTTGGGGTTAATGGAATGGTTTAATTTGTTAAGGTAAGAAAGTGTCATGGACCTCTGGGCATCATGGGAACTTAAAGGGACACTATAGTCACCTGAACAACTTCAGCTTAATGAGGTTGTTCAGGTGAGTGCTACAGCTCCTTGCAGCCTTTTTCTTGTAAGCACTGTATTTTCTGAGAAAATAGTGTTTACATTGGAAGCTTGGAACACCTCTTGTTGCAGTCAATCAGACGGCCACCAGAGGGACTTCCGAGTTCAGAAGCCCTAAAAAGGCTTCATTCACGTCTGACGTATTCACGCACGGGTGAATACTTCAGACGTGCTATCAGCACACAAAGCACTGTGAACGCGCTTTGTGTGCTGAGGCTGTCAGCACTGCGTGGCAGTGGCTTGAGCTGACAGGCTGAAGACCGAAGAGGAGAAGAGGAGGATTCAAACTGTAAGTACACTTATTTAGTGAGTGTGGGTGGGTGACTGGGTGAGGATGGATGATGGGGATAAATGGATATGGATGATGGGGATGGATGGATATGGATGATGGGGATGGATGGATATGGATGATGGGAGTGAGTGGATGGATATGGATGATGGGAGTGAGTGGATGGATATGGATGGTGGGAGCGGGTGGATGGATATGGATGATGGGAGTGGATGGATGGATATGGATGATGGGAGTGGATGGATTTGGGGATGGATATGGATGATGGCAGTAGATGGATATGGATGATGGAGATGGATATGGATGATGGAGATGGGTATGGATGATGGAGATGGGTATGGATGATGGGGATGGATATGGATGATGGAGATGGATATGGATGATGGGGATGTATGATATGGATGATGGGAATGGATATGGATTGATGGATGATGGGGATGGATATGGATGATGGGAATGGATATGGATGATATGGATGGATGATGTGGATGGATATGGATGATGGGAATGGATGGATATGGATGATGGGGATGGATATGGATGATGGGGATGTATGATATGGATGATGGGAATGGATATGGATTGATGGATGATGGGGATGGATATGGATGATGGGAATGGATTGATATGGATGGATGATGTGGATGGATATGGATGATGGGAATGGATGGATATGGATGATGGGGATGGATATGGACGGAGAAAGTGTGTGTGTATGTCTAATTTTTTACTACTTGTGTGTTTGCATAGAAACACTATATATAGAGAGATCTCTATATATAGTGTTTCTATGCAAACACAGTTTGGCTGAGGAGGGGGCGGGGATAGAAAGCGAGCTGAGCTGTCAGTCAGACAGCACAGCTCGCGAACGCGCATTCTGCGCACATGCGCGGTTGAGCGCTGAGTTTCTTCATAGGACGGCATTCAATGCCGGTCTATGAAGAATGCGATTGGTGCAGCGCGAAACCGCGCATGTGCACCACATCGTGATGACGCTTCTTTTTGGCAAAAAAGGGGGCGTGGCCTAGCGGGGAGTTCGGCGCTGGAACGGAGGTAAGTTTTATTATTAAAACTTACTCGGATTTATTTATTTTTTATGGTAAGTTCATATAAAAGCAAGAAAGAAGGCTGGGGGACCTGTCTTTCTTGCTTTTTTATGTTGACTATAAAGTCCCTTTAATTCTGATGAAGATTTTATGGTGCCCATACAGTTTCTTTAAATAGATACCTGCCCATGAACATAATGGAATGATAAAACAAGTATCTCCTGTAGATTAGTGCACTAAGGAAAAAAATGAACAATATTGTACTACTTTGGCAAGTACTTTTTTTGGGATTAGATCATTTTCCAGATGCCGTGGGGACGTGTTGAGTGCCTTGGTGTTAAGTACTAAAGAGTGTATTAATTTTTCCAGAATTCCTAAAGGATTGAATTCTGTAATATGAAACATATATCCAGCAATTAAGTCTACAACTGCATCCTCTCCCTCTTTCAAGATTTAGCACCAAGCATGCTCCATAGACGACGAGAATGGAGGCCACTAGCAGACCTAGTACGCCAACATGAGATCTGCTTCACCTGGGGGCACCCCTTAAAAATTGTAGCCTTCCAAACTGGAAGAACAGGAAATGAGATACCACCTTGCTGACTAAGCCACAGAAAGGCCGGTGTGCGTGCCCCTAGCTCAAGATTTTCCTGGGAGGAACTTATGGGGAGAGCCCGGTCACTAGAGACTAGACTCCACTCAGCTGCCTACAAGGAGTCCCTCAGAGGTACGCACTCTAGGTGCTCCCGGCCGATAACAACCCCTCACCCAACCCCAGCCTGCCAACCAAGTCCGGACGCACAGTCCCATCCCCCACGGCCCTGGACAGACACCAAGACACTTACACCTGCAAAAACTAAAACAAGATACAAAAAACAAAAGAGAAAAAAAAAACATAAAGTTAATATAATTTAAAAAAAACAAAGAGAAAATGAAAACATAACTAAATAAAATGTTCATACAACTCAGATAAGAAAGGAACATACTATTATAATCCAACCTGTGAATCACCTATAAACCCACGATAGATATCAGGGTACCTTGGCAGGGCTACCCACAGGCCACTTTATCCAAAATCACGAACCCAGGGTGCTAAGAGATTCCCCCAAAGTACTAAGGGGGACGGGAAGTATTCCAAGTACTTACACCTCTGATCATCTGGGCTGTAACGCCCGCCAGGTCGGCCATGACCCACCTGGGACTACCTGCACCTCCAGCACATACATAATGGGGCAACAAAAGGTTGGGACCACAGGGACAAGGCGGGATATGCCTCAACCCCACCCAGGGACTTATAGGGGAAGACTGGAAAAACTCAGGTGGAGGAGAGAGATACAGAAACTGGACGGGGTTGGCCAAGAGACCAAATTGCCCATTCATGATGGCCCAGGGAAACTGCTATGTACCAGTTGCATAGTGTATTATAGTGGAAATGCGTGGGGAGTCACCAACCCTGAGAGGTGAACATATTCCTGCCACTCACGGGGGTGCACACCCCTACCCTAATCTGGCACAGGGTAAGACCAGATTGTTATACTTCTGTTTATGTTTATGGTTAATGTATCTAACTTCTCAACTTATCTCTTTCTTGCTTTTGCGTATCATATGTATTGATCTCCAATCCCAGTTCTCTGCTTGGATGCCGCCCGCGTCGTTAAGGAGGGGGTGGACTTGCCCCGCCCTGGACCTCACCCACGATACAACCCAATATATCTTTAAGGAGGCACGTGAACCAGACACTTACGCCACGACAGCGACACTACACACATCACCTAATGGCTCTTAAGGTACTGTCACTTAATGTCAAAGGACTAAACTCTCCAAAGGTTGCTCGCAGGGGAGGGCTGGCAGCCTTAGGACTGGGGGGCAAAACCAGTCAAGTGGCCCATTGCCCAACCAAATCCGTTAACCATCCATGCCCACCCTTTCCTGGTTTTATAACGGATATTGATGTTTTGCTAATCAGTAGCTCTTTGCCATACCCGCTCCTTCACGGCTCTCAATGTTGTCAGAGCGCAGGCTGAGAATCTCTGAGCATGTGCTCTGACTCACTAACTGAGCGCCAGAACCACGAGGGAGATGCACCTACTGCTGGTGTGCACCAGTGGACCACCAGCGAATCGTTTAAATTGAATATGCTGGTGTCCCCAACTTGTGAGCTGTGTTGGCCGCCAGGCGCCTCTGTTGTCATGGCACCCTGCGTGACCGCACAGCTGGCACACCCCAACTGCTGGCCCTGCTGACACACACTAACGTTACTACTTAGACATCCCTCAATATTAATACAGACATCTGAGAAAACACCAATAAACTGTGGAAACAGAGCTGATCCCCCCCAAATTTATAAAGATTTGCTTAGTGGATTTGTTGTAAGATTAAATCATGCCTCCTCCTCTCTCTCTCCCATGCGCTGCTCTATAGGCTGGGAGGAAGTGAAGAGTAATCACATTCTCCCAGCAGAGCGCCACCGGTGGCTGCATGGGGAACAGCTGTTTAATCTAATGCTTGCAGGACGGCCAGCTGCCACAGAACCTCTTTGTTCCCGTCTCTGCAAAGGGCTCCAGGCACTGCTTGCTGTGAGTGTGAGTCACTGTAAATTAGGGGCAGAGGGCACTTGCACTGCGGTAAAGACGGGTCTGGGCAGGAGGAGAGTGCAGTGCAATCAGTGCACTCCCCTCCTGTGGGTCACCAGTAGACTGGTGCACCTGCCCAGGATCAGAGCTGGTGCAAGGATTTTTGCCGCCCTAGACAAAATAAAAATTTGCCGTCCCCCATGTGACATCACAATGCCGGACCCATATGATCTTCCATATGAACTAACGCCAGTGCTGCACACAGTGTGTGTTTACATTAAAAGGGACCGGCTATAGACACCAGAACCACTTCATTAAGCTATAGTGTCCCTTTAATGTGAGGTAAATTATAGATTAGTGTCACTAATAATATACTAGATTGCCTACTTACAACCAGATGAGGATGATGATGGGCTGCAGTTTGGTTCCACTGGTCTGGTGTAGAACTGGATCTCTGGAGGCTGTTTGCAACTGTGGTCACAACATTCAATGTTCTGGGAGAATTGGAAGCAGCTCCATTTTTTGGGGGCCCCTTACACAGCTCAAGGTCTGGGCCCCAGGGCCTGACGGTGAGTATGCCCATAAGTCCCACTCATAAGTCGACTTATATATTCCACCCACCCATGAGTTCGCTCACAGGGAGTGGCATGTGTAGGGGATGTGTTATGTGTCATTGTAGAGGATCTAATATGTGTGCTTATGGTATGTAGTGTATAGGGATACCAGTTTGTGTAGGTGATGCAGTGTGTTTGTGTGCAGTAGAAGCAGTGTGTATTTGTGTATAAGGGACGTATTGTGTTTCTGGTTGTGTGTAAGGGATGCATTGTTTGAATCTGTGTTTGTATGCATAAGGGATGCAAGGTGTGTGTCTGTATGTGTGTGCATTGAGTGTAAGAGATGCATTGTGTTTCTGTGTGTATGTAAGAAAAGCAGTGTGTGTAAGGGTTTGCATTGTGTGTTTCTGTGTATGTGTGCAAAGGATGCATTGTCTTTGTGTGTAAGGGTTGCATTGTGTGTGTATAATGGATGCATTGTGTGTTTCTCTGTGTGTAAGGGAAGCATGTTGTGTTTCTATGTGTGTAGGGATGCATTGTGTGTTTTTTGTGTATGTATAGGGATGCATTGTGTGTGTTTGTGTGTGCGCGTAGTGTGAAAGAGCTCCATGTCTTGCCCCCTGTCCTATAGAGCTGTCCCTTCTGTCCCTTAGAGCTCTCCCCTGCCCCTTTGTGGTCTCTCCTCTCCCTCACCCCATCCTAGCCATCTCTTCTCACACTCACCCACCGTCCCTGTGCTCTTCTCATCCCCCCCTCCACTCTCCCTGTGTTCTCTTCACCCCCCCTCCTCCCTGTGTTCTTCTTACTTTCCCCCCTTGTTCTTCTTACTCCCCCCTTGTTCTTCTTACTCCCCCTCTTCTTCTTCTTACTACCCCTCTTCTTGCCTTCTTCTTACTCCCCTCTTCTTACTTCCCCTTCTTCTTCTTACTCCCCTTCTTCTTCTTACTTATTCTTCTTCTTCCCTCTTCTTCTTACTCCCTTCTTCTTCTTACTCTACTCCCCCCTTCTTCTTCTTCTTCTTACTCTTCTTCTTCTCCCCCTTCTTCTTCTTACTCCCCTTCTTCTTCTTCCTTACTCCCTCCTTCTTCTTCTTACTCCCTCTTCTTCTTACTTCCCTCTTCTTCTTACTCCCCCTTTCTTCTTCTTCTTACTCCCCCCTTCTTCTTCTCCTCCCCCTTCTTTTCTCACTCCCCCCTTCTTCCCTTCTTACTTCCCCTTCTTCTTCTTTTTACTCCCTCTACTCTCTCCTTCTCTTCTTCTTACCCCTTTATCTCCTCCTTCTTACTTCCCCTTTTTGCTCTCACCCTCTTTTTCTTCTCCCTCTTCTTGCTTCTTATTCTCCCCCTCTTTACTTCCCCTTCTGCCCCCCCTGTTCTTCTTCTTACTCTCTCTTCTTCTTTTCTACCTCTTTTATTACTCCCCTTCTTCTTCTACCCCTTTTTTCTTACCTCTTCTTCTTCTTACCCCCCCTCTTTTCTTATCTCCCCTCTTCTTCTTCTTACTCCCCTTTTCTTACTCCCCTTCCTAATACCCCTGCCCTCTTCTTACTCTCCCCTCTTTTTACTTCCCCTCTTTAATCTTCCCCTCTTCTCTCTCCGCCTCCCAAGGTGCTCCCTACTATGGTCCAAGAGCCTATTCTATTAGGAGCAAACAAAACAGACACCTTCCTGGCTAGAGTATTACGATCGAGAATGGGACGCAACACCATAACAAAACTGAAACAAATACTATAGCCACGACACCAGACGCTATTAATGAAGTATTCACCACATATTTCTTGGACCTATACAATCATTCCCCACACCTCACGACCAGTGGTGTATCCTGGTTTTGTGCTGCCCTAGGCAGGACAAAACTCAGGCACCCTCTCCCCCCGCGCCACCCCCACCCAACCTTTTCCCCCCCGCCCCACCTTCTAAATACACACACACACAAACAGTCAGATACAAACACACACACAGTCAGACACACACACACACAGTCAGACACAAACACACACACACAGTCAGACACAAAACACACAGTCAGACACACACACAAACACACACAGTCAGACACACACACACACACAGTCAGACACACACACACAGAGTCAGACACACACACACAGTCAGACACACACACACACAGTCACACACACACACACAGTCACACACACAATCACTCACACATAACACTTTTTTTTTTTAATTTAATCCCCCCCCCAGCCTCCTTAACCTTTGGGAATGCTGGGGCAGGGATTTCTCTCTTTCTCCCTGGTGGTCCAGTGGCTGCCGGTCGGGCTGATGGGCTGGCTGCTGGGCGGGCGGCTGGCGAGGGAGCTCTTCCTCTGAGCTGACTGCTCAGCTCCCTCGCGCACCGCAGAGTGAGCTGAGCAGTCAGCTCAGAGGAAGAGCTCCCTCGCCAGCCGCCCGCCTGACCATCAACCAGTGCCGCCAGCATGTCTGTTAGCCACGAGGCTAACTAGGCATTTGCCCTGGGCATTTGGGGGCGGCGTTTTTTGCCGCCCCTGAAAAAAGCTGCCCAAGGCAAATGCCTTGTTTGCCTCGCGGCTAGTACGTCCCTGCTCACGACCAACAACACAATCTATATCGACGACATACAAAGGTTCCTATCGGGACTGACCATTCCAAAAGTGAATAGAGAAGAGGCAGCATCGCTGCGGGACCCGATTACACAATCTGAAGTGGAAACGGCTATAGCATCTCTCAAGGGTAACAAAGCCCCAGGGTCAGACGGTTATGACATCAGTTACTACAAGCAATTTAGAGACGTGTTAGCTCCTGACCCTCAGTAATCACTTTATGCAGGGAAGGAAGCCTGATGCAGACATGGCTATGGCAAACGTAATACTCCTACCAAAACCGGACAAGGACGACACATTAGTTACAGGGCAATATCACTCATTAACACTGACCTTAAAATCTTCGACAAAATACTAGCCTCCAGACTCACACCCTCCCTTCCAAGCCTGATCCACCCTGACCAGGTTGGCTTCATACCCGGACGACAACTATATGAAAACACCAGACGGGGGGTAGACATTTTATGGTACATGGTGAAGTCCAAGATGCCTTCTCTGGCATTCTCTTTAGATGCAGAGAAGGCGTTCGAGATGGTACTGGGGCCTTACCTGTTCAACTTACTCCATTTCCAGGGGTTCCCTGAGCCTTTTGTGACAGCAATACGGGTGCTACATACGGACATACATGCACAGACGCTCATAACAGGAGCAAAGAGAACAACGGAACCAGACAGGGGTGTCCCTTGTCCCCCTTACTATTTGCCCTGACACTGGAACCACTCCTATAAGTTATAAGGCAGCACCCGCACATCCAGTGAGTGGAGGTCCTGGACAAACATTTACAGTGTCCGCCTATGCGGACGATGTCCTTTTAACTCTCAGAAACCCATTGGACTCCCTACACCACTTAACGCTCCTACTGCAGCGGTTTGGGTGTTTAGCGGGCTACAAGGTAAACTTTACCAAATCTATGGCAATGCCCTTTTATTAAGCAGATCCGGACATGTCACTAATACGCAGCCGACATCATTTAAGGGTAAATCCAGAGGAATTCATGTATCTGGGCATCCATCTGACAGCGAACCCCTCATCACTCTTCACCCGTTACTACACGCCCCTGACCCAAACCCTTACTAAAGAGTTAGACCAATGGGCGGACAGACCTATTTCTTGGTTGGGATGCATACACGCCATTAAAATGAACATACTACCAATGCGCTTATTCCTGTTTCAAGCACTCCCAGTGAGAGTTACCCAGAGGAGACCTAACAGGCGTACAAAGAGCGATTGATTCCTTCATTTGGCACAACAAGCACCTGAGGCTAGCACGCACTCTCCTTTACCGGCCCAAACCGAGGGGGGATTAGGTCTGCCTAATATAATTATTATTTAGCAGTACAATTAACCCAGATTATGCAATGGCACACACCCCTGGACAGGAGGCTCTGGGTTGATCTTGAGTCCCTGTTGACAGGGATGGATCTTCCGCAGTTCTTCATATGGGTACCCAGGACCCAGAGAGCTATCCTAAGAACCGCCAACCCAGTCATCCTTAACTCCATGCAAATATGGGACCAAACTAAAAAGAAATACTCCCTAAGCACCTCCTTATCCCCCATGACACCTGTACTCAGGAACAGAGCGTTCCCGCTGGGGCTGAGGGCCCGGGACTATGGCGGGATAGAGGCCATGGGGCTACAGAGATATGTCCACCTATATGTCGATCAAGACATAGTTACGTGTGCACATCTGAACACTGAGCAACTCTCAGAACGCGAGACTACGTTAGATACTTACAAATCCGAGACTTCGCACAAAGAGCTGAAGTCAAGGAAGCAGCCACGACACGCTACTATACAATCACCTTAGTACTGACAAAGGGCGCACTACGATACACTGACCAACGGGAGGCTGACCTGAGGGAGGTATGGGAGGGAACAGAGAGGCAAGACATTTGGGAAGCCTGCACCAAAATATGTGTAACGCTCCAGGAGAAACCATACAAAACATTATTTAGATGGTACACAACGCCAGTCAAACAAAAACATATGAAACTGACAGGGGTTGTGTACCATCTAATAGGTGTCAGACGACTGCTGACACCTATGCGGTGGGAGGGGCACTTATATACACATGTGGTGGGAGTGCCCGCAAGTGATGAGATACTGGCACAAAATAGTAGATTTAAGCTCACAGATCCTACAGAGGAAAATGGCCCCAGACCCGTGGGCATACCTGTTATCACGTCCCACAGAGGGCCTCACCAAACACGAACAAAAGCTCCTCAATATGATTAATCTAGCAGCCCATAGAGCATTGGCACAGAAGTGGTCATGCCCAGATCTCCCCCAAGTATCCCTGGTTAAAGCAAATCTGAAAGATAATTTCCTGATGGACAAACTCACCGCCCAACTCAGGAACACGATGACTACTTTCAATAGGGTATGGGATCTTTGGGAACAATACAATACATAGGGGACTCGTGAGGCGGCATCCACACTAGCAACTAGGAACAGCTGGGATACAATCACACTGACATAGACACACCAGAAGCCCGATGTGCGGCAGCGGCACGAATAACGGAAGGATATCTGGCCAACGCTAAGACTCAGGACACAGGCCACTAAGACTCACAGGAAAGATCGATACGATCCTGGACTTGGCCAACTAAGAGATCACATATCTCTCTTCTTTATTGTTTCTTTTTCCGATGTTCTATCCTTTTTACTATGCTTTCTTCTCACAAGTACTCTAGACTTGTATTCCGGCAAGAGGAGGGGAGTGGCAGAAATCCAGCTAATATATACAAATGGCTACAACTAACTGTCATAAGCTGGTAAAATCTCCATAGAATGACTGATGTAATCATTACCTAATGAAGGAATGTACCATAACCAATACATGTAATACGTGTAATAAATGTCTTCAAGTGGGAATGTAACTAGTCAACGCAGCCAGCTCCTCGAAGTACTGCCACTGTATATAGTTAATGTAGATTGGAAAAACAAGAAAAACCCTGATGAAATTGCAAACAACTGTTGGCCATTGTATGTAAGATGACTACTGTACTAACTACACAACTTTCCTTTCTGCAAGATACCACAACTCTGTCATGGCTTTTGCGTAAGCCTGTCTTGTCATACTATTGCATGTTTATCAGTGCAAAAATAAAGAATTTAAAAAAAAAGAAGATTAAACAAAACACAACATTTTCTCTTCGTGTATACATAGTTTGTGATGCCGTTAGCACATCATATGCTTAAAAGGAGGGAGCACTGCCCTCTGCCGTAACTCAAGGATACTGCAAGGGCCATACTTCCCTGCAGAATTGTTTGATAGATGGCTTATGGATAAGTGCAAATCTAACTCATTTAATATGCCACATGTATACACATACCTGTAATTAATGAGAAAAAGGAAACATTTAGCTGACAAGTCAAAGGGGATATTCATTCAGTCCATGGCTAATGACCTAAAGAAGTCTATCAAGATGCTTGCTTGATAATTTAGTGCAGATGTGGGTTTCAAAGATCCATGTTTTTATGATTGGACTATCTGACTACATAATACGTCAGCCAGAATTAAAAATTAAAAGGTCAGGTGGGGTCACAGGTCATGTGACTTACAGGTAATCAACCACAAGAAAATACAAGGTGTTATAAAGCAGTGAGAATTATGACATTGTATGTGTACAGTAACAAAAATTGGTAAACTTTAAAATAAAATATATTTTAAAAAAAGAATGAAAGAATTAGAAAAAAAAAAGTGGAAATGTGTCCCTAAAGGGACACAAAGATGGTCACCGCAGCGGGACCATAAGGTACACCAGTATGGCCGCCCTGGGCCAAAAGACCATGGTCGGCATGACTGGAATATTAAATACTGTGTCCCTTGTCTGTTGGTGCGGAATTCACAGCAGTAACAATAGCCTAACCCATCCCTTGTGCTATAGTGTGGACCTCTCTAAAAGTAGAAGGTTTTTGAATCAAGTCAGCATTTTGTTTAAGCTGCTTTGAGGAGAGCTTTTGATCCACTGGGAAGAAAAACCAATGCTGCCAGGACTCTCCTAAACTTAAACAGGGTAACCACTCTCTCATGGATTATGCCCTCCTAGAATTTCATTTTCTAGTGTCAGAGATAGAGTGGAACAACCGTGCATTTGTGGACATGTTCCTTACCAATTTACCCAATACCCTCTTAGATGAGGTAGCAGCTAGGTACCTACCAGAGACATTGGAGGAGCTCATCGTGTATCTTGCTTACATAGATGAGACTTAGACATAGAATACCAGAGAGAGGCCTAAAAGACTGGCTATCAGATTAGCTCCTACCTTTTCCTCAGAGAGGGATTGTGTATGTATTGTGGCAAGAGGAGACTTCTCCGTTTTTCCTGTCCTGAAAGGCCAGAAAATCCCAGAGCCTAAGGTCCCATGGAGGACAGGACTTGGGTGTTCTTAATGAGTCCTCCGTGTTTGTCAATCCAGAAAAAGTGAAGTGAGTTCCACAGGAGCAGTGCAGCCCTCGAGAAGTATTTAAGGAGAGCATCAGAGGTGGGAGTACGGACAGAAGATAGATGTAAGTCTTCAGCAGAGCATAAGGGCCTAGACGGGACATACTTGTGTATTGGGGAGGATAGATAGGTGGGAGCAGCATTATGTAGAGATTTGAAAGCAAGAACCAGAATCTTAAATTGAGCCCTACATCTTACAGGAAGCCAATGTAGGGACTTACAGAAGGGCGCAAGTTGGGAGCACGTAAGACCACTGAGAATCGGATTACAGTAGTCAAGGTGAGAAACGACAGTGGAATGGACCAGCACTTTAGTCGCATCTGGTGTTAAGTAGGGTACCAGTAGGGTAAAGCAGTGTTATGGCCTTTTCCCCCATACATTAGTCGAGACTTAATGCTGGGAGAAGAATTGGATTTATTAAGCTCAGCATGGTCATTTATACATGGACCCCCAGCATGAAATCCCTATTCACAGAACAAATGATCCCGCCCTGGTGCCTCTGTGTCTGGAAGATAATTGAGTTGCTACTCGCTAAACTAATTATCTCCTGGATACAGAGAGCACAACACAAAAACACCCCAAATACATAATAAAACATACAGGAACCCTCACACATTATATATCGTCGGATAGCTCTGATCCGAGCGCCCATGTTGGCCAAACAGTGATGACTAAACGCCACCGGGGTAAAGTTTTGAACGACCGCACATGTGGTCCGTGCCCAAAAGAGTTCCATAACAATTCAGGCTTTGGCTGGTCAAATGTCAGGAGCTCCTGCGGACGAAGCAAGGTGCACTCCCCCCGGCTCCCGGGGAACGATTGTAGTCTATAGTCTGAGGCACCTTACTTCCGAAAAGCGCTCTCGTGGTTGCAAGGGAAGTGTGGTAAAACCGGGTTGGAAGTTAATTGAGGTTAGCTGCAGTTGGACCGGTGTTTCAGAAGAGTTGTGCATAAGTCCTGCTGAAGTCTTTGTGGCTTCTGAATTCTGGTTGTAGTTCGAGGAAAGAATGGTTTCAGTGAGTTGGCCTGGAGGGGAAGGTGCTATGAGCCATGTGTAGTGACAATAGTCTTTTTTTGACAATGTGGGAAATAAAACACGTGGCAAGCATGAAGGTGTTGTTTCTGGTGTGGCCACATTGACTGGGTATTCAGTCACAGTCTTGTTGGCTTTTCCAATTATGATTCTTCCAAGAACCCAGTGGACAAAACACTACACTTGATCTTAGCTAAAAGTTGAGAAGCATTGAGACAGTTTTGATTACTCCTGTTTTTGCTGTCAATATGCTTGCAAAGAGTAACAAACAGATGACGCTGTGTATTATGCTTAGTAGACAGCAGCTAGTTATGCCATCAATTTGCTATGAAGATAGATAGCTCTACGTGGGATATTAATCATTTGCAGTTAGGCAGTCATGAGGCTATACTTGTGCTACATAGTTTTGAGTAACCCAAAAGATGGGACCATCTAACAAGCAGTGATATTAACATTTGTTTTTATTCGCATTAACCTCTATTTTCCAATATTTTTTAAAACATTACACTAAGATAGCCTATTTAAAAATAATCTTATCATTATTATAACATTGATTTAGCTTTAATAAAGTCTGCAGTCTTACAACTATACAATTAGAATACATAAAAGCAAGTAACTCAGACAAAGTTGACCGTAACAAGAGGTGAAGAGGGCCTTGCTCAAACAAGTATACAAACTTGTATTAATCACAGATTCAAAACTATCAAGCCCCAATACTGCTGTAAGAAAGTCAGTGCTCCATCAGCTGATCATCTGCAATAAGCAAAGGTAGCCTTCTGGAAGACCACACTAAGACTCTATCCTGCACAGCATCATTTATATTTAATTTAACCACCATGTACATTTATTTTATTTTATATATCCTGTGTGCATTGTATATGTTCTTGCCTTTATATCTTGTCTGTCATGCTAAAGTGTAGTTTTGCTAACCCTGTATGTAATTGTTTTATTCACCTATATGCATTCCTCTATTTCCCCTCTGATTTCTGACTGACCTCTGACCACTCCCTTCTTTTGTTGATATATTTGTTTTTCATTTGACTAACCATCCCTTCATCTCTCTGCCTAGATAGATATCCCCCTCCCTCGGCTTTATCGCAAGCCTATCTGACCCTCACATATCTTTATTCAACAGCCTGATTTCAAAGCTATCAAGCCCCAATACTGCTGTAAGAAAGTCTGATACCCGCCCTCCCCTCACCACCCCACCCTCATTATTGCATTTGTCACACCCAAACTTTAGATAAGTAGAAATTAAAGGTGTACACACGGCCTCTTATTAGTACACTCCTGCACTTTCTTACCCTATAGAATCTAATATTTACCCTACCTTCACCTGCTCTTGATATTTCAATTATTTCCAATTTACTTTTTCCTAGTTTAGCAGTTTCTCTTCTTTATTTCCTCCTTCTCCCTCAGTATAAAAATCTCTCCTTACACCCACTTCACTCATCCTCCCATCCACATTTACATATGCCCTAAATATGCCCTCTCTGCTAAACCTCCCCCTTCTCTCATCTCATGCCTTGTACTCATGTTTCTACTCTCTCACTCCTACCCACAATCAATCTCAACCCATTCATACAAATCCCATTCACACCTCCTTTCACTTTCTCTCCTCCTGCTTCTAGCAGCTGGTGGTGTCTCTCCCAATCCAAGGCCATTCACCTTCTCTACACACACTAAGAAAACTAGAAACCTCATCACAATACCCTGCCCTTTACCCTCACTTACCAACATTCAGTGTGCACTCTGGAACGCCAGCTCCGTCCACAGTAATTTAAAATCAACAGCCATACACAACTTTTTCATCTCAAACTCACTCACACTATTGCACTTACAGAGACCTGGCTGTCCCCCCCGATAGCGCTACTCCTTGTTGGTGGGCTACAATTCTCTCACACTCCCAGACTCAACTGTAAAGGAGGTGGTGTAGGCATCCTTCTCTCCCCTCAATGTACCGTTTAACCAATCATAACTCCCCCTGCCCTATCCTTTTCTTCTTTTGAAGTTCTATCTGCCTATTTAAACCCACTCTCTTAAGAATTGCTATCATCTACCGCCCCCTTGGTCATCCTAGACTATTTATTGAGCACTTTTCTTCCTGGTTTCCCCACTTACTCTCATCTAGCATTCCTTCCCTTATACTTGGGGATTTCAATATCCTAATCAACAACCCCAACTGCACTGATGCCTCTCGTCTGCTCTCTGTAACCTCCTCCTTTGGCCTTACGCAATGGTCCAGTTTAGCAACCCTTACAGCGGGAAACACTCTTGATCTCGCCTTCACCAATCTCTGTACCACCTCTAATCTCTCCAATATTCTTTTTCCTCTATCTGACCACCATCTGCTGACTTTTGACATTGGCATACCTAAAGACCCAATTGACACCACTGTCTGAACATCAATCTCACAGAAACCTCCAATGTCTTGACCTAGAGCATTTCTCCACTAATCTCCAAACTTTTCTTATACCTATCTCAAACCTCACCTGTCCTAGCTCAGCAACCTCCTTCTACAATTCCACCCTCTCCTCTCAAATAGACATCATGGCACCTCCTACATTTAAACGCAGCAACAACAACCTTGGCACACCAAGATGACTCTATACCTCCAAAAAATCTCCAGAACTTCTGAACGCTGTTGGAGAAAGTCTCACTGTGCGTCTGACTTTCTCCACTATAAATGTATGCTGCGCTCATACAGCTTGGCCCTTTCCTCTGCAAAAGTAAATTACTTCAAAACCCTCATAACCACACTCTCCTGCAAACCCAAACGACTATTTCACACATTTAACTCTCTTCTTCGCCCTATTGTTCCTCCTCCACCTACTAACTTGACTGCCATAGACTTTGCAACTCACTTCACTGATAATCTCTCTACATTCAGGGAAGAGATCTCTCATCTTTCTTTTTCCCCTTACAATACTTCCCCTAACCTCACTCCCTCTGCTGTTCTATGTTCATTCGCAACCGCTACAGCAGAAGAGGTTTCCAGTCCTCCCGCCCCACCACCTGCTCCCTAGATCCAATTCCCTCGCATCTCACCCATGCTCGGTCTTCTTCTCTTTCTCTACCTCTCACTAAAATTCTCAATCTTTCTCTCTCCTCTGGCATATTTCCATCTCTCTTCAAACATGCAACTATAACCCCAATTCTAAAGAAGCCCAACCTTGACCTTTACTCCCCGTCCAACTACTGTCCTATCTCGCTACTGCCTTTTGCACCCAAGATCCTTGAAAAAGATTGACAGACTTCCTCGAGTCCAACTCTCTGCTAGACCCGCTTCAGTCTGGTTTCTGCGCTAAGCACTCTGTGGAAACGGCACTGACCAAAGTATCCAATGATCTACTCACTGCAAAATCTCGTAGTCACTACTTTATCCTAATTCTCCTTGACCTTTCTGCGGCTTTTAACACTTCTCATCCTCCGCAATATCGGTCTACAAGATATTGCACTCTCCTGGTGCTCCTTCTACCTCTCCCAGTGCTCTTTCAGTGTTTCTTTCCCTGGCTTTGCTTCTTCTCCCCAACTCCTCTCTGTTGGTGTTCCTTCAAGGTTCAGTCCTTGGTCCCCTACTGTTCTCCATCTATACTGCCTCCCTTGGTAAACTCCTTTGGCTTCTAATATAATTTCTATGCGGATGATACGCAAATCTATCTGTCCTCTCCTGACCTCTCCCCGTCCCTCTTGACTAGTGTCTCTGACTGCCTCTCTGCTATTTCTAATTGGATGGCTGCCCACTTCCTTAAACACAACTTGAACAAAAATGAAATTCTGGTCTTTTCTCCTTGAATGTTGCTACTCCTGTGCCTGTCTCCCTCCAAGTCAACGGTGCTACCAGCAGCTCCACCATGCAGGCTCGCTGCCTAGGTGTTCTCTTTGACTCCGACCTCTCCTTCATGTCTCATGTTCAGTCTATCGCCAAAACCTGCCGCTTCCATCTCATTAACATTGAGGGCATCCGACCCTACTTGACGCCAGATGCGACTAAGGTCCATTCCACTACTTGACGCTGCTGGTCCATTCCACTGTCCTTTCTCACCTTGACTACTGTAATCCGCTTCTCAGTGGGCTTACGTGCTCCCAACTTGCGCCGTTACAGTGCATAATGAATGCGGCGGCGAGGCTCCTCTTCCTGGCCGTCCGCACCTCCCGGGCCTCACCCTTCTGTCAGTCCCTACATTGGCTTCCTGTAAGATATAGGGGTAAATTTAAAATTCTGGTTCTTTCTTTCAAATCTCTACATAATGCTGCTCCCACCTATCTATCCTCCATAATGCACAAGTATGTGCCGTCTAGGCCCTTACGCTTTGCTGAAGACTTACGTTTATATTCCGTCCGTACTCCCACCTCTGATGCTCGCCTTCAAGACTTCTTGAGGGCTGCACCGTTCCTGTGGAACTCACTTCCCTCCTCCGAGTGATGCTCACCCATTCATCACTCCTTCAAAAAAAAAAAAATCGATTAAAGACCCACTTCTTCATAAAAGCGTATCAATTAATACTGTTAATAGCTCCCGACTGATTTCTCTTTTGCAACTGTCACTAGTCTAATACTATCCTTATCTTTTGTGTCACTATACCCCAGTCCCTCTAGCATGTAAGTTCATTGAGCAGGGCCCTCAAATCATCTGTTCCTGTGTGTCCAACTTATCTGGTTACAACTACATGTTTGTTCGTCCACCCACTGTAAAGTGCTGCAGAATTTGTTGGCGCTATATAAATAATAACATAATAATCCATGAAAGTGAATGTGCTTCCCAGGGAGACAAGTCTCATAAACTGGGTGGTACATGGTCTTCAAGGCATCTCACCAATTGTTCTGCAGCGCAGTACCTAGCATACTTTATAAACATCATATGCTGTTATTATGCATGACTCTCTCCTCTGAACCAGACAACTAGAATCTTGATGTTTTAATGGAAAAGGGGAGAGGATCTAATTACATCCCACTTACCAAAAAGCATAGTCTTTGAGTTGCCACAGTTGATCTTCGCTCCTGAAGCACTGCTGAAGTCATCCCAGTTGACCAAAAGTGCTTTCCCTGCCGTGTGGTCAGAAGATGGTGACATTGTCCATGTAGATCGATCACTTTATTTGTTTTCCTCTGGTTCCTGGTACGGTGATCCCTCTGATCTCCAGGTTCTGTTCTGGTGGACTAGCTGAAGAGCGCTATACAACAGACAAAAAGAAGAGTTGAAAGAGGGCAGCCTTGTTTGACCCCTGATCTGACTGGGAACAGGTCAGTTTTCCAGCCATTCACCAGCATAGTACATCAGGTTTACAAAGGAACAGAACACCTCTCCCAACCCAAATCTGTGCAGGGCCCTGCTCATAAAACTCATGAGACACATGATCAAAGGCTTTCTCCAGGTCCAGACAGATGTGTGCAGCCCATACCTGTTGATCCTTGATGTAATGGATCCCTGTTGGTTGTTGGGGAGCTGGCCATCTGGGATGCCACAGATCTAGTCAGGGTCTATGATCTACTCTATGACCACCTTCAATTTAGAAGCTAAAACCTTTGCCAGGATCTTGTGGTTCACATTAAGGAGAGAAATTGCTTGTTTTTAAGGTTACAACTCTCTCCCTTCTGTTTATACAAGATCATGATCATCCCCTCCCTGAGAGTGGGCAGCATCTCCTCATACAGGTCTGAACCAATGAGGTCTCACAGCAATATGTACGACTGCCAGGAGACAATCATAGTCCAGCATCCTGCCAGGTCTAAAGGCTTTGACAGCAGTGTGCAGCTCTCTGTGTCAAAAGGGCTTCTAGCATGGGTTTCTCTGCTAAGAGAGTCAACCACAGACAAGCTCCTGGACAGAGTCCACCATGAAATCATGCCTCCTGCACTAAATTAGGACAGCAGTATCCTGTTCCCTGCAGAGCAGAAGGGTCCAGTCCCTCATCAGGTAGCAATAGGACTTGGAGAAAGGGATGGCACATTCCTGCAACATGAACAGATCACAATTCTAAGAAGCCAGGAGTCCTAGCACAGCATGTCTACATAACTTATCCTTAATACTTCTAACATTAATGGTGATAGAAATTGATGCCATAGTTAATTAAAGAGAGGAAAGGACACTTTATTGTCCAACATGACTCCATTAACAATGTCTTACCCCTGTTGGGAGAGGCTTCTTCCTTCTCCTCCTCCTTGATTTGTGATATCCTGAGGTGTTTGGGGCATTTCCACTTCTACAGGCTTTAATAGTCTCTGAATAGTCAGTCTCTGAATACTGTGGCTCTGGTACTGAGGCCGTCTTGCACGCCATAGCTTCCCGGATGAGTTCCTTTATCTCTAGATATGCTGAATCTGCATGAGAGCAGGAAGGTTGTTGTTGGTGCCTTTTGTTGAGAGCCGAAGGGCATGAGTCCACAATTTCGTCATGGCTCAGTTTTCATTTCCACTGGCAGGAGTCTCGTAATAGTTCTTTGAGGTGTGTGTCTGCAGAGGGGAGAAGAGGGTTAAAAGGGTCTGAGATGGTGGCTAAAGCAGTGAGAAAGAGGGTTAATAGTGCTGCAGTGGAGGAGGGATAGAATTATGGGGGAATGGGCAAGAAGGGATGGTTGGAGGGGGGGGTTGGTGGAAGGGGTGAAGGTGGTGACAAGTGGAAGGGTATTTTAGTTACCCTTCTTTTTTCCTTTCTTTTCTGTCCGCTTTATGTCGAGGGTTAGAGCTGGGCCTGTTGGTGGTAATCCCTTGCTTGCTACCGCTGCATACCACCTCTTTGGGCAGTCCTTATACATGTGGGAGACTTACCCACATAGATTGCAGCTGGTTGTCCTGGGGCAGTCTTTGGTCTTGTGGCCCGTCACGTTGCATATCCTGCATTGCAGTCCTTTTCCGGGTACCCTGGCTGGTTGGACTTCTGTCAGTTCTTGGGCTGGTCCAAGGTAGGTGTTGCATGCCCACATGGGATGATGGGTCCTTTTTCAGGCAGACCATCAGGGACCATATTCCTGTCCAAAATCCATACTTTTCTGTGATCTGGACCAGGTCTTTCACCACTGAGCAGAATCTACTCAGAAATGGTGCAAGGTTCCTCATTGGCAGCGTCACTCCTTTTCTTTCTTTCTTGGGCAGCTCCCAACAAATCAGAATAGGGAGGAGTCCTGTTTGGCAGTAAGGAAATGTTCCCAATACAGATTGCAGATTGCCATGGTGAGGAACAATGTGAAAGAGCTCTCCTTACAAGACTGCACGTTTAGAGTCTCCACCATGGTGAATCCCTAGTTCAGGATCATCCCGGGATTCTTACATCCACCTCCTTCAGCTTCAAGGCCAATGTTATCTTCATTCAAGCCTCTAGAGGGGATGCTTTCACTGGGTGTGCCCTGCTTCCATTACCATTGCTGGTGGAAGAGGCAGTACCAGAGGCCTCAGCTGCCATCCTCTCTGAGCGGGCTAGGAGAGGTTGAGAGAGGTTTGTGGAGTCACTAAACTGGGGTTTCCTCCTCCCAGGAATTCCTACTGGGTTACCTCAGCTTTCTTCTATGCAGGAGACCTTACTACCACTTCTTGGCTCTTCCCTCCTCTGCTAAAAGGTTGTGTTTCCTTGACTTACTTCTCCGCAGTAGGTCCTACAGTCCGGTCTTGACTTCCCATTCTGCAGTGGGTTGCGCTGTCTTGCTTTGGAAACCTACTCTGCAGGAGATCCTTATTCCACTTTCACCTCTGCAGAAAAACTTAGGGTAATGCCCAGTCTTTCTGAATCACTGCATTTAATCCTTTGTATGTTGCTAATGAGTGATCAGTGATGGTTGTACTGGTAGTAGATACTACTCTTGGTCTCAACCAAACTCCAGTTCGATCCTTCCCCCAATAGCAGCAGGTAGCTTAAGTCAGCAAGGGCAATCCTACAAGGCCAAGGGAAGATTCTCCCAAAAACAAGAACCCAACTTAGCTCAAAGGTGAGAAGCGATGGGCCAGTTTAGATTACTCTAGTTTTTGCTGTCAGTGTTTTCAACGTTTGAGTAACCAAAAGATGGCGCTGTGTATTATTACTAGACAACAGTTAGGTTGCACATTTGCTGCAAAGCTTGAAGAACCAGCAGATGGCGCTATGTGTGCTATTACTCATTTTCAACTCTGCAGACACGCAACTCTCCTTGTGCTACAAACCAACAGATGGCGCTGTGTTATACGCTTACAAGACAGCAGCCAGTTACACTATACATTTGCTGCAATGCTTGAGAAACCAACAGATGGCGCTATGTGGGATAGTACTCCTGCAGCGAGGTAGTTATAATGGGAGCAGTTATCCCCCATTGCTACATTCCAGGGTACTATGCAGAATCTTACTCGAAATGTCCAGATTGAAAAATAAAGCAAAATGCTTATCATACACAAGTGTATTGCAGTGCACCCATATTCCTGCAATCAATGAAACGATACAGTGATTCATATCCCTGCTATGGTACTCTGAGTGTTAAAATACCTTTTTTATTAATACTTTTACACAGACTTAAGCGGTGAAGATATTACTGCGTTGTCTCCTCAACAGAGCAGTGGACAAGATTTTCTAGTGACATTGATGTAAAACAGATAAAAATAGTATATTGCAATACTGTTTTTATTGGACCAATAGAACTTTGGAACCACCTTTTGGGAGATCCGCCCTTTCTTAAAAGAATCTCCAGAAAGCTTGGCATTTAAAAAACAAAAATGTTATTCTTTTAAAACTGGTATTTTCATGTGTTTATATCACTGCAGTAATACAGATAAAAGATTTACTCCAATGCATGTGTCACTGCAAAAAGTAAAAGCATGATAAAACAGAGTGGAAAGGGAAGCATTTATTGATTTTAGATTGCAAAATATATATCCTTTAGTAATGAGAATGTCTACAAGAATATTTCTTCTTCCAACAGCCACTAACCCAATACTGGTTAATTGATCTTCAGGCAACAGAGGGCGCTGTAGACCATGTCAGTACATTATTGCCAAGTCTTGCTATACTGCACATGGGCTGCGAAGATTGATCAACCAACAGATGGCGCCTTTGTAAGACTTTTATTTTACCATTATTTGTAATGGCTGTTTTTCCCCTGGGAATAAAAACCAAACGCTTCACTGAGCAGCGTGGCTTTCCCCAGGGCAAACATACCAACAGGACACTCCTTGTACCATAGCCACTACAGTGGGCTGCGGTGCTTGGAGTGTTCCTGCAAATTCTGTTCTCTATCAATGATTAGATTGGCTCCTGTGTTTATCACATATCGTATTTCATCCCATTATTCCATTATTGCTTGTTTCCAACACTATATAAAGACCTAAAGACACCAAGTAGTTATATACATATATTTGATACCTGTGTTTGAATCACAGGCTCAGTTGCTGAAGATGGTCACTCTTTCTGTGTTTTTAACTAATTAAATGGCAATGTAGATATTTTAGTACTTATATAGCAGAGATATCAGGACACTTCTGACACCATAACCACAACAGCATGATAGGTCTTGGTGCTTTGAGTGTTCCTTTAATGTCCTCTTTCCTGTACAGAACAAATTATCCGATTGCTATGATATATCATTCATACTAAGCCTTAGCCTGCCATACCTAAACATGCATCAGAATTTGTGGTTACTGGGGAATGGTGCCAGGGTACTCCTACCTTTTTTTTAACCTCTACAGCATGTTTTAGTGGATATGATTATTGGCGTTGCCCTTTTAGTAACTCAAAATAAAATAAAAAATATAATACAGTATGGAAATTTTTTTTACAGCATCTAAGGTATAATGTATACATCCACTCACTTAGAAATAGATATCAAAACTGATGTTCTAAAAATGACTCTTCTTTGACCAGAAACCCTACTGATTAACCGGTTAAAGACCAATAAATCTATATTGTCATAATCTTATTGATTGTCATAATTTATTTTTACGAATTCTATTCTAGAATGGAATTACCTAGTTTAGTGGCTGAATGGAGTTGCCAAAGATTAACAAGAAAGATATCCAGGATGGCAGTTTGTATTTAGAAGTCTTAAACAGTTTTTGCCATTGCTATAGTGTTGCACTTGGTCCACAAGAGACTAATTGGGTTTAATATTGATCCTCAACCATCAGCCTTGATTTATTATTTTTGGAATACGATTTCAAAATGATTTTTTAAAGATTATTTTAAAACTTTAAAGAAATGCAAAATAAAAATAAAGTTCAGAAATAAATTTTAATAAATCAATGTGTGTATATATATATATATATATATATATATATATATATATATATATATATATATAAACCACTTGAAAAGCGTATAAAAAATTCATTGAATCGAGGCAATATTTGTGCTTGATTTTTCATCTTAATTATTTTAGCCATGTTGTCAATGTGCTTGCAAAGTTTGAGTAACCTTTAAACTATTGTATCAACCAACAGATGGCGCTGTGTGTGATGGTACATGAAGCAGCCACTCATGCTGCACATTTTCTGCAAACCTTGAAGAACCAACAGATGGCGCTGTGTGCGACAGCACGCTTTATTACGCAGAAGCCAGTCATTCTGTACAGTTGCTGCAAAGATTGAGAAACCAACAGATGGCGCTGATGAGATTACTCTTATTTGTAAGCTGTCTGCAAACGTGCTACAAAGTTTCAATAACAATAACTGCTGGTAATATTTGTTCCATACAATAAAGCCCTGAGAGTTATTTATTTAGCAAAAAACATTCGATCAACAATAGCCAGTTTCGAAAATGATCCCTTTACAATTACAATAGCATTTTATATATACACATTTTAATGTAGTTTGTAGCTTTGACAACTATATACAATGAAGAAACTTAAAACCTAAAATACATTTTAAAAAACTGACAAACACAGAAGTGAAAAGTGTCCCCGAGGCTGACTGCCCTTCTAGTAATTTCACTGATACTCTAACATAGAAGCAGTATTCTTCGTTCATGCATCCTAGAGTATTATGCAGAATCTGACCCAAAAGCGAAATACATTTTACGAATAATGCAGTAGCACCTCTCGTCTCCCATAAAACAAGTGTTGTAGTGCAGTTAACAGGTGAGAGATAAAGTGATACGTATCCCTGTTATGATTCTGTGTATAATTAAAAATTAAATAAGGTAGGAACACTCAATATGAAATATATGCAAGCTCCCAAGAGGGCTCTATGAAAATACAATATGGGGTGCTCACTCACATAAGGCTTTATCCCCAAAAGCCCAAATACATATAAATAACAATGGAGTAAGGAGCACAACCATCAATAGTAATAAAACAATCTTTATTAAGTGGGCATGGCCACGCATACGCATTAGGTCTCCTCAGCCGGCAGCCAGGTCTCGCCCACCGGCTGAAGTAAGGAAGAGGAGGAGCGGCGGTGAGCAGAAACCACCACCGAGGGACATCGGCGGGGGTCTCAGGTAAGTGACTGAAGGGGTTTTCACCCATTCAGCAACCAGGGATGGGGGTGGGAGGGAGAGGGGACCCGCAGTGCCAGGAAAACGGATTGTTTTCCAGGCACCGGAGTGTCCCTTTAAAGAGTTAAACACATATTTCTTTCTTTTTCTCTTTTTCTTTTTTCTTTTTACAGTGTCAATCATTTTTTTTTTCACGATAGTACCTTCTCTCTCACTGTGTGATTTTTCTGTTTATTTTAATACATTAATAAAAGATAAGTTTAAATTACATATACCTGAGGGCAATTTCGTATTTAGTAAATCCACTTTAGGTTTCTTACTAATATGTTATGCAACTAAAATGTAATTTCAAACTGCCCTAACATACTCTCAATCTAAGAAGAACAGAAAGAAAAACACAAGAAAATGAAACATGTTAACGAGGGGTAGTGTATGATACCTGTGTTTAGTTAAGGGGATACTATAGTGCCATGAATACAAAGCTGTATTCCTCTAAGTATTGCTCCCTGCTGCCTCCCCCTCTCTCACTGTTAAGTAAAGGAAACCATTTATCTAATTACCTTTTCCCAGCGCCAACATCCCTCAGCGCTGGGTGGACACTCTGCCCCCTCCCACGTCCTGCGAGCGGGCGCTGATGCACGTCAAGTACTGCTCGCGCATTAGACCTCCCCATAGGAAAGCATCGATTCAATCTGACGCTGAATGTCCTCATGCAGAGCGTGAAGTCAGATACCGGCCCCAAAGTCCATTTGATCCAGGAAGCCCCCTCAGTGGCTTTCTGGGAGACAGCCACTGGAGGCAGATTTTGAGTTGCAATGTAAACATTGCAGTGTTTCTGGAACAGCAATGTTTAATATTACAGCACTAATTGCTAAACAGACAGCGTAACCACACCACTTCAATGAGCTGAAGTGGTCTGGGTGCTTTTAGTGTCCTTTTAATTGTATGAGAGTAGAGTCAACGTAGAGTGTGAGTGGACTGTTTTGTGGGGAAACACAAGGGGCTGGCTGCACTCACCTGAACATGCTTAAATGGGGTGCTGCTGGGGGCCAATAAGTACAGTAAAAATGAAAATCCAGCGCACTCCCTTATCTACTAAACAGCTAGTTTGGTGCTGACAGATTTTGCTAGTTTTATTAAAAACACATAATCTAGGCAAAAAATAATTGGGGTTCAGTTACATTATATGATCATACATTGCAAAAGCCTGCCACAACGTCAATGCACCCCATCTTTGGCCTGTCCTACTATTAAAACCAACTGTCTTCTAAATGAGCTACTCACTTGGGGAAATCCTTCCATCTGGAGTTCTCTGCAGTAAAAGGCTAAATAGGGTCCTGAGATAAGGCCCATGTGACAGGGAGGGGTGCAAAATTAGCTGAAGTGCTTTTAGTGTCCTTTTAATTGTGCGCGAGCAGAGAGTAGAGTCAATGTAGAGTGTGAGTGGACTGTTAAGTGGGGGGTGTAATTGTTATCATGTGAAATGTTACCCAGGAAGATGGTAAGGTTTCTTAAAGAGGTGCATTTTTTAATGATTTCTTAAAAGACATATCCCTACAATGTCAATGGGAGTAACTTATTGCCATGCCTTCATATGCCTATAAGATAGATCAGTACACAAGCACACAACTTATTTAACTGGTCAAGGAAGACAGGTGAAGGTTTTTTTTTTTTTTTCTTGTGTTGCATTAGAGGAATAAAACAAAATTCCTGGCTAATCATGGCAGCATTTAACATATGGGTTAGCTCCTCCCTCCAGCCAATAGGACAGGAATACCAATTAAAGAATTCAATTATCCCTGAGGTATAAGAGATCCCAGAATATAAGGTTCCTCAGTCTTTTTTTTTCCTGTTCTCCTAGCCAGACAGGACAGCTTGTATTTATTACAAAAGACTTTGTTTTATGCTCACCTGGCTATGTATTTCAGCCTTTTATTCCCTAAGAGGTCAGCCTCCCTCTGTAGGCAGACCAGGTACATGCAATCCATCTCTTGGTAGCCAGAAGAGTTAATGTTCCTCCGGCATCCTGTTGAGATCTGCTGCAATGCCTGTCCCTGCCAGATTTCCGGTTCAGAGACTCAGGACGCATGCGCGTTTAAAGAAACAGCACCTTATTTCTATTTAAAGGGGAAAAGTGCGTTGTTTTTTTTCTGCCGCAAAATTCAAATCCTTCAAGAAGGTGTAAGCTGCTCTCTGGCCCACGACAGAAAACTGAGCATACTGTCAAGCATTCTAGAATTTCAAGTCGAAAGAATGACTACAGCAAGAAAGGGCATGAGGATCATAGGTTCCCTTTCCTCCATGATTGGCCTAGTGTGATGGGCTCAGTGGAACCTCCGCCCTCTACAAGAATACTTCCTACAGGAGTTCGATTCAGGCTCCCAGGAATGGGAGATGAAGATGTCCGTTCCGGATCATATAAAAATATCCCTCAACTGGTGGCTTTCTTGGGAAAACCTATCCAAAGTGTTCCCTCTGAGGGAGGTGGACTGGATGATTATCACCACGGATGCCAGTCAAGATGGTTGGGGTGCACATCTGAAAGACCACTTTGTTCAGGCGCTATGGCCCCTGCACACCCGTCATCTTTTTTCAAATATAAAGGAACTGAGAGCAACCTTTCTAGCTCTTCTACACTTCAAGTCTCTCATTCAGGATCAATGGGTGAAGCTGAGAATAGACAACAGGGCAGTTGTAGCGTACATCAACCATCAGGAAGGTACCAGGAGTTGTGCACTGATGAAGGAGATCGAGCCAATCATGATTTGGGCACAGAGGACTCTAGCCAGTCTCTCTGCCTTATACCTTCCTGGGAAGGAGAATACGATTGCAGACTTCCTGAGCAGACATCAAGTGAAGGAGACAGAATGGAAGCTATCCGATTTGGCCTTCCAACAACTGGTAATGAAGTGGGGGCTCTCACAGGTGGATTTAATGGCCACTGCTCAGAATACTCATCTTCCATGCTTCATGTCAAGGAGATTTCACCCACTGGCATATGCTCAAGACTCCCTTTCATCAAGATGGCCGTTTCAGCTGGCATATGTATTCCCTCCGATTCAGCTCATTCTGAAGAAAATCTCCAAATAGCGATGCAAGATAATAGCTATCATCCCGTTCTGGCCCTGTCGTCCATGGTTTCCCCTCTTGAAGAGTCTGTTGATAGACGAACCATGGGAAATTCCAGTCTTCTGGGATCTTCTGTCTCAAGGACCTCTAGTACACCCAGAGCCACACAAACTGCGTCTTCATGCATGGCTCTTTAAAGGCAATCCTTAAGCGAACAGGGTTTTCTGGAAGAGTTGTTTCCACCTTGCTACGTTCCAGAAAAGCTTCTACCTCCTCTACATACTATAAGACATGGGGGGCCTTCGCGGATTGGCTTCATAAAGATGTGAAGGATTTAAAGTCCCCTTCTATTTCCCAGATTTTGGGATTCTTACAGGCTGGGTTGGATAGAGGTCTAAGTCTGAACACCCTTAAGGTTCATTGTTCTGCTATTTCTGCCATGTCAGGTATCAGATGGGCTTAAAACCCCATGGTAATCCGCTTTATGAAAGCAGTTCTTAGGATTAGACCACCGATCCGGGTTTACAAGTGTCCCTGGGATTTATCTTTGGTCTTACAGGCCTTGATGGAGCAGCCTTTCGAACCGTTGGACGATACCCCTATGTTATCCCTGACTCAAAAGACTCTACTTCTATTAGCCTTAGTTTCAGCTAGAAGGATGGCGGACATAAGAGGTCTTTCGGTAGAAGAACCTTATACCACTTTCTATCATGACAGGGTCATTCTCCGTCCCAGACCAGAATTTCTACCTAAGGTGGTCTCTCCTCTTCACATAAACCAAGAAATAGTTCTTCCTGTCTACTTCCAGAATCCGTCAAACGAGATGGAAGAAAAGTTTCACATGTCTTTTGGTCTACATTCAATGTACTAAGGATTGGAGGAAGTCTCCTCAACTCTTTGTTGTCCCTTGGGGCTCCCGTAAGGGTGAAGCGGCCTCTGTTTCTACCCTCCGTTCCTGGACTGTTTCCTCTATTTCAAGAGCTTACAAGGTCTGAAGAGTCCCAGTTCCAAAAGGTATAAGGGCACACTCTACCAGATCGATTGCCAGTTCATGGGCTGCAGAGTCTGGAGTATCACCAGACAGCATTTTTGGAGCGGCTAACTGGTCTTCTATAAGGACATTTATTAGTCATTACAAACTCGATATTTCTTCGGATTCTAACCTGCAATTTGGACTTTTGGTTCTTAACTATTGTTCTTCTCAAAGCAAATAAAAATTTCTAGGCATCTATTCCCTCCCTGTGGTATTTACTGCTTGGGTATTTCCCATATGTTAAATGCTGCCATGATTAGACAGGAAAGAGGAAAATGTATTCATACTTACCGTAATTTTCTTTTCCTGGCTATTATTCATGGCAGCATTTGGGTTTCCCACCCCTTTATTAAGTCGGATCAGCTTGCTACTAGACTGAGGAATCTAGTATTCTGGGATCTCTTATACCTCAGGGATAATTGAATTCTTTAATTGGTATTCCTGTCCTATTGGGAGGAGCTAACCCATATGTTAAATGCTGCCATGAATAATAGCCAGGAAAAGAAAATTACGGTAAGTATGAATAAATATCCCTTATTCCTGAGTCAAAAGTGGAGTTTATGGAGCGTGGCCCATATGAACAGAAAATCTTGGCGGGAAACAGTTCTTTCGGACGACGACTGTAAATATTGATCCTAAAACCAAGAGGGCGCTGTGTGAGAGGGATTTCTGTGTAGTTATCGACCCTTAACCAACTGAGGGCGCCAAGTGTATGATCACTGTATTAACATCGCCTCCTCAACCAGAGGGCGCTGTGTGGTGACGGCTGTGTAAAACATCGATCTTCAACCAACAGAGGGCGCTGTGTGTGATGCATGTGTAAACATCGATCTTCTCAACCAACAATGCGGCGCTGTGTGTGGTGATTTCCGTGTAAGCAATCTCGCCTTCTCCTCAACCAACAGAGGGCGCTGTGTGGTGATGGCTGTGTAAACATCGATCTTCAACCAACAGAGGGCGCTGTGTGGTGATGGCTGTGTAAACATCGATCTTCAACCAACAGAGGGCGCTGTGTGGTGATGACTGTGTAAACACCGATATTCAACCAACAGAGGGCGCTGTGTGGTGATGACTGTGTAAACACCGATATTCAACCAACAGAGGGCGCTGTATTCGTGATACTGTTATAACAGTGCGCCCGTGACGTAGGCTGTGAGGTTTTAACAAACCAATAGATGGCGCCACCTAACACAACTTCTTAAAATTAAAAGGGATTTTTTTTTTTTTAAGAAAATACATCTTATAATTAATACTTGTTACTATTATTTATGATACTAGCTGTTCTCCCTTGCCAGTGCACGGTGTTTGGTTTCAGTAAACCAAGCAATGTGACTTCAATCAGGTCCCATTGCTCATTCATTACAGCTGCGGCCTTCCTGGAAGCTTGGCCCTAACGAGGGCAAACCTAGGTTAGCAAATTACCCCAAGGAAAGTGATAATGGTGGAATGATGTACTTATTGAATTACTGCAGGAAAACCATCTGAAGTCATATAAGCTTCCTCACCTCTTGTCAACCTTATTTTGTATATCTATAGATTTATATCCCCAATGTGTAATGGGATAGAGCTTTGGAATATGTTGGTATTTTATATATGGCAATTACTGAAAATACTCATCGATCTTCAACCAACAGAGGGCGCTGTGTAAAGTGATAGCAACCTGCTTTTGGCTGTACAATGTGCTGCAAAGGAAGTAACCAACAGAGGGCGCTATTTAAAGTGATAGCAACCTGCTTTCAGCTAGTCCTGCTGTACAATGTGCTGCAAAGGAAGTAACCAACAGAGGGCGCTGTGTAGAGTGATAACCTGCTTTCCGCTAGGCCTGCTGTACAATGTGCTGCAAAGGAAGTAACCAACAGAGGGCGCTGTGTAAAGTGATAAGTGTGAGAAAACAAAAGAGGGCGCTGTGTGTGATTATTTTTCTGATATCTAATCTGCAAAGTTTGATCAACCACAGATGTGTGTGTGAGGGCTAATGGTTAGTTTTAACAATGCATTTAGAAAATATCATTCATGACTTAATGATGGAATACATAACATAACATAACCTATTACTGCACACACACATTTCACAACTCATCAAGTGTGAAAGACAGGTGGGTAAAAAGTTTTATTCTTTTGTTTTTTTGTGGCATTAATAAAGGAAAATCAAGCTAAAACTCCTGAGTCTGAAGTGCATGTGAAAGTGATTTTGGTAATTTAGAAAGTGTTTACCTGAATATTAAGCTCTTTGCAAACTAGTGATGGAAATTAATGGAACTATTCTATCATAAAAATTAACCATAATTAAATAATTCCATCATGTGCTAAAATTAACTCTAAATCTCCTTGATTGATCACTGGGTTAGCTGTTGCTGGACAGCAAGTGATCACAAATGGACCATGTGAGTGATAGTCTCAGTGCTGCGAGGACTGATCTGTATTTTTTTTTTTTATTCTGCTTTCAAGAGTGAACACACAGGAAATATGTCAAAGAGGTTCTGAAGAAGCTGTGGCCTTTTTTTTTTTTTTGTGCTTTTACAGAGTGAAGATTTCTTACATGTTCTAATCCTTTAACTATATGTGTGCTTAATTTGATTGACATTCTCCCATAGCTGTATTGAAAGAGACCAAGAGTTCAAGAGGTTCTGCAGCAGCCATGGCCTTGTGTGTGATTCATAGTGACGATTTCTTACAAGATATCCTTGGACTATATATCTCTAGACTGTAAGCTCGTTTGAGCAGTGTACTCTTCAACCCATTGTTCCTGTACGTTTTTGTAATTGTCTCATTTATTGTTTAATATGTTGGCGCTATATAAATGCCAATAATGATAATATATGTGTACTTGTTTTGATTTAGATTCTCAATAGCTGTGTCTGTGTGTCCAAGCAGTTCTGCAGCAGCTGTGGCTTTTTTTCCTCATTTTATTGATATGATTACAGAGTGAAGATTTCTAATAATGATAATAATATATGTGTACTTGTTTTGATTGACATTCTCAATAGCTGTGTTCAATGTGTCCAAGCAGTTCTGCAGCAGCTGTCTTTTTCTTCTTTTTTTTTATTGGTATGATTACAGAGTGAAGATTTCTAACATAATATAATCTTTGGACTATACATGTGCTTATTTTACTGTTGCAGGTAAGAGTCGTCTGTAGGAAAAGGTTTCTCATTGAACAAGGTTTGATTTCTTGTTGCTAAACGGTAAGACATTTGTATTTGATTAGTGTTTGCTATTGATTGTTGGTTAATTTGCTATTGTTTGCAAATAAGCATAGGCCTACCCAAGTGTTAAACATTCATAGTGGGTGGTGCTTTTAGGAGTTATATAAGGGTTGTGGTCATTAACTTAGATAATATAGCTTGGTGCTTCAAAGTGTGTGATTGGAGATATTCTGGAGGTAATCTGAGGTATACAGGAGAAAATAAAAGTAAGATTTGTTTGATTTAAATTACTCCCCTCATTAAAATGGCAGGCTTAGTTCAGTGTAATAGTTGATATGCATTTGTTTCACATTCCACTTTTTGGAGATTTGGATGCTGTCTAATCTGTAGACAGTTCTCTATATTGCGGCAGGAGATTGTATTTTTGAAGTCTGAGATTTGTGTTAAATCCGTTTTTATTGACATCATCACAATAAACAGTTTTCCCATGCAGGAGATGTGGCACAAACAGTGCATTAGTTTTATGGAAAAACAGAGATTAGTTTTGTTTCTGTTATAACTTTTTTGTATTAAATACATATTTTTATGGTGAAGTCATAAACTTTAGTTGAGCACAATACGTGACCTGCGCACAGGTTGATATAACCATTTGCGGAGTAATAGTTTCCCAGCGCAAGAGATGGAGCTTAAGCAATATGGTGCATGGGGTATAGTCTTTTCTGGGATACCATGGTGCCAACCTCTCTTAGCATCATACACTTCTCTGTGTGGCTGCAGTGAATAGACCCACCACTTGCCCGTTGAATGGGTTGTGTTCACTCTAGTTATCGTTCACTGTGTGTTGGTATGGGTGTGATGCGTTGCCTGCCCTCCTAATATCGTTTGGAAATGTTTCATGTCATGTTAGGTCTTTGGGGGCTTGGTTGAGTAAGTGGTATAGATTTAGCCCGGGGTCTACTGCCCCTCATGTGTGTGGTGGTACCGTGTTATGGCCCTTTAATCGAGGGTGGCTCTCCATGGTCATGTGAAATCAGGCCGTGGGTAGGAGATCACGGTTCTAGGATGACTGTGTTAGGTCTGGGTCAGAGAAGATTGGGGGGGAGTAAGGAGTAGTGGTCCTTCACCCTCGGTCGCCACCCTAGCTTGCCCCATCCGAGGTCCCCCCAGCATCCGTCTAGTCCGAGTGTTTCACGTCCCACTCTCATCGTTCATGCGTTGGTCAGGTGTTGCTGAGATTTGTAAATTATCCGTTAAAGAAACTTAGGCTGGAACTGTTGCAAAGCCACTGCCAGAGAGACGCCCTAGGAATGGCAGATGGATTTCTGTAGGATCTGGTATACTTAGAGTTGTAGATAAAAAGGCAAATTGCACAGTCTACTCTACTCATAATTTATTTTCAGCACTTTCAGAGAGTAGTGGTGTTATGGAGACATGCTCAGACACACAGTGTAGTGGTGTTGTGGAGATAGGCTCAGGCAACGAATGTTGTGCAGACAGGCTCAGGCAACGAATGTTGTGCAGACAGGCTCAGGCAACGAATGTTGTGCAGACAGGCTCAGGCAACGAATGTTGTGCAGACAGGCTCAGGCAACGAATGTTGTGCAGACAGGCTCAGGCAACGAGTGTAGTGGTGTTGTGGAGACGGGCTCAGGCACAGAGTTTGTGGAACCACCATCCTTTATGTCAAAGTTGTGCAAGACTGCAGCCAATGACAAGAAATAATAAGGTAAGGCTTGACAGAAAGTAGTTCTTGTTGGGGGATTCAATTATAAGAGGTGTGGAGCTGGACAATATTGTCTTCCTGGAGGTACTACTCACAGAGACAGGAGACTTATTTGTAATATTATTACACTCCTGAAGTAGCGGCAGTGCATTGGCCATAAGACGTCATAACAGTGGCGTACTAAGGGGGGGGCGGGGGGGGGCGGTCCGCCCCGGGTGCCAGCAGGATGGGGGGTGCCATGAACAGCCCCGCCAGCCCCCCCCCCTGCTGCAGCCACCCGAGCGCTCTGTAGAGAGCCTCAGGCGGCTGCAGCTTTGCCCGGGCGGTGCGTCCGTGAGGGCGGACCGCACCGCCCGGGCACAGCCTGAGGAGAGGGGCTGACAGGAGGGAAGCGCTCAGCGCTCCCTCCTGTCACTTCCTCTGTAGTAGCGTGGCCGAGCCCTGTATAGTCGGCGGGTACAGGGAGCAGCTGTCTCCTGTACCCGGCCGGACTAACAGGAAGTGCACACAGTGTGTGCACTTCCTGTTAGTCCGGCCGGGTACAGGAAACAAAAGTTCCCTGTACCTGCCGACTATACTGGGCTCGGCCACGCTACAGCAAAGGTAGGGTGGAGGGGGATGAGAAAGAGATGGGGGGGGGATAAGAAAGAGAAAGGAGAGGAGGGGTGAGAAAGAGAAAGGAGAGGGAGGGGTGAGAAAGAGAAGCAGAGGGGAGGGGGGTGGAGAAAGAGAAAGGAGAGGGAGGGGTGAGAAAGAGAAAGGAGGGGAGGGGTGAGAAAGAGAAAGAGAGGGGAGGGGGGCAGAAAGAGAAAGTGAGAGGGGAGGGGGGGGTGGAGAAAGCAGCGAGAGGGAGGGGGTGAGAAAGAGAAATGGGGTGGATTAATTATGGGGTGGATTAATTAGTGTGGATTAATTAAGGGAGTGTGTATCAATTAAGGGGGGTGGATTAATTAAGGGTGTGTGGATGAATTAGTGTGGATTAATTAAGGGGTATGGATTAATTAAAGAAAACCTTTAACATTTTTTACAGGTTTTTTTTTTTTGGGGTGGGGTGCCAAGCACAGGATCCGCCCCGGGTGCCAAATGCTCTAGGTACGCCCCTGCGTCATAACGAGGAAGGCCCCCTATTCTCCACCTATTGGCCGAAAACTATGCAAACATGCACACGATCGACGTGGCGAGAAGGGATTGGCCGTATGACGTCACAGTAAGGGCGGCCCTTACCCCTTTATAATACATGCTGGCTCTCTTATTAACCATTGCTCTTGAGAAAGCCGCAATCAATCCAATTGTCCCCCAAAACAAGGACAGAAGGTGCCGGTAGCAAGTGTGTTAAAAAATGATAAGCTTAGAGTCATGTCTACAAATGCTCGCAGTTTAGGGAATAGGATCCATGAACGTGTGGCAATAATGGCAAATGATAATGTAGATTAAGTGGCTGTTACTGAGACATGGTATAATGAGAAAAATGACTGGAACATAACAATACCAGGGTACTCTTTATATAGAAAAGACAGGGAAGGCAAGAAAGGGGGAGAGGTGACCCTGTATGTGAAAAATAGCATAAAATCTAGCCTAATAAAAGTTAGTGAGGCGAATATAGAGTCTGTTTGGGTTACGTTAGAATTTGGTAATCACACAGTAACTCGTGTAGGTGTTATTTATAGGCCCCCAGTACAAAAAGAAGAGTTTGATAATCTACCAGTTGAGGAAATAGCTAAAATGACAATGAAGGGGGACGTTATTATCATGGGTGACTTTAATCTTCCTGATGTGAATTGGAAAACCAAAAAAGCTGCATGTGCCAGGAGCACACATATTCTAAACTTCCTACTGGGATTGTCTCTAAAACAAGTCGTTGAGGAGCCAACTCGTAAAGAGGCCATACTAGATTAAGTGTTAACAAATAGAAATTTGGTATCAGATATTACTGTGGGTGAAAGTTTAGGATCCAGTGATCATCACTAAGTGTGGTTTAACATAAGAACAGTGACTGAGTCACACCACACAGACACAAAAGATTTTTCTAAAATTAGAATATGTGTGAAGGAGTCATTGTCAGATTTGAGCAGTTTAAATGGAGTCCAAGAGAAATTGGGTTTAAAAGTTTCACTACTGAAAGCAACAGAAAATTGCATTAGGCTTTCCAGTAAAAGCAAAAAAAAATTAAGAAACCACTGTGGTACTCCGCAGAATTAGCAAAAAATAAATAAAAAAATGTAGTAATTATATAAAAACACAGAATATGGAAGATAGAGAGATCTATAAGATTAGGCAGAAAGAGGCTAAGCAAGTTATAAAAGCTTCCAAATCACACACAGAAGAGAAAATAGCACATTCCAGTAAAAAAGGGGACAAAACATTTTTTTTTTTTTTTAGATACATAAATGAGAAAAGGAAAGTAAAACAATGATTAGTTAGATTAAAAACAAAAGAAGGAAGCTATGTAGAAGAGGATAAAGATGCCTCAATTAATATTTTTGTTCAGTATTTATAGATGAAAATGAAGGAAAGGGACCTCAGTTAGGTAAAAGGACAAATTAGTCATTTGTTACATGTGAGTTTTAACGGATCACCTGGCACCCCGACTGGGTACCTCCATTGAAAGATGCTCCTAGCGCTTCTTTAGGATTCCAAGCACTCTAGCTGACAGCACAACCACCGTAGACTCCTCCAGAGAGCAAGACTAAGCTCTTACAAGAGCTTAGTAGTGATTTAGCAAGGGAGTATGACAAGCATAGCAATCCCTTGTAGCATATTCCCCCAATAAGAGACAGGACTCGGATTGAGGGTGAAGTAGAACTGACTGTACTGGCACATACAGCCTCTTTTATTCACAATCCACAAACATAGTACTGTCCACATGGTTTTGAAATACAACCAATCAATCTGTACAATACACACAGACACTCCCACACAAAATCCTCCCCTCTGCCTGTGATATGATTACTGAACACAATGGGTAATATAATTATCACAGGCAGAGAAATACAGTTTTTTACAAAATATTAATAACTTCCAAAATGTACATGCCATTCACATAAAACATACATTTTCAGAATCTGCATGCTTGAAATATACACATACTCAAAAATCAGGGCAATCGGTTCAGGGGTTAAAAAGTTAAGGGAAAGTCATATTTGACAAAAAGAAGCATGGTTTTTCTGCCCAAAACCAGTTCCACAGAGTCTTCTATCCTGGAAATAATTGGGAAGTAATCCAATTATCTCCAAGGACAGAGGCAAAACTCCATTAGCCACATGGTAGCAAAATACATAAAAATATATAACTGTGCAGCGATTGCATAAAACGGGTACAT